CAGCACCGGCTGTTGCAGCCACTTGGAGAGTAAACCATTGGATGGAAAATCTTCCTCTCTGTCTCTCCTCTTCTCTGTACATCTGCCTTTCCAATAAAAGTAAATAAATCTTTGAAGATTAGACACTAGGCTACTGTGCCAGGCCCTTAAAAAATTTTTTTAAGATGTATTTATTTTTTTATTGGAAGAGCAGATTTAGAGAGAGAAAGATCTTCCACCACTGGTTCACTCAAGTAGTCGTAATGGCTGAAGCTGACCTGACGTAAGGAGCTTTTTCCGGGTCTCCCCACGGGGGTGCAAGGTCCCAGGGATTTGAGCCATCCTGGACTGTTTTCCCAGGCTCATCAGCAGGGAGCTGGAAGGGAAGTGGAGCAGCCAGAACATGAACCAGTGCCCATATGAGTTCCAGGCACTTAAAGGCAGATGCTTAGTCAATTGAGCCATTGCACCCCAGACATCTGCTTTTCAAAAGAGAACTATGAATAACTCATTTTTTTTAAAAAAATTCACGTTTATTCATCTATTTGAAAGGCAGAGTGGCAGGGAGAGAGGAAAAGACAGAGTTGGAGAGGGAGAGATCTTGTGCCTGCTGGCTCACTTCCTAGTGGTTGCAGCAAGCAGCTTACAGCAGGGATAATGCCAAGAGCCTGGGACTCCATCCGGGTCCTCCTTGTGGGTGTAAGGGCTCAAACACTTGGGCCGTCTACTACTGCTCTCCCAGATGCATTAGCAGCTGAACCCACTGTACCACAGGGTTCTCCCCTGTAACTAACCACTGAGACCTTCCCACAGTCTGGGGCTTTCCCTGGGGGTATAAAACCACCAGTTCCATCAAGCTCCACAACTGTAGGAAAAAGGCATGGCAATAAGATCCATTCTCCTGATGTGGACTGTTAGCACAGAGAGTGAAGTGACCTGTCCCAGGATGCACAGCCCGCAGGTGAGGGAGCCATGGTCACTGCCCAGGTGCCTGTGACCATGGGCAGGCCACACTCATAACTGAGCAATGGTCAAGGCACAGGAGATAGGTGAGCCACAGGTAGAGAGAGACCAGGAATCTGGAAGAGGTGAGCTCAGATCTGTGCAATGGAGAGAGTGGAATGCACAGGGAAGGGTTGCCTGGGGAGAGGGAACAGCATAAGCAAAGGCACAGAGAAAAGGGCAGGAGATATTTGGGTCAGGGCAAGCAGCCCAGCAGGGACCTTCTGCCAGCACTTTGTGGGTCATGAGGCCATTTAGATAGTGAGCTGAGGGTGAGTCAGCTTTGCCCTGTAAGTGCTGCTAAGCCCAGAACCCCCAGCATTTGCTGGGAATAACTGGAGTGAGCATCCAACTCCATCTTGTGTTACTGACTTCTTGGCTGTGTGGGATCCTCCAGAGGCAGAACAGGAGGCTGTGGAAGGGCAGGAAGAGCTGCTCATGTTGGACCCGTGTGGAGGGTCCCAGTATACCCCAATGGGTGGCTGTGCAAGGACCGGAAGTCGCCACTCCTTCCCATGCAAGAAAGAGAATGGGCTCTGTGTGCGCCTCCACACAAAGCTGCCGGGCCCCAAGGGGAGGAAGCAGCCAGTTTGGCCCCCCACTCCAGCTGAATGGAGCCTCTGTTGGCAGCCCTGGGGTCTTCCAGGCGTAGAAACTGTGTGTGTGTGTGTGTGTGTGTGTGTGTGTGGTGTTGGAGAGGGACAGTCCGGCCAGCTCCTGCAGGAGCACCAGTGGTTGGGGACACCACTGGGCTCTGCCTGGGTCTGGATCCCAACCTAGCCAGGTTCTAATTATGTGACTTTGGCTTGGTCACGTTGTCTCTCTGAGCCAAATATCACGCCGAAGAAAAGCGGTCAGTATGTTCCGCGGGTGCTGGTAGCACCACAGCCCCCACAACCTTGGCCTGGCCCAGCAGCCCAGAGGAGGCTGCCTGACACAGGCAACATGGGGCTGATGCCTAGGCTGTACAAATGCTGAGAAAAAAAGGCTGGAAGAAAATAAGTCATACTGGGGAACTAAGGTGACCTATTTTTTTACCTTCAAAGAATTTTGAGGGGCCCACAGTGGTGGCTCAATGGCTAAACCCTGGCCTTGCAAGTCCTGGCTGCTCCACTTTCCATCCAGCTCCCTGCTTGTGGGCTGGGAAAGCAGTAGAGGAATGCCCAACTCTTTGGGACCCTGCTCCCATGTGGGAGACCTGGAAGAAGCTCCTGGCCCCTGGCTTTGCATTTGCTTTGGCCATTGCAGCCACTTGGCCAGTGAACCAGCAGATGGAAGACCTTTATGTCTCTCCAATAAAAACAAACAAATCTTAATAATAAATATATAAATTTATTTTTTTAAGTTTATTTTTGCTTATTTGAAAGGCAAAGAGAGAACCCAAGACCTTCCTTCCACTGGTTACCCCCCAAATGTCCACAGCAGTTGGAGGGGGCAGGGCCAAGCCAGCTGCCTGGAGCCCTACCCAGTTCTTCCAGGCTGAGCACCTGAGCTGTGCTGCCTCCCAGGGTGCATTAGCGGGAAGCTGGAGCAGAGCAGAGGAGCCGAGACTGAACCAGGCCCTTGGATCTGAGATGCAGGCATCACAAGCAGTGGCAGACAGCTACACCGGCTGCACTTGTTCATCTTTACTGTCTTAATTGTCTCAGGTGGAAATCAGCAAAATAGCAGAGCTGCCCTAAAGATCATCCTCTAGCATCCGGCCTTGCCTCCTTAGGAAGAAGAGGGCAGTACCTAAAGCAGTGGGGGTTTTCGGAGACCCCCACAGGGATGGGGGTGGCTGTTTCGTGGGCAGTAAGGCGGCCACTGCCAAGCCTGTTCTCTGGCCTTTTCTCTTCCCTGCCCATGTCCCCAGGCCCCTCCAGCCCTCCAAGCTCCTGTCTAGCTCTAGGGCTTCCAGCAGTTCTGGGAGGGACAGGAAAGCTGACAAAAAGGCGCCCGCCCCGGAGGAGCCTCCCACCACTCCCACCTCCTACCCCCACCCCTGGCAAGGAGATGGGGTAGGGGGAGCTCCCAGGCCCCCCTCCCAGAAGAGCTGGAGAGGCCTTTGGGGCTGCCCACGCCAGCACTTCCTACTTCACTCAGCCAGGGCCAGACAAAGAGAGGAAGGGGTGGGTCCCAGGGGGCTGGGGGAGGGGGTGCTGGACCCTGCCTGAGGTCTGGTCTGTACCATGGCTGGGGGAGGGTATGGAGGCCGGCTGCAACTGGCTCTGGGCCCACCCCAGGACCCCACAGGCTCGGCCAAGAGAATGACCATGGGGGTCCAAGGCAGACTTCCCAATTGCTGCCATGGCAACATGCACAGCCTCTTTAAAGATTAGGGGGCAGGTGGGGGGGGGGTGTGCCTCAGCCTCTGAATATTTTCCATCTCTCTGTCTAGTTCTGGCTTCCCAACCTGGACCAGTCTTCCTGCCACCAGGAACTCCATCCAGGCCAGTGGGGGATGAATGGTACTGTGAGGCTGTCCTCTCCCTTTTTGAATGACTGGGAACCAAGTTCCACACCCTTCCCCTGTCCCATCCAGGCCTGGCCCTGCCCTGTGATTGACTGCACAGGCAGCTCTGCAAGCCCCACCCTCTTGGGGGGCCTGATTTCCCAAGTTCCCTTCCAGCAGTTGCTAGACAAGTAGACACAGGATCCCCCAGGCAGGGAGAGCAATCCCCAGGTCTGAGGCCTCTCACACACGTGGACACACTCGCCAGCTGTACATTTTAATCGCTATAGATTATTTACAGAAGTCAATGGCTAGGGCAGACGCCGCTTTGCCCTCTCCCACCTGCACCTCAGCTGGCTCTGGGTTCTGCAGAAGTGGGGTCAGGGCTGCTGCTGGGTGAGCATTCGGTGCCAGCCCAGGAGAATCAACCAGGCAGAGAGAAGCCTGCAGGATTCTCCACTCATAGGGACCTTGGGAAGGCAGAGGGCACAGAGCCAGCCATACAGTACCATGTCCCACAGCAGCCACAGCTGGGCACCTCTACCCTCAGGCAAAGCCTGGTGGGTGGGGAGCTCTCTGGCCACAATGGGCCCCACATGGGGAGATGAGCTGCTGGCCTGTCCCTGCCAATGTTCCCCTAGGGAGACTGGAAGCAGAAGCCATATGTCTGATGTACAAGCTTGAGGCGCCATTTGTGAATGTCACTGCCCCAGCCTGGGACCCTACCAGTCTCTTTACTCCCTGCCAAGACCACTGGCAACAGAACTGTGGGGGCTGGGGCAGTTCTGACCCCTGGGGACAGTAGTGTGAGTCCAGGGCAGAGGGGAACAAGGAGGAGGAGGTCCGTGAGGAGCAGATGCATCATAGTTCAGAAAAGGAAATGCTTGGCCTGGCCTAGGAGGCCAGGTCTACCCTTGGGGACCAGCTTCAGCAGGCTCCCTTTGGTCCTTTGTAAGTCAGGCTTGGGGCCCCTTTGCTAGGGAGGGAGGGGATATGGGCTGGAGGGGCATGACAAGGGCAGGGGGGAGATAGGAGCTGGCAGCTACCAGCCAGCTGGGGGTAGGGGAATGGGTTCTTAGGCATAAGGATGAGGGTGGTTGCTGAAGTTATCAGCAGTGGGCTGGGCGGGAAACCAAATTTCACCTTGACTTTGTGTAATGAACTCCACCCCTCCCTCCCCTTGCCCTGCTGGTGTAGCCCCTGGGTAAAAAGTTCTTTCTCAGATAGACAGACCTGGCTAGGAAGGTTCAAGGCCAACAGAGCCCACAGCTGTGGTCCTGGGGCTCAGCCTCATAAGGGGTGGTGGCTGGGTAACATGGACAACCCTCGGGCCACTCTGCCAATACAGGCCTCTGTGCCTCTATCCTGTGGCTGTAGCCAAGCAGGGGTGGTGCATGGAGGGACCTCATTTCCTGTCTGGAGCAGAACTACAAGGTGCAAAAAACAAAAACAAAAACAAAACAAACAAACAAAATAAACAAAATCCAAGGAGGACTGACAGGGGGTCAGTGGGGGGGGGGGTCAGGAAGGAAGGAGGAGAGCCCTTTGGCTCTCCAGAGCCTTGGCTTCCAAGGCCATCCCCGCCCCCACTGCCCCTCAGCACCACAAGTGGGTCAGTGGGCTCAGACCCACTCCTGCAGGGAGCGCTTGCAGTAGAGCAGCATGCGGGGTGCACCTTTGCGCTGCATCTGCACCAGCGCATAGGTCAGGCCCAGAATGCACAGCAGCAGCAGCAGTGGCACCAGCACCATCACCACACTCACTGTCCGTGCCACCTCCTCCATCTGTACCACCACACGGCTGCCCCCATCCTCATCCTTGTCAGTTCCTCCTCCTGTGTCCCCCTCTTGACCGCCGCCCCCATCTGCTCCTGGCTCTGCACCCCCGTTGGGGTTGAAGGGCGGCCTGGCCACATCAGGCCATCGGGGTCCAGGCTCTGCTTGCTCTGGACAGCCCATGAAGTCCCGCAGGATGGACTTGGGGTAGCCGGGCTCCAACCGCAGGCGCTCGTTGTCAAATTTCCAGTACTTGCTGCCCTTGTAGAAGTAGGTGTAGGCTGCGGAGCAAGCAGGCCCAGAGTGGCTTCAGGCTGCAGGTGGCCCCAGCCCAAACAGTCCTCCTTCTCCTAGAGCCACTGCACTTCTACTCCCTGCCCCCCAATGAATCGGAATTGGGCCGGGGTGGAGGGTAGTATTCAGAGGAGTTTAGGTCCAGGGCACTGCAAGATTCCCCTTGGCTGATGGTGACTAGGGTGGAATGTGTAGCAGGCTCTAACAGCCTGTGGTCAGGGAATCCCATGGTGCCACTCTAGAAAGGCCAGTGTGTGCTCCAGGCCACAGGGACCTGGAATGGAACTCCAGGCTGCTTTGCATGGCCTGGCCTTGGGCACATACCTGCTCCCATCAGCAGCATGGGTAGGTTTGTGATATGTGTAGTGCTGTAGGTCAGAGGAGCAGCCGAAGCACAAGCTCACTCCCAGAGGTTGTGTGGCCAGCCCTCAGTGTTGCTGGCAAGGTTACTGCAGGGGCTCCACAATCTTGGGTGCCCAGCCCCGAACCTCAAAAAGCAGGGACCCTGGGCTTTCCCCCACTGCCCGGGGCCTATGAGATGAATAACCATGGCTCCAAGGATCTTTGTTCTCCCCATGGCTCAAGGCTCCACAAGGAGCTGCCTAGGGGGCAGAGGGCAGTCTGAAGTTCCACCTGCACACAGGCAGGCCTGGGCTCCAACGAAATGCACAGCGGATCACCAGCCATGCCACAGGCACAATGCTCCAGCTCTCTGGTTTAGTCTATCTGTAAAATGGGCTGGTAATGATGTGGGGAGGGCTGGGAGGGCCTGTCAGGAGCTCCCAGGCCAGGCCTTCCACTGCCCACCTCCCTATATGCTGAGTGCCCTTGAATAAACCCTGTCACCCTGAATATGCAAGGGGGCATGGTAAGTGCCAGCCAGTACCTGCATCATGGCTCAGGAAGGCCCCCTTGGGGGAGGCTGGGATCCCCTGCCAGACACTGATGGGTTTGGGGTAGCCAGGGTCTCCGTGCTGCGTCTCTTCATTGAAGCGCCAGTACCTGTGATCAGAAGCACCAGGCTGTGTGCAGCCTCAGACCCTGTGTGGGTGGGGCCCACTCCCCCACGGGCAGGGTGAGTTCCCTCAGGGGCCTGGCTGGGAATTGCTCACCTGTCCTCTTGGAAGAAGTAAGTATGGCCTGTGGGCTCCCACCAGATGGCTGTGTCAATGCGGTCATACGGGATGCCTAGGCCATAGCTGGTCAGTGGCTGAGGGTAGCCAGGTTCCAGGTTTGCTTCTCGGAAGAGCCAATAGCGGTTGCCTGTGGGAGGGGTGGAGGCAAGTGTGGGTGTGGGGCTGGGGTCAAGGGCTGCATGTACCAGCCAGGCAGGGGCTCCAGGGCTATCCTGGCTCCCCAAATCCATCCATGTCCACTGCTGCCCCTAACACACAGAATCAGGCCTTGTGTGTCAAGGAGTCATACCTGCGACACACTGATTCCCAGGGTCCCCACGTCACCTGTTCCCACTGGCACACCTCTGAGCCCGTGTAGCCTCTGGGCCTGTTGGTTCCTGGTGTTTAGTGTTTAGTGTTTAGAAACAGCCCAGCCACTAAACATATGCTCTCTCTGGAAGCCCCTGGACCCTGCCACAGAGTGGGCTAGGGGACTCGTTCCTATGATGACCAGAAGTGAGGACAGAGGCTGAGAGGTGGAGCCCTGTGTTGTGGAAGACAGAAACTCACCCCAATCAGGGCAGCCTCTGTTCACCTCCCTGTCCCTACCCTGCTGCCAGGGACACTTCCTCTTCTCCCAGTCCCCTCCCCGATAAGTCCAGCTGGGCTGGAGGTTGGGTCCAAGGTCAGGGCATGAAGGCTGCCTGGCACTTTCCACCCCCACCCTGCCCAACATCTGCCCCAACTCACCCTTAAAGAAGACAAAACAGCCATCATGGCGCTCATAGGCAGCACTGATGTTGCCGGGAAGCCCCCGCCAGAAGTGGCCGATGGGCATGGGATAGTTGTCCAGGACGCGGTTGTGCCGGACACGCCAGAACCAGCGGCCCTGGAAGAGGCATGGGTTTGAGCAGACAGTGTGTCCCCCTTGCCTGGGCCAGGGGAGGCCCATTCTGCAGCCACCCTTCCCGGGTCATAGAGAAGGAGAGATAGCATTAGGGAGACCACCCTGGGCTGGGGGTGGGCACCTGGGCTTGCTCTGTGTCTAGAAACCATTCTGTGAGGGAGGAGCAGGATGCCTGGCAGGTGGGAGCACACCTGCTGGGAGCCTGGGTCCAGGGACTGGGGGAGACCGGGGCAGGGCCAGACCTTGAACACGAACATCTCCCCACGAAGCATGGCCACTGTGTCAAAATCGCCATCGCAGATGTTGGGTCCATACTGGTCAGGCCGCTCTGTGGCTCGGGGCTGGGCTGGAGGGCCTGGCCTTGGGGGCCTCTCTGGTTTCTCGCGTGGGGGTGCTGGCCGTGGGGGCCTGGGAGGCTGCTGGTCTGGTCGGCCTGGTCGCCGGGCTGTCACAGTGGGAAGGGGCCGGGTGGGCTGTGGTTGACCATCAGGGGTGCCTGTGGGGAGGTAGGGAGCAAGAAGAGAAGGAGGGGCAGCTCAGAGACCCAGCCAAAGTGGTAGGTGCCCGCACGCAGAACCTTGGGGGCCCAAGGACCCTCGCTCCCCCAAGCCTGGAGAGATCTATACCCTGTGGAAGATACACTGAGGACAAGGGCCCAGCTGTCCGTCACCACCAGGGGACCTTAATTCTGATCTGCATAGCCCATCCACAATCCCCTCTCTGGGTCTGGGTCACTGCACCTGAGGCCTCTACTTCCCCACAGGGTCATGCCCTGAGGATGCCACCTGCTATAGAGAAGGCTCAAAGAGACAGAGCAGGGCCTTGGTGTCTGATGTCTCCCGACTCAGGCCTGGTCACTGGGGCACAGGGAGGAGGTTCTTGTCAAGGGCCCAACAGGGTGGGTATCAGCAGCCCCTGGGAGGTCTTAGAACTCAGGCCCTGACCCATGAACTTGACCTCTGGTGACTTCACTGAAGGTTTTCTCAGGTGGGGCCTGGACCAGTGGAGTGACCAGCCTGAAAAAATCATTCGGAAGTGAAAAGCCAGAAGGACATGGGTTGCAGGGCCCCCTCTCTAGGGTACCCCCCTGGTTTGTAAGGATACCATTAAGGCTATGGAGGAAAGAGGACCCAGGCTATTGCAGTGAGGCCTGAGCACTGGGTAAGCAGGCCAGCCCCAATGATATCAGCAGGCCCTCCCCAGGCCTGAGCCTCTGCACCTGCAGAATGGGGCATCTCTTTCACAGGCAGGGAGCAGGCATGTGGCTGGGGCGCACGGGCAGCACTCACCATAGAGCTGTTGGATGCCACGGAGGTCATCCTCAGGCAGCTGGAAGTTGTCTGTGTCCATCCATTGGTAGAAGGGTGCCATGATGGCACTGGGGTTGCTTGAGTGCTCCAGGCCCAGGGCATGACCCAGCTCATGCACTGCCACCAGGAAGAGGTTGTTCCCTGCAGGGGAGAAGGACAGTGTGTGATCAGCACTGGCTGGTTCCAGGATCCAGCCACCCAGCCTGTACTTCGTTCTCAGAAGAGGCTCAGTCTTCTGGCCTCCAAGTCCACATCTGAGAAATGGGTACAAGGATCCCTTCCATAGGAGTCAGTGGGATGACAGACAGAGGCTAAGAGATAGACCCTGGAGACCTGCACAGGGGAGCTCTTTCCTGGCTCACACAGCTCTGGGGCCCCGCCTCCACTCTGGCTGGCTTGTCCTCACCATGTAGGTCTGTGCTGGAGAAGGTCCAGGGTTCATCTGCGTCAAAATGGGTATCCCCACCCATGCCGGGACCGGGAAAGTATGCATGAGCCAAGAAGCCCCCCATGCCGTCGAAGGGTGAGCTGTCGCCGTGGAAGCCAGAGGCGAACAGCACCATGATGTCAGCCTCCTTCTGGCGCCGCAGACGGATATCCTCATAGGGAACCTCCTGGAAGACCAGTGGCGTAGCCTGCTCCCATACACGGAAGGCCCGGCGTACCGCCTCCATCGAGTGGTACCAGCCCAGCTTCTCTGTGTAGTTCTGGATGCTGTGGGAAGGGGTGGGGAGAAGACACTCAGCCAGCCCGTCACCCTGGAGCACCCCTGTTAGTATCTGCTCTTAGTGCCCTTTGGTGCAGTGAGAACCTGGACTGGCCAAACTCAAGGAGTCGCTAAGAGACCATGGACTCTGGTGGCCTGTGAGAAAGACATGAGGTCAGTAATGTGACCTGCGGTGGCTCAGGCCTGGCAAACACAGGCCACAAGCTTCTTAATGCTGAGGCAGTTGTCAAGGAAGCCCCAATTTCAAGGCACTTCATTTTGGGCAAGCAACTTAAGTTTCTCTCTGAATTGTACTTTCTCCATCTATATTGTTCCAATTTTAGTATATGTGCTGCCGAAGCAAGCCATTACTTTCTTAATCTGTAAAACAGGTGACAGGGGCAGCTGGAACTCCTTCATGGGATCCCTGTGGGACTCAAATAACATACATAACTCAGGAGAGACACACGGCACAGAGGCCACACCTGCTATGGTGCCGTGGACCTGCTATTAACCACATAAATCAGACAAAGGCTCTGGGTGCGGGCCTGGGAAGGGGTTCCCATGACTGGGTGGACCAGGGATTTACTCCAAGGACCTGGGGGCAAAGTGACCACATCCTAAGCAGATAGTGCACAGTGAGGTGCATGATTTGACCTGAACAGGAAGTGGAGTCCTAGGCAACTGCAGCTTGGGTTGAGGCACTTAGCTCAAAGACTCATCTGAGATGTGGAAGATCATTGGAGCCCAGCATTTCAGGATGAAGACCTCCTGGATTTTGGCAGCCTAGCCCTCCTCTGCCCTTAGCCTTGACAGTACAGGAGCCCATCATCTGGGCTGTGCAAGGCCAGCCCTGGATGACTGGCAGGCAGGAGGCCAGAAAGGGCAGGGTGCAGGAGCAGAAGCAGCTTGCAGGGTGCCCACCTTATCTGGAGGAGACTGCCTGCTGTGCATGCTGGTCCCATGAGCGTGGGAGCCACCGCTGGCTCAGCTGGGCCCTTGGGACACAAGGCTGGGAAAGGAAGCTAGAGAAGCTCCTCTGGCGTGGAGAGTGGAGTGCTGCCTTCCAGGGTGGGCGGCCGGGGCCCCTACCTGAAGGTCAGGTGGTGGCTGCTCCACTTTCTCCCAGTAAGGGCATAGCGCTTCCGCCGGCGCCGTAGATTGGCTTTCACATGCATCCCGAACTGGTCTGGCACGCCACAGCGGGGCCGCTTCATCCACCTGTGACGTGACATGTGTACCAAAAGAATGAGCTCAGGACTTCTCCTTTACCTCTCCCAGATCCCTCTGGGCCCCTGCTCTACCATCAGCCACTCTTCCCATGAAAGGGGTGCAAGGAGACCAACTCAGCTTCTGTTTCTGGTATAACAGTGACTGCAAGGGCGAGCTCCAGCTCACTGTCATCAGTCACCAGCCCTGAAGCCTCCTGCCCAGGCTGTGTCAGGCCTTCTATGCATTCCTCCCAAGCAGGTGGCTCTGGGCCCCTTCATCTTTTAACATTTCACCGGCAAGGCCTGCTCCTAGGAATCCCATCCCAGGCTGGGGTTCTGCAATTTGCTCCTCCCCTGCCCAGGGCAGACATCACCAATTGATACCTATACCAGTTGATCCCTATGTTAGGCCTGGGGCAGCCTCCTCAACACAAGCTGCAGGCACTGGGAATTGCCCAGTAGGGGTTGCCCAGAGGGACTCACGCCTTGGTCTCTTCATCTAGCACACCGGTAACAGGGATCCCGTAGAAACGCTGCATCTCTGAGAGGGCCGAAGCCAGGATCTGGGCCGAGCGCAGGGTGGACATGTGGCGGTTGGGCTGAGGCAGGTAGCCGTAGAGCCGCAGCCAGTTCTGCAAAGGCAGGACCCTGTCAGCCATCCCCACACTGTGGCCTCCATCCAAGCACACCCAGCCTGTACCTGACCTACCCACGTCATGGGCACAGCAGCCACTGCCTCCTGCTGGGTAACAGTGGGCCTCCTGCTCCACTTCCACCTTCCTCGTTGTTAATTCTCACCCAACAGTTGGAACTAAAGGCTTTTTTTTACAAGCCAGTTCTCTGCTAAGCAACTACCACTCCCCCACCAGACTTCCAACTTCAGAGGAAAAGCCCAGCTTTAGAAAGCTGCCAGGCATGCTCCTGCCTCAGGGTCTTGGCACTTGCTGCTCCCATCCCCACTTCCATTTGGGTGGGGTGGGGGGTGGAGGGTGTTGGCCTTCCCGACCCTCCCACAGGGCACTTAGGGGTATATGACTGTTGGTCTTTCCGCATTTGATGCCAGCAGCTATACTTCTGGGGACATAGAAGGACTCAAGTTCTTGAAGCCTCACTGAATAGGACAACTAGCTCCTTGGCACTGCCCCACCCCAAAGGCCTCAATCTCCTGGAAGGAGAGTTCTTGGACATATAGACACCCACCCAGGAGAGCTGGAACAGGACTATGGACCCAGGTCCTACTCTGCTACTGACTTGATTTTCTTAAGGCCTCAATTTGCTCATCTCAGAACAGGGAGCAAATGTGGATGATGCTGGTGTGTATGTTGGGGGGAAGGGCTTGGCACGATGGCTAAATGGGCTAATCCTTCCCATTCAAGCTCTAGGATCCCATATGGGCACTGGTTCATGTCTGGGCTACTCCACTTCCCATGCTGTTCTCTGCTTGTGGCCAGGGAAAGCAGCAGAGGATGGGCCAAAGCCAAGAAAGAGAGACGGAGGCGGTGGTGGGGGGGGGGGTGCGGCAGGGAGGGGTTCGTGGCAGAGAGGGGAGTGAAAGAGAACATCCTGAGTTGAGCATGTGGGCCACATTGGGTGTTAAACTTGCTAGGCGAGCCTCCCCCTGCTTCCATCAGTCCGTTTGGCCAACCATTCACCCTTCCCTGCTGCCTGATGCTGGGCCACCCTCTTGGGGCCAGGGCTATAGATGGCAGGGCTGAACCATCCTCGTGTGCAGGGGAGACCCTGGGGCAAGCATGGAGCAAGGGCTTCACTGGCAGCCACAGCCTGAGGGAGGCTGGAGCCTCCACCTTGCTCACCTCCTGCCCCCAAGACCACAGGGAGAGGCTGCCTCCCCAGAAAGCAGTGAGCAGAGGCTGCTGTGCGCCTTGGTCACAAACACTGTGCCCTTCCTAACATTCTGTGCCCTCCCCCCCAGCCCCACATTCCTGCTCTCTAAGCAGCTCTGGGAGCGGAGGGCTGCACCCCGAAGGCCCACTAAGTTGCAAGGTGGACAGACACAAGGGTTCCTCTGGATTGACAGCCACTGGTCACATCCATGTCCTCAGTCACCAGCTTGCAATCCTGGCACCTCTCCAGTCGGCAAAACAGCCGCTGAGCCATTGAGGGTAGCTGTGCAAAGCTATTGCACTTGCAGACGGAATGCTCAGCCCGTTTCCAGGCGTCTGGGAACCCTGGGACACAGGCATTGGGCAATGAGGTGGAAAGCCAGGACTAGCTGGCTGGGGCAAATCCGGGCTTGCCACAGTGAGGTGTGACCGGGCTGTGCCTGTGCCCCAAGCGTCCTCGGTGAGGGTGGAGACTGTGTAGGAGGACCTGGCTCACTTTAGAGGCCCTGCAGGGCTTCATGGGAAAGTGCTTGGTAAACATGCAGAACACAGGGACCCAAGCCCCGCCCCCATAGGCCTGTCCCTAGGGAAGGCAGCCACTCCTCAGCTCTGCCACAGCTGCAGGGTCCTGGCTTCCCTCAGCTGGGGACTATTCCGGCTCCAATCGGGGACCAGCATAGGACAACTGGGTACCCTGGGACAGCAGACACTGGCAGTGCCCACCACATATGGCTACCTTGAGGATAACTGAAAGGGCGGAGAAGATGAGGGTGGGGGGCGCTTTGCCAGCTCTATTGGGAAAAGGGGTTCTGTCATGGGAGGGATGAAGGGCCAGGCAGGCTGCAGATAGGAGAGGGCACCTTTACATCACCTATTTGCATAGGGTAAAAATATCTCTGTGCGAGGCAATCAGAGGCTGCCCTGGGGCTGATTAGCAACGTCTGCAGAGGCAGACATGAGGGAGGAAAGGTTCAGGCTGGGGCCCCTGGGGAATGGAGGAGGTGGCCAGCTTGCAGTGAAGGTTCCAAGGATACTGTGGACCGTCCCTTCATGGCCACACACTTCTTGCCTCCTGGTGACAAGCCCCTCTCAGCCACTGCTGGAGCGGAGAGCCACCAACAGAACATAGGGAGCAGCCCTCTGGCAGTGGGGAAGAGGTGAACAGAGCCCTGGGTGCTGACTCCGCCCTGGGTGACAAGGCACTGTGGACCCCGCCTGCCTGGCACACACGTGCTCAGGGTGGCTGGATGCCAAGTGTTGGGGCGGCGGCAGCCAGTACCCATCAGAGCCACAGGCTTTGTCCTTTCCCCTGGGGCAAGGGATTAGCTCCCTGCCACTTAGTTGCTGTGCTGTGACATGCTGAGGGTGGAGGGGGGGCAGTTGGGACAGCTGCATCCCAAATTCTAGCTCAGGTGGATGTGACCAAGGCCGTGTCCTTGTCCCCACTGGACAGGGGCTACATCCAAGGCCCCCTGCTATCTTTCCTGGCCACTACAAAACCTGTCCTTCTGTCCTTTTACTGCCGTTACGTGTGGGTCTCAGGGAGGAGTCAACCACGCAGGGGAAGCTTTATTTCTTGAGGTGGGGGCATATTTTGAGGCCCAGCAAGGTCAGTAAGCAGCACAATAGGGGTCAGATTTGAGCCAGGGTGATGTCCTCCTGTATGAGGGCCCAAGGCCCACCCCTACCCTGCACCTGCAGCCCAGAGCTGGTGCTGAGGCAGGAGATTCCCTCCACTGCCAGTTCTCCCAGCCATGTCTTAGTGCCAGTGCCTGCCCCACAGCTATTCACTGAAGCTGCAGGGGAGGGTCTGTCACCTCTGCCTCCAGGACAGACAATAAACTGAAGATCTAGTTTAGGCTACTCTCATCAGCCCATTCAACACTTGTTTGCAACCACTGCTGCTCCTGCTCATACAGCGGCTCTTTTCAGGATGGAATGGCCCACCTGGAACCACACAGCTGCCCTCCCAGGGCCCATAAGCAGCATCAGGCCAGCCTGTCCCTGACCTAGCACTGGCTCTTCTCTGCCCCAGGCTAGGGACACAGGGCTCCAGATCTCCTGAGCAAGGGTGTCCAGGGAGCCACCTCCCACGTCTTTGGCTGAGTCTGGGCATGGAGCCACAGGGCCCTGCTCCCGGGGCCACTCAGACAATCCTGAGGAAGGCAGGCTTGCAGGGAGGTGTGGCCGGAGAGGCAGCAGCCAGATCGATGCTGTGCAGGCCTGCAGGCTGCCTTGGGGGAGGGAAGGGGGAGCCCTATCTAAGGCTAGCAGATAAGAACAATCTCCACTGGGCTGCTTCACCTCTCCTCACCAGAGTTCTCTGCAATCTGAGCGGTAGTGGGCAGCTCTGCCCAACAAAGTACAAAAGGAGCCTTGTTAAGGCTACTGGGATGACCCTAGCTCCCGGTCCCCAGTCAGACCCCACCAGCAGGGTCAGAACCAGAGCAGGTGGACCCAGCAAGGTGCAGAGGACCTCCCTTGCACTCCAGGCCCCTGGGGCCCACTCATCAAGCAGGTGGAGGACTGAGCAGGCCCTGGACACACCATCAAGCCCCTCCCCCAAGGGCTCCGCAGCCCACAGCTGGCCCAAGGATCCCTATGGCCCACCCTGCCTTGGGCAGCAGCAACAGAAAGGGCATCTTCATCCTGACTGCTGCTCCACTTAATCAAAAAAAGAGCATAGCCCCAGGCCAGACAAGGAAGGGCTGCTGATCAGGCCTGCCCCTTCATTTCCAAGACACACCTGCTTACTAGGGGTTCAGCTCTACCTCCTGCTGAGGGTCTTAAGGACTGTGACAAGTGGGGGAAGGAACTCAGGTAGTGGGGACTGTCCAGCCCTGGAGGCAGGAAGGAGGCAGGGGCCCGGTTCCGGCCACTTCTTGGCCCAGCCGCTGCTTGGTCTGCCCCGCCTCCACACTTTTTAACATAGAGGAAAAAACAACCAGGTCCTTTGGTCAGCGGGTGGGTTGCAAAGAGACCTAGTTTGCTCTGAGTTTCCGGGTTGGCTTGGGACCAGAGGGCTGGAGCCTCACCTGGATCCTACCCTGCAGGTAAATGGCTCCTGGAAGAGGCAGCTGCTGGGGCAGGTCTGGCACTAAAGAGCCTTAGCCCAGCACTGGGGCTGGGAGCTTGGGTGTCATGTCACCCTGATCCCAGTTCAAATCCCAGCTCTGCTACTCCTAGAGCCCATGGGTTATGCACTAATCCCTCTCACCCCTCTTCTAACCAGCAGGGACATACAGTGCCCAGGCTCAAAGAGGTGCAAACCAGGGTTAACCGGCTCTCTCGTCCTGACCCCAGCTTCCTGCTATTACCAAGGAATGGGGATCATCCACATGGGAGACCTGGAATGAGTTCCCAGGTCCTCATTTTGGCTTGGGGCTAGGCCTACAGCAGATTTTTAAAAAATCTTAAAAAGGAACCATTTAAAAAATTATTGTATTTTTTGATTAAAAAAATATTTATTTCCATTGCAAAGTCAGATATACAGAGAGCAGAGACAGGGAAGAAAATCTTCCTCAAGCCACCACAAAGGCTGGAGCTGAGCCAATCTGAAGCCAGGAGCAAGGAACCTCTTCTGGGTCTCTGACACAGGTGCAGGTTTCCAAAGCTTTGGGCCATCCTCGATTGCTTTCCCAGGCCACAAGTAGGGAGCTGGATGGGAAGCAGGGCTACTGGGATTAGAGCTGGTGTTCATATGAAATCCTGGTGCATGTGAGGTGAGGTGAGGTGAGGACTTTAGATACTAGGCTATCACGCCAGGCCTGGAACCTTTTTTTTTTTTTACAGTCACGCATAGTCTAGGGTCAAAATTCAATACCATTAAAAGGTGAGGTGACCCAGTGAGATGGCCTAGTAGCTAAAGTCTTTGCTTTGCACGCACTGGGTTTCCATTTGGGCACCAGTTCTAATCCTGGTGGCTCTGCCTCCCATCCAGCTCCCTGCTTGTGGCCTGGGAAAGCAGTTGAGGATGGCCCAAAGCCTTGGCACCCTGCACCTGCGTGGGAGACCCAGAAGAAGCGCCTGGCACTTGGCTTTGGATTGGCTCAGTTCCAGCCGTTGTAGTCACTTGGGGAGTGAATCAACCGACGGAAGATCTTCCTTTCTGTCTCTCATCTTCTCTGTATATCTAACTTTTGGAAGATCTTCCTCTCTGTATATCTAACTTTCCAATAAAAATAAATAAATCTTTAAAAAAAGGCGGCCCTCTCCCTTTTCTTCCCCTCCTTTTCCCTCCCGTAAAAAAGAAAGAAAAAAAAAAGGCAAAGTGACAGTACATAAAACTTTTTAAAATTCAGGCCATAGGATTTGCATTAGATAGTTTCTGAAACCTCTGTGAAGACCTATTGGATGTTTCAGGGGTTCAACCCCAGCACCTATGCGTCTTTGGACCCCTGGTGCTGGCAGTGTTGGCAGGGCACACAAAAGCACAATCAACTTCCCACCAACTCTACCAAGTAGATATTTTTGCAATTTCCTTTTGACAGGGAAACTGGGGCTCAGACTGGTTCCATGATTTGCCCAACAGTAATGAGAGAAGGAACAGGCAGAGCTGAGAATTAAAGGTTAGCACTGCAAAGTGAGCCAGTCCCTGGACTTCAGACTCAACCATCAGATGGCGGGAAGTACTCCACCCCAACCTTCCACCACCACAGGCTGGCTGGCTGATGCTGGCATCCAGGTCCCTCTTGGGCTGTCCCTGACACAGGAAGTTGAATGGGGGCTATCAGCTCCTCCCCTTTCCTTCCCACAAGTAGCCAGAGGCATCCCCTTTAGCTTGGATGTTCTTGCTTAGGCTGCAAATTTTGAGGCCACCTCCCCCCAACACATGTCTTTCCAGAGAATGGTCCCTTAAGAGCCCTAACTCTGAAACCCCTGGACATGCTTGCCTAACTGAAGGCATCCACTGGGTGCCTTGGGTCAGGAGTGTCCAGCTACCTAGGACCCTCTCTGCAATGCACAAATGCCCAAGCAGGATGTCCACCTATCTCCATTTCACAGCCCTGGCTGCGAGGCTCTGCCCCAACCACAGCCACACACCTCAGGCTGATGCTAAGGATACCAGCTTCAATCTGAGCTACACAGACACCCTGTGGTGCCCACCGCAGCTGCAGCCAAGCTCCCAGCTGGGCAGAAGTGACAGTTGGAAGGAACAGCTGGCACATGGAGGAGCAGCCAGAACCAATCACCAGGCAGGGAGGGGCTTTCCCAGCCCTTTAGCGCTGCCATTCTGAATTGGCATCTGTGATCTGGTCATGCTGAGTGAGTCTGGTCGAAATCTGGCACACGCAAGGCTGCTCTCTTGCAGGGTGGTAGTGGCTGATGAGCACACACACATGGTCATGGCAAGGGCTGGTGTGAAAGGCACAGCTCAGACAGACCCTGATTGGACCAGCCCTGCCCGGGTCTCAGAATAGAGAGGGAATGGAGATGTGAGGTGTACTTTGGGAGGGAGCAGAATTGGGTTACTACCCTGAAGCTCCTTAGGACAAGGCTCTGACACCAGTCCCCTCTTCCCTGAGGTGGGCACCTATGGCCCCCAGATTCCTGCTCCCCATCTAGGGATTTGTGAGTAAAGGTGGAGACACAGAACCTGAAGGTCAGATTAGAGGCCAAGTGCCCCCACTCCCCCATTCTGTTCAGTAGCCAGCTAGGGGCAAGGAAGACAGGCGGCTTAGCAGGGCCTCCCCAGGGCCTGGGCGGGGAGCAGGGAAAGGGAGAGCAGAGAGAGGCAGGTGCTCGGTCAGAAAGAGCAGGTCCGAGACTAGAAAGGGGTCTGGAACTTCAGTGACCACCTTCTCCGGGTGGGGCCTGGGTCTGTGCAATGTGCCAAGTACAGAACTGGCTGGAGACAGCTACAGGGCAGAATAGCTCCGGAGTGGCTGCCTTAAGGGATAGCCTTGTCCGGGATCTGGTCTAGCAGGTTGCAAGGGTCTGCCACTTGGATCATGCGGATCATGCGGCAAGCTCCTTGATTCCTTGGCTGGCTGAAGTGCTTGTGTTTTCCCTGGTAGGAAGGAAAGATGGAGGCAAGAGAGAGAGAGGGAGTTGGAGGGGCTCTGGCTTTGGCTCAGCACCAAGCTGTTCAGACAGCCATGACCTGACCGGAGGGCCTGGCGCTGCACGGACACACACATGTAATGGAGGAAGGCTGCAGATACAGGGTGCAGGCCCTGCAGAGCCCAGACCTAGGGACAACTCCCCCACAGCAGACAGGGCTAACTGCTGAGGTCAGAGACGTGCATCCCAAAGCTGTGCACAGACCACCTATCTCTAGCCTTCGCTCCACCTGGCTTCTAAGATATCCCAGAATGTCCAGTCTCAAGTGCTTGCCACGAGTGGGAATGGGAGCAAAGGTGCATCACGGGCTCCCAGCCCAGGGGAACCCCCATCTGCAGCCCACAAGCCTGGGGTCGGGGTTCATTTCCAGGAGGTGCTGAGGAAGAACAGCTCCCATCCTGATCCCATAGGCCCCAGAATTCCTAGCTCTTCACTATTCAGGATGCCCAGTCCCAATGGCCAGCTAGGTCCATTCACTGCCCCTGGGTAGGGCCATCTTCCTATACAATACAAACTCAGGCGTGGGTGTGTAACTGTCTTCTGCCAACGTGGCAGGTGAGCCTCCACAGCACCTTGCAGCACTTGGCCACAGGCAATCATATCGGCCAGCCTGTGTGTGCATAAGAGTGTGGTGGGGTTGAGGTCAGCTAGACTGGACATGGGTGGGACTCCCAGCAGCCTCCTGGCAGGGCCTGGCTCCCCGCAGCTTTCCTTACTTGGCCAGGGATGGAGGGCAGAGCAGGTGAGGAACTGGTTGGGAGGTGTAACTGGAGCCTGGGAGGAATTTTCTACCCTTCCTCCCTACTTTTATTAAAATAGGGCAGGGAAAGGAGAGACTTCCATCGGAAAATTCTCCAAGAGGTGGAGAAGCTTCCCGGTGGGGGCTGGGCAGGAACGCCAGGGCTTCAAATAGAAACGGAGCTAAGGCCAGTAACCCGGCAGCCCAAGGGCACCCAAGCTTCTGTGTCCCCACTCCCTGCCTACTCTTCGCCTGTCTGGTGAGGGGCAGGGAGAGGGGACCCCGTAAGAGAAGTGATCAAAAAGACCCCGAGAAGCAATGGAGTTGGTGTCGGGGATTGCACGGAGGAGGAACGGATTGCACTGCACCGGCTCTACCCGGTCACCCGCAGGACCAATCCAGCAGGTCGGGGTGGGGGGGAGGCGGGCCTTAGGGACACCCAAGACGCGCTTCCAGTGAAGAGGCACGGAGTCCACCCTCCTGGACCCACGCTTGAGTGTAGCGGCGTCGCTGGCAGGAAGCACTGGGGAACAGGCGATCTGTCCATCAGACCCAGCCGGGTGCGGCAAGAAAGTCGCCTGAGTGCCTGGGGCGGCCCCAGTCGGTGCGGTGGCGCTTACCCCTCCCCCCCGGCTGCCAGCGCGCGGTGTCACCGACACCCGAGGTTGCCCCGGCAGGAGCGCAGCCAGGCTCTGCCTGTGTTTCCTCCCCGTCCCCGCCTCAGGGTAGCCCCCTCCCCACGGCCAAGAGCCACGCATGCCTGTCCGGCTCTCGAGGAATTAGCTGTCCCAGAGGGCAGGAAGGAGGGGGAGGCAGGGACTGGGGCTCCTGAGAATCAGGCTGGAGCGGGTCAGTGGTCAGCACAGGCAGTCGCGAGTTCTACGACCCCCAGAGTTAGGGAAGAGGTGCGCACAGGGAAGGGTTAGGGAAAAGGCAGGCGGCAAGCTGGCGAGGGGGGCAGCCTGCCAGGTCCCCATTCTTCTCAAGCTAAAACCAGAAGCGCGTCTCCACTCCCCCACCTCCAGCACCAGGGTGGCAGGCGTGGCTGCGCCCCTCGCCAAGTCCCAGGATCCGTTGCCAAAAGCCAGTGCGGGGGGTCCTCACCTCGGCGACGTGCACTTCGGCGTCCTCAGCTGCCGCGCAGCGGCCCAGGCAGTCCAGGAGCACCAGCAATAGTGGCAGCAGCCACGGGCGCGCAGCTGTCTCCCGGCCACTGAAAGGGCCACCCGCCCGGCTGCGCCGTCCGGGGGCACTCCGATCGCTGCCCATGCTGTAGGCGCCCACTCTGGCCCGCGAGGCTCGCAGTTCCTGGGTGCTTGGCAACTTGCGACGCTGCCTGGCTCCAGGCCCAGTGGACCTCTCTTGCTCCTTGGGTTCCCGCCGGAACAGCGGCTGAGGTTCTCCCCCACCCCAAGGCCCGCCAGGGAGAAGCGGGCGGGCAGGTCCGGGATGGTGTGCGGAGCCCGCCCGCGGGAGAGGAGACCACCAGCCGGAGGTGCCCGACGCGGGGGACCCGTTGCCTCGGCGCTCAGTTCCCGGGCCCGGCTCCCGAGAGCAAAAGCGCCAACTCCGGAGCCTTTGTCTGGCTCAGCGCTCCGGCCGCCCGGGCCCGCGGCGCCCCCTGCGCCTCCCGCTCCCTCTGTCCATGCCCGGGGCCGGGCGCTGCCGGGAGCGCGTGCCTCCCGTTCGGGGACTCTGCGCCGCGCTCTGCTGGAGCCCGGGTCGTTACGCAGTCCCCGGAGAAGGCGCAGGGAGCCGGGCCGAGCGTGCGAGCGAGCCGGGGAGCCGGGGAGCCGGGGAACGGGCGCCCGACGTCCCCGGCGACTTCGGTGCAGCTCCCGACGCTCCCAGCCCTCTTCCCTGCGCGCCGCGGCCGCCGCCGCTCTTAAAGGGCCAGTGCGCTCCCTACGTGCGGACCCGGTAGGGGACCAGGGGCCGGGGAGGGATCCAAGCCCGAGGTTTCCTAGCAGCAGCAGCAGCAGGTGCCTCAAGCGGCACCCCAGCAGGTGGGCGGCCCCTTTACTCCTCCTTGACGCCCTTGGGAAACCTCCGTAGCTCACCGCACGCCGCTCTCATCCTGGCTTCTGGGGAGCAGGGTGACCTCCAAGGCGACACCCCGCGGAGGGTGGGTCGTCTCCCCGCAGGGAGGACCCGAGACTCCTCCTTCCCCCCCTTTCCGCCCCCTGCTTCACTAGGTGGATAGGAGGGATACTGAGGCCGAAGTGGGCGTGGCAGAGGGCTTGGGGTAGAACCCAGAGGTTTTGTTCTCGAGCGGAAAAATCGAGTGTTTGGGGTTATGTTTTTTCCAAACTTTCCTGGTCTGCCTTTTGCCTCAGTTGCAAAGTGAGGGGATGGGCACCTTGAGCACGCCAAGACTTGGACAGACCTGGTTCGAATCCGCTGCTGTCACTTCACTGTGGCTTGGATGCGGGTAAAAGAACCCTTGTGGGCCTCCGTCTCTGGGCGTGTGTGCAGCCCCTGTCTGTGGCCGCTGTATTGTGTATGCAAAGGGCACCAAACCCTGCGTTGAGCCTGAAGCGCTTTCACTGATTCGGTTCCCAAGGAGGACCCCAGGCTTACCTGGTGACTTGAGACTTAAGACTGAGGGCCTGGGGCAGCAGAGTGGAATCCACACAGCTTGTCTTCAGCCCAGGAGGCTGTGCTCTGCAGCGTGGACGCTGGACACCCTGGAACTGGGAAATGGCCAGGGTGACCGGATCTGTCAGGTGAAGGAACCTCACCTAGTGGGGTCTGGAAGTGAGGTGGGGGTGATGCCCTCGGGCCCTGCAGACTAATTTCCCTGTGGGATGCCTCACCTGGGACATGGGTTTCTGCATTCTCTCTTACTAAATTCCTTTTGGGATGTGCACGGTGGTCTTCAGAAATGAACAAGAGCAGGCCGTCTCTGAACTCTGTCATTGAAGGTATTGCAGTCTCTCAAGGCAGTTCCCAAACAGCCGCCTAGTCGGAATGGTTGGGAGTGTTTAGCCCTGATCTCAGAGTGTCTGGGTTCAAATGTGAGATCCCCGCTGCTGCAGAGGTGACACCTCCCTGTTACTCAATGGGAGGCCCCAGTGAAAGCCCAGCGCCACCTGTTGCTGGCCTGTGCAGAGTGAACCGTCAGAAGGAAGACCTTTCTCCCACTGTTTTGTTTACTCAAAACAAAACAAACAAAACACAAAAAGTTTGAGGCATGGCGGGTGAAGCAGCTCTTGTGACGTTGGCATTCTATATGGGCTCATGTTCCACCTGCTCTACTTCTGCCCCAGTTCCCAGCAGCACAACATTATCCAGGCATTTGGGTTCCTGCCACTCATGGGAAGAACCAAATGATGATCCTGGCTGTGACCTGGCCCAGGCACAGCCTTTGAGGCGCCCTGGGGAGTGAACTAACCAATGGAAGATCTAACTTTTAAAATACAAAATAGTATCTTATTTTTAAGATTTTATTTGGAAGGCAGAGTTACATGGAGAAGGGGCTCACCCCCAAATGAAGCTAGGAGCCTGGAAATTCATCTGGGTCTCCCAGGTGGGTGGCAGAGGCCCAAGCACTGGGACTATCTTTCACTGCATTTCCAGACACGCTGGCAGAAAGCTAGATGGGAAATGGAATAGCTGGGATTTGAACTCCTCATATGAGATGCTGGCATTGCAGCCAGTGAGTAGCTTAACCCACTGCACCACAATGCTGGCCAGCCATGGGGCATATTTTTAATTGGCAAGGCAGATTTCCAGAGAGAAGGAGAGACAGAAAGCTCCTCCACCCACTAATTCATACCTCAAGCGGCCACAATGGCCGGAGCTGAGCTGACCCAAAGCCCGAAGCCAAGAGCTTCTTCTGGGTCTCCCACGTGGGGTGCAAGGTCCCAAGGCTTTTTGGTCATCTGCCACTGCTCACTCAGGGAGTTATATGGAAAATGGAGTAGCTTGGACACAAACTGGCACCCACATGTAATGCCTACGCTTGCAAGGTGAAGATTTACCCATTAAGCCATCATGATGTGCCTCAGGGGCAATATTCTTTATTTCTATTTTATTTTAAGATTTACTTTATTGGGACAGTCAGATATACAGGGAGGAGGAGAGTCAGACAGGAAGATCTACCATCCATTGATTCACTCCCCAAGTGGTTGCAATGGCTGGAGTTGCGCAGATCCAAAGCCGAGAGTCTCTTCCAGGTTTCTTACGTGGGTGCAGGATCCCAAGGCTTTGGGCTTTCCCAGGCCACAAGCAGGGAGCTGGATGGGAAATGGGGCTGCCAGGATGAGAAATGGTGCTGATATGGGATTCTGGTACATTCAAGGCAAGGACTTTAGCTGCTAGGCTACTGTGCCGGGCCCAAGGGCAATATTCTTAAAGGCCTGTGGTCAGACAGGTCTGCTGCTTGTTTTGTCTCTTGAGGATCAGTCCTACATTAAGCAGATAGCTTCCCTCCCCTATCCCCAGTAGACCTTGAGACTTCTCTGCAGGTGTAGGAGGGTTTAAGGAATCCACCACCATATGAACTTCCATGCAGTCCAGCCAACAGTCAGGCCTAAGGGGACCGAGGCGAGCCCTTCCATCCATTGGCTTTAAACATCTGCCCCCACCCCCCCTTTTCCCAAGAACCTTTTGCACGGAAGTCTAATTGTGGCCTTTCATTCTGAGATCCAGAAAGCTCTGGATTTGGAGCCAGCTCATTGGGCTCCTTCCCCAGCCTGCATTTCTTGGGGGAATCTCTACCAAGTTATTCCCCTCTTGGGGTTTGCAAAAGGAAGTTGCTGAGCCAGATGGTAGCAGGGTTCTTCTCAGGGGTGTGTGTGTGACTGTGGGGCTGGAAGTAGACCCAGGACCCTCCTCCTCCACTCCCTGCAGCTCAGTGGGATGCACCAGGCCCACCCTCATAGGTGAGGCCAGCCCTGGGACTCAGGGTGCCAAGACAAGGAATAAACAAACAGGCCGAGGTCATTTCCCTCTCCTTGGAAACAAAACCGGGGTGGTCTGGGAAGAGCCAGGGCCAGGTGGAAGGAGGCCAAACAGGTCCTGGGCTGCTCACTGCCCTGCCATGGGGGGCCAGATGTGTTGACTTTGGGCTTGTCCTGGTGTGAGAGTCCCCCGCCCCGCCCCCTCCTGTGTCTCCGGGGTCTGCACCACATCTCCTCTTATGGAAAAGCCCTGACACCTCCAGCGTGGTCAGTGGGAGCTGCACTGAGTAGGCTGCACTCAGGTGCACTCCATGGCTGGGTGCCTGCCGAGCCCCTTCCTGCCAACTTTCCTGCTCCATTGAAGAGCTCTGTATTGATCTTGGCCCATTTCTCTAAGCTGCCACAGTCACCACTGCTCTAATTCCATCCTTAACCCAGAGGGAGGCCTGGAGCCACATCCTCCCCAAGGGGACTGGCTGGTCAGCATTCCTGGACTGGTTAATGGCAGCCCCTTTTCACACTTTGTCTCTCCTAAGATGACAAAATGCCCAAGTTTTGGGGAGTTCCATTTGTTGGGGATGGAGATTGTTCTCTTCCTGCCTGCTTCCAGACAGCCAGACCCAGTGTGACAAGGCAGGTGTCCACGGTGTGGGCTGTACATGGCCATTGCCGTCATGTTGCTTGCAGGGGGCACAAACCTGGCTTCCCTTACCCATTCTGTGTATCCTCAAAAGCCAGACCCGTGGGGGCGGAAGGGAAGACCTGAGTGCCATTTACTGTGTCAGGCAGGGCAGAGCTGAGGGGGCAGAATGGGAGGTGGAAGGTGGGCTGCAGGCTGTGTGTGGCCACACCTGTGCTGCTCTCACTGTCCTTGGGGTGAGAGGTCTTTGGGAGGAACAGGTGAGTCCCTCAGAAATGGCACAGTGTAACAGTAGGACAGGGGCTGGGCATCTGTGCTCACCCTCACTGCACCCAGGCATCGCAAATTCCCCTGGGGCCACCGGAGAGGTGAGAGGTGCTAGTGGCTGCCCCGAGGGCCCTGGTGGTGAGGCATGCCTGGAAAGCTGGCTGTTCATCTTGTTGAGGAAGGGCAGAGCACAGCAAGGTCCACAGTTAAAAAAAAAAATTGTGATTTTTTTTTTTATTGGTTGAACAAACTTTGAAATTACAACATAAAACCACTTCTTCATCCAGCATGGGAAGTCCAGAGGGTGACAGGGAGGACCAGAGCTTTGCCCTGGTGAGGGTTCCGTCGCCACCTGGTCCCCTCTCCACCTGCCCCTCAGACCCCTGAGGCCACGGGCAGGGTAACACTGATGGGGAAGGTGCCTCAGGGCTGCTTTGGGAGAGCGGAGGGGGAAGCCGGGGTCAAGCAACGTTGGCAGGCTGGCTCCTGGCCATGGCTGGGCCAGTATGAAGCATCTGCTCACCTTCCCAGGCACCTGGCTGGGGGCAAGTGGGAGGGAGGAGTGGAGAAAATGGATGCTGAGCTGCACTTCAGTACCACTGTCCCTGAGGGCACAGCAGTAAGATTAGAAGTAAACAAATACAGACTTCAAGGAAGAAGGCTGATTTACCCGCCGTAGGGCCTGGGAGCTGGGCTTGTCCAGGGTTGAGCTGAGCTTGATAGCTTGCAAAGTCCTGGTGTGAGGCCAATAGCCTCCAGATGCAGGAGGGGTGGGAGAAGCTGGGAGGGCCGCTCCTTGGAGGAGCTACCCAGGGGATTCTGGCAGAGTGTGGGTGGGATAACCGGGCGACCTCCCCCCTTCCCCCCACTTTTTTTTGGTATTAGCCAGAGCAAGAATTGGGATGCTCAGGGTACCCTCTACTGGTGGTTTCTGGGAATGACCACATTACACAGCATCCAAACTGTACCCAAAAGGACCAGGAGAGGATCCGACCCCTATAGGATACGCTTCTTGCCAGGCTGGAAGGTGACGAGCGCCTCCTAGTGGGAGGCCGAGAGAACGCTGCTGGCTCTTTTGCTTCTGCTGCTCTGCAGAGGGGCTGGGACTTGGACGGACCCTGTGGTTCACTTCAAAGGCATGGAGAAGAACTTGTTCCCGGACTTGCAGCGGACCTGCTCAGCGAGCACTCGCAGCAGCACCTCCGCATCTTCAAACTCATCCACGATCTCCTACCGCCCACAGCAGGGGAGGAAAGTAACAGTGAAGGGCCTCCCTGGAGCACAGGGCACTGCAAACAGAATCAGCCTCTCCGACTCCTGCAGGAGCCCAGGGCCATGTGGGCTGGCGGCCCCAAAATCTGGAGAGTTGGCTTTATCATCCAGACTGTGAGCCAGGGCATGGATGCTCAGAGACCTGGGTTACATGCACCTGCAAGCTAGAGCAGGGCCTTGATCAGAGGGACCCAGGAACCAGGGCTCTTTGCTGCTTCTAGTATTTAGGCCAAGTGCAAGGTGGCTCTGTGGTGACCCACGGGCCATCTCTGGCCTTCACACGTTCTGTGTGGCTTGCAAAACATGGTTATTGGAGGGTCACACAGTGAGGCATCACTTCTGGCTTTTCTTGGGAACCAGGAGTGGTGGTGACACTGAGCCCACACTCCCGCATGGCACACACATGGTTGCTTCTCCTCCAAGGGCATGGGTGGAAAATTTCTCACCTTCCCATCCAAGTACTTGGGCTCCTTTTGGCCAGCACAGCCCACTCACTTCCAAGCCCTGAGCCCCTGGGTGAGAGGCTGGGCCTGCAGCCTCTTCATGTGCACGTAGCTTTCCAGAGAGCTCATGAGCTGATCTCCTAGGTCTGGGTGGGGCCAGGCTTGGTTGTGTGAAGGAGCTTCCTGGTGCGGCAGCTGCTGCCAGCCCAGCGCCCAGTCTGAGGAGCAGGGCCTGTGTCGGCATGGCCTGCCAGGTTGCAGGGTATCCAGGCATTAGGATGTGGGTGCCTGGCCCTTCCCCCTCCAACATTCACACCATGGCTTCTAGGGCTCAGGGCCCCCCTTGCTCCCACTTACCTGCAGTTCTTGCAGGCACTGCCCTTCCAGCTGCACGCGGGCATCACCCACACACCAGGCCAGACTGATGTGGAAAGAAGGGTCCTGAGGAGGAAGAGTGGGGATGTGGTGACCGCGCATGCTCAGGTAGGCCCAGCTTTCATTGCAGGTCTCCAACCCTGAGTCTGCCCCAGCCTGCATGTACAAGCCTGGACTCTTAGAGCTGAGTGCAGACAGAGCCGGGGCCAGTTCCTGCAGAGGACAGAACTCTGCCTCCTGTCTCAGTTTGCTAGCTAAAGTCCTAGCCTGCTCTGAAAAGGCATTAGGAGGCAGTGTCTTGCCAGGTAACTGGGGTTCAAGGAGGTCATGAAGACGGGGTTCTCTGATGGGCCCACACTACCCTCGTGGGAGAATTGGATGAAGCTCCTGGTTTTAGCCTGGCTGTTGTAGCCGTCTGGGGAGTGAATCAGCAGAAGATATCGCTCCGTGTCTTCTCTCTACAGAACTCTTTCAAAATAAATAAACAAATTTTAAACAGAAAGAATTGTCAAACAGGAGCTGGTCTTGTAGCATAGCATGCTAAGCTGCTCCTTGGGATGCCAAGTTTTCATATCCTAGTGCCAGTTTGAGTCCTGGATGCTGCTTCTCATCCAGCCCCCTGCTAATACGCCTGGGAAGGCCATGGAGGATGGCCCGAGTATATGGGACCCTGCCAGTTATGTGGGAGACCTGTATGAAATTACAGACTTCGGGCTGGCCCAGCCCAGCCATGGTGGGCATGTGGAGAATGGCCCAACAGCTGGAAAGTCTCTCTCTCTCTCCCCATGACTCTCTTGCTCTCACTCTTTCAATCAATCAATCTTAAAATCAAATAAACCAGTGACCCTTTATGGTCAGTAGTGCAGGGCACGGGCGCTGAGCAAGGTGTAGTGAGGCTACAGCCTCCCAAGAGGGTTGATTTGATGAGAAACATTGAGGACAGCAAGCTCTTGTGGGATATCAAACACACAGAGAGGAACACTTTCCCTGCAGCACGGTAAGATGCAGCCCAGGGCTCTGGGAGGTGCTGGTTTTCAGGTATGGTGGCAGCAGCCACACCGTACACCTTCCCCTCCAAGGGTTGGGCACGTTGTATGGACTGGCTCTGGGGATCCTGCATGGGGCAAGTTCTGCAGGGTTTCCGGGTGTGTCTCTTGCAGGCTGACCTGAATCCAGGGCCAGCTGAGCTTACAGAGCCAAACCTGCCATTACCTGATAGAAGGTGGTGAGGTCAAACTCCTCCAGGACTCTGTCCACCTCGGATACCAGGTGCAGGAGCTGGGTGTGGCCTGAGGTGACCTCAAGCCCTACAAAGGTCCTGAGAAGATGTACAGACAGAGGAGTCTAAGGGGTGGCCTCCAGGAACAGCGGCCGCCTGCATACCCAAAGCCATGAAGCCTGAGCCAAGGGTGTCCCATCTCCCTAGGGAGTTCCTCTCCTCTTCCTCCTGTCTTTAAACTTTCCTTCCCTAGCTCCAACCCATGTGCCTCCTGTCTCCAGGTCTACTGACTCCTAGGCCACGTCTCTGGGTCTTCAGGCTCCTGGCAGCAGCCAGGCCAGGGCCCTGTTGGAGGACTCAGTTCTTGGCACCCCCTCCTTTGCTACAACGCTCAGCCATTCCCTCTCCTCTTCAAACCCCTCCTCTGAGCCACGTGTTCAGCCAGCCTCCTTCTTGCTGAAACTTCTCATCTACCTCATGTTTCTGTTTCCCCAGCCCTCTGCCACAAGTGTTTTGGTTGAAGCTGCCAACGAGCCCCACGATGTTCTCCCCCCACCCCAACACACTTCCCTCCTTTTTTTTCTCTTGGCATCTCTGACTCCTGACCTGCGCCCCACTGTACCACCCAGGCCATGAGGCCAGCAGTTCTGCCTCCAGCTGATGTCTCCCTTGTCCATACCCTGTTGCAAAAGTGACACTTTCCCTTAGGGCTCTAACTGGCAGCAAAACTGAATGAGTACAAAGTAGAATTTCTGATTTACTACTGTGGGAAATGGGGCTGATTCTTCAAATCCCAAACTCAGGGATTAACTTGGATTCTTCCCCTGACTTCACACAAATCTAGCTGCTGGGAACTTCAGTGGACGCGGGATATATCAAATGCTGTTTACCATTAACCCGGTCTGGACCACCAGGTCACTGTATCCTGCACCTGGCTCATGCTGCCTGATCCTCTCTGGTCTCCATGTCCCGCCTGTTCCCTTCCATCTCTCTGTAGGTCCAACAGCCATGGGACAGGCTGACAGTCACCAGTTCCCATCACAATACACCTCTGTCGCAACCCCTCCAGCAGCTCCCACCTCGCTGGGATTCCAAAGTCCTTATTTGAACTTGGCGGCCCTGCAGGAGCTAACACTGCTTCCCCACTTGCTCCCTCATGGGCTCAGTGGGTTCCACCTCACTGGCCTCCTTGATGACCCCAAGCTCTTGGCTGCACTGGAGTCATCTCCTTTGTTGTGCCTACCACGGTGGTTTTTCCCACAGCTGGCTCCTTGCCATGTGCAGGTTGGCATCCCCCAGGCACCTTCCCGGCAATGCATGCTGACAACCCACCATATCACATATAAACCCACCACATCACTTTGTCACTGTTAACACCCTGCCTACTCGCTCAGGATCTGTCTCCTGCACACAGTGTAAGATCCCGGTGAGTGAGAGCTGTGTGCACCTTGTCACCGGCCTATCTTTGGCAGCAAGTGCTGGATACAGTGTAGCTGCTACTAGCAACTGTGTCTAGCACAGACCCCTTGGAGGAGTTCAGACAGGATGTTGCTTAGAAAGCCTGTTGGACCAGGGCGCTGGCTTTGAGGACCTGACAATAGAAACTTCTTTACGTATTCCTCTGACACTCCAATGTGTGTGTCTTCTCCAAACTATCGGGTGTCAGAGAGCGTCACATGGGCCTGACAGATAACCTAGGGTGATGCATGCCACCAAGGGGCTGACCCCAGCTAAGCAGAGTGAGGACAGCAGCCAGGCCTTAGAGCTATGACAGGCTCAGTGTAACAGGGCTGCTGACTCTCTGAGGCCCTTTTCTCTGCACTATGAGGGCTCCCCCACTTCGGTGCCTCCCACTCCTGTTATTCCCCACCCTCACCCCAGTTAGTTCTCTTAATGAAGGACTCAGGCTTGGGAATAGCTGCCTTGAGTTGTTTCAAAACAAACAGATAACTGGGATAAACAAGCCAAGAAACAAAGTGCCTCTTAACCTCTGCCCTGAGGAATCTTCTGGAAGGATGGGGGAACTTACCTGGTTTTCTCTTGATTGGTATAAATCTTTACTTGGTTGGCAGTAAAGAAGAATCTGAAATGTGTAAGAGTTATCTCTGGTCAGGAAGAGCAAGAAAACGAATCAGAAAGACATGGCTTGTATCGATGGCACAATGATAATATAATCAACCCGTACTATCATCACCTATTAATCCAGGTAGTAAATTGAACCTTAAAACAGAGCGAACAAGCCTTTCACATCACCCTGTTCAGGTAATACCAGCACCATTCAGAAGCCAGCAGCAATCCTACACTAACAGTTCATTCAATAAACAACTGGAAACGTCAATCTTTGCTGAGAAAGTCTTGTTCATTGTGTAAGCGATAATAGATCATTTTGTGTCCAATTCATTCCTTTCTAATGAAAAAATGTCCAAGCAACAAGGTCAATTCTCATGTGCCAGGGACGGAGCTCAGAGCTTTGCACATGGCAGCCTGCAGAGTGCCCCGGCATCCATGAGGCAGGCACCTGAATATGCCCATTTGAGATAAGGAAACTGACACTTGGTGAGGCTGACTTGGGTGAACCAGGATTTGGGACTCAAGGCTGCCTGAGCCCACCGCCCTTGCTTCTACCTATACTTAATGAAGAGAAGTGGGTTCTGTGGCTGTACAGTTGGGGCAGAGGGGCAGGTCTCTGGCACAGTGGCTGAGATGCCACATGGGTGCTCACTCTCATGTCAGGGTACCTGGGCATCTCAGCTTTTGGTAATAGCTTCTTTAAAAAAAAAAAAGATTTATTTATTTTTATTGGAAAGGCAGATATACGGAGAAGAGGAGAGACAGAGAGGACGATCTTCTGTCCGATGGTTCACTCCCCTAGCGGCTGCAACAGCTGGAGCTGAGCCAATCCGAAGCCAGGAGCTCTTCTGGGTCTCCCAAGCGGGTGCAGGGTCCCAAGGCTTTAGGCAGTCCTCGACTGCTTTCCCAGGCCACAAGCAGGGAGCTGGATGGGAAGTGGAGCAGCCGGGATTAGAACCGGCGACCATATGGGATGCCGGCATGTGCAAGGCAAGGACTTTAACCACTATGCTATCGTGCCGGGCCCCTGGTAGCAGCTTCTTGCACAAAGTAGACCCTGGGGAGACAGTAGGTGACAGCTCAAGGGGCCAAGTCTCTTCCCTCTGCATGGGAGACCCGGACTGTGTTCCTAGTCTCACCTTCAGCTTTGCTCAGTTATGGCTACTGACACTTGCCCACGTGCCGCCTTCAGATCTGCTACAGGCTGAGCCAGGTAAGTGCTGTGTGTTCCAGGACCATAGATACCCCAGAGGGATCACTGTCCTTGGTAGCTCCCTCCGCCAAAGGTCTTCCACAGCCTGCAGGTCCAGGGGAACCCACGGTTCTACTACAGAGGACTTGGGCCCAGTGTCAACCAGGACATGGGGCAGGAAGCACTACCCCTGCAGGGTGGGGTTAGCCCCATCCCCTGAGAGGGTGCCAACCCTGGGGCCCTGGATGAACAAGGGAACAAGCCACATGGGACTAACAGTTCTCCTAAGGGCCTTTGGACAGAGTTCCCAGAGGTCCTGGCAAGGCACTTGCAGGCAGGAAAGCCCCAAGTCGTGGCTTCCCACCAGGTTCAAGTTCACTCCTAGTGCACTCAGGCCTGATACAGGGAGCCTGTCAATCTTTCTTTCTTTTTCTCAATTTTCATTTATTTGAAAGGCAGAAAGAGAAACAGCCAGCCAGAGGAACATCCACCTGTGAATTCATTCCCCAGGGAATCCCCCAATAGCAGCAGCTGGGCTGGAAGCGGGGACCCCAGTCTGCTCTCCCATGTGGGGGACAGGGACCCACACAGTTGTGTCACCACTGCTGCCTTGCAGGGTGTGCATTAGCAGGGAGCTAGGAGTGAGATGCAGAGCCAGGCACTCCAACCTGGGAGGTGGGTGTTCCTGGGGCTTTTTAACAATCATGCCAAGTACCATGCTCCATCAGGTATCTTTCTTTTTCTTCATCAGGTATCTTGGGTTAAGTGACACTGCTGCTGGTCCAACTGTCACTGTTAAGGAGGCTGGCTCTAGCAGGAGCAGGGCCCAGGTCTTCACCTGGCACATGTACCTCAGAGCGGGCTTCTGCCTTCCTCACATGGAGGAAGGCTTTGCAGGTGAACACGCTAGAAAACTGCCACCCAGATGGTGGCTTCTGGAAGGGACAGCTCCCCAGTGGACCCTGAGGGCTCCAAGGAGGATGTTCCAGGCCTGCCTTGTCCCTGCTTAGTCATTCCACAGCAATTCCCTCTCCCCCATGCCTACGGTGAGCATAGCACTTGGAAGAAGGCTATACAGTAACTCACAGACCAACAGGTGTGGCCTGCAGGAGCCCAGGTCCTGGAAGGTGCAAGGGTCTGGGAAATGACTGGAATTGGGGAGGCACCATTAACCCGCAGGAACCATGGTCCTGGACATGGAGGGCTTCCGGGGGAGATGCCGCCCACCCAGGAGAGTCACACTGAACGCACAAGGCTTGGTCCGGTCAGACCCAGCAGGAAAGCTGTTTGTGGTCCGAGAGGAAGGATGGGACAATGGTGGGCAAGACAAAGTAGCAGGGGTTCCAGTTCTGACCTTCCCCAAGGACCATGTGGAGGGCATACATGGTCTCATTTCACCCTCCCAAGTTCTCGGGCAGCTACCACTCTACCATGATCTGTGTGTGCACACAGGTCACTAAGATGCACAGGCGTTGGCCTGCCTGGGCTCCTGACTGGAGGCACTAATGCCCATGTGATGTGCTGGCAGCAGAGAGCCTTGGAGAATCTTTTGCTTCAAGACTGGGACTTGGACTGATGCCGGGTCCCGACAATGCAGAGCTCCTGGGGGGAGTTTTCTGACTGATAGCATCTTTTGTCTTATCAGAGGCAATTCTGGAACTTTCAGCCTCATCCCCACTGCCATCCTGTAAGAGCCTACATGGTCACCCCAGGAGGACAGGCCCACTTATTGAGGTGACACACCCCACAGTAATGCTCAGAGGGGAGTGCGGGGAGTTGGGTGGTTCCAGGGCAGAGCAAGGGCGGGAGGTACTCACTGCTGGCAGCAGGCCAAGCGCTCCTTCAGCGCCTGCACAAACGGGAGGATCCAGTGGTGGCGCAGGACTACACTCTGGGACAGGCTCAGGTGGAAGGCTTCCATGGCCACCAGCCATGGCACATGCACCTGCGCATGGCGCAGCAATGTATCCAGCAGATCCAGAAATGCCTCTCCGGCCTCATCTGCAGGGAACAGTGGACAGGGCGGCCATTGTTAGCTACAGTGTCGTGGGTGAAGGAATCCCAAAAGGCAGAGAGAAACTCTTCTCATTCTGGGCTTAAGTAGAAAACCACCTGTGAATACACCTATGTATTCTAGTATTTATTTATCTTTAATTGGCACATACTAGTTGTATACATTTATGGTATCTCCATGCATGTGTAATGATCAGATCGGGGTAACCAGCACAGCCATCACTCCAATATTTCCTTTTTCTTTGCATTCAGATTCTTTCTTCTAGCTAGTTGGCAATATGGAAGAAATCAGTCTGCATGTTGGGTGTGGTAGTTAAGATGCTGCCTGGCACATCTGCATCCCATGGTAGAGACCCTCGGGTGCAGGTCCTCACTCTGTCTCAGACTCCAGCTTCCTGCTTATGTGAGGCTACAATGCAGTATGCATCTCTACTTCCAGACTAAAGATGGACTCCCAATGAAACTGCTTACTATATGACAATAGGACGATGGACTCTCTGCCATTGTCCACGCACACAATAATGGACATATGAGTGTGTGTGAAGAACTATACTTTAGTAATGATATAGAGGAACTCAGTGAGGGGGGGATTAGGGAGAGGATAAGGGAAATCCCAGGGGCGTATGGAACTGTATCATAAAATAGTAAAAGATTAAAAAAACCCACAAATTATACAAAAAAAAAATAGCATGCCATGTTCTTTCGAGTTAATCTTCCTAGGAAAGAGATGTTATTATTATTATCCTCATTTTAGATGCAAGGACCCTGTCTACTCTTATAAAGCATTGGACATAGTGGAGTGAACCACCCTTTGAAGCCTAGGCAATCTGTTCATCAGGATGGAGGTGGGACCCGAATCCCCTGGCCCTCTTGGACAGCAAATGCCACCTGCACCCTGGGATGGCCCTGACATCTTCCCCATAAGCTCCTGAGCTGGGGGAGAGGCGCAGTATTATACTTAAGGTTTCAGGACATCAATTTTAAGATGATGTCCTGAAGCCAAGAGTTGGGAGAGAAATTTCCAGCTCTCAAACCTTGCTTTCTTGGTTGAGTCAATCTCTTTGCCATCACCAGTGGCACAGGTTTCTGGTTTCCTTCTCCCAGTCACGCCTGCCTTGATTCCTTCCCCACAACACCGCTCCCCCCCCCACCCCCCCACTTTCTACACCGCACTCACAGGGGATGTAGACGTGGGTGGCCCAGTTACCCCGCTCGTGAGGGAAGCTACGGATTCGCCCGCCGTGCTTTGCCCGATCGTCCTGAGGCCCCTCCTCGGTGCCTGGGAACATGTTCAGCACGCTCTCTGGCACTGGGAATCTCTCCTTGGGAAGGGGGCTCCGGCCGCTGCAGGAAGAAAAACAAAGTGAACCTCCTGCCTTGATCGTAGGAATCCCCGACACGGGGTGGAGACGCCCAGCCAGCCGCTGGAGGCAGCTAAGTCTCACTGGGGACTTGCAGCGATTCTGGGAGGCAGAAGTCACTGTGCTCCTGGCCCCCACAGAGGATAGCCGGGCAGGACGCAATGTGTGGCTGCCGGCCACCTTTCCCGGCTGGACAGGACTGTGCTGGAGGGGCGATTCAGGCTCTAGGCCTCATTTTCTTCTTCCTTAAAGTGCATTTCTACCTGATGGAGTCACTGAAAGTTCAACTCTCCTAAAGCACTCGGCAAGCAAGCCTTCAGGACCACGAAGGGAAAGACGGATGCACTGGTGGATGCTCAGTGTGCACTGACTGCATGAATGGAAAACATCTCCAAACGCTCCAGCTATTATTACGATTCTCATTGGGTTCAGATGATTCAGTCGCGCGTTTTAGGAGACTGAGTGAGCCAGCGGCAGAGGCGGGGACCCGAACCTCCCAACCGTGCCCTTCCATTCCCGGAAACCGCCCCCCATGCTCCTCCCCGACTCGCTTGGGTCGGGTGGGCTCTAGCGAATCCGCACCCTAACTTTAAAGAAGACTTCCTCGTTCCTCACCATCGGCGGCCGCCGGCCCCGGGGCTGGCCGGCGGCGCGGCGTCGGCTTCGACTTCATCTTCCGAGCCGCTGCTGCTGTAGCCCACCAAGGGCGCCGCGCTCATGGGGCCGCGCTCGGCCAGCTGGAGACCGTCCGCGCGCAACCTCACCTGCCTCCTGCAGTTCCGCGGCGCCGGAAGTTCCCTGGGGGGCGGGACCTGAGACGGCCCCGCCCAGGGGGGGCGGAGCCACGCTGCGGGACCTGGAGGTGTTGTGGAGGCGAAGCCTCAGTGTCCCGGTTCTCCCGGCTGCGCGCGGGGTGTTACTTTCCGGCTCCCGGAGTCACCCCATTCTCTCCCTGAGTCTGTGTAAGTCCATCTCACACATCCAAGAGTGTCCTTTCCAAACCTGCCCAGAGTCCGCGTCCCGGGGGTCAAGTTGAGTTGGTGAGAAGGTCAATCCCACAAGGCCAGAAGGGCTTACAGAGGTGACAGGTGCAGCGGTCCGGCCAGGGGCGAACCCCCGTCCCCCACCGGAGCCGCTTGGTCGGCGAGCCGGGCGCCGGCCCTCAGTCAGCCGCTGCGCTCGGGCCCCTGGACTCCAGTGTGCGACCCGTCCGGGCAGAGGGGTCCCCGGCAGGGGGCAGCCTCGCTCCGCGCCGCCCGCTCCTCCCGCCGCCGCCGCCGCCGCCGCCGCCCGGACGGCCGCTCCTCCTCCGGCCCCGCCTCCCTGGCCCCCGCGCCGCCCGCTCGTCCGCCGGTCTCCGCAAGGCCGTCCGCCCGTCCGCCCGCCCTCCGTTCCCGGCGCTCCTCCGCCTCGGCCCCGCTACCCCGGCCGCACGGTCGCCTTTTCCGTTCGGCCCACCCCCCCCTCGCTCCCCAACCCCTGCGTCCCGGGCCGGCAAGCAGCCGCTACGCGAGGCCGGGGATTGGTAGCGCTCGTAGGCCGCGCCGCCGCTGATGGAGCCGGAATAAAGGGGTGGCCGAGAGAGCAGCTGGTCGCCGCCCGCCCCGCGCCCGGCCCCCACCCCCCGCCGGCGGCCTGGAGCAGGTGAGCGGTGTGGCGCCCGGGGGCCGCGACTGGGGGCCACTCCCGCGCCCACCGCACCCTTTCCCCAGCCGCCTTGGCTGCTCCCCCGCTCCCGCCCCGCCCCGGCGGTGGCCGCCGCGGCCTCCTGAGCTCCTGGGAAACGCAGGCCGGGCCACGACGCGCAGCTGCTTCCCCGGGCCCGGCTTTTGGCCCTGGGGCCTTTTCTCGAGGCGAGCCGCAAGCCGCGCTTGGGCCAAAACGACCGGGGCAGTGCGGACGAGGGCTGACAGGAGGCCCAGCTGTGCAGGCGGGAGGTGATCGGCTTTCATTTGGTTTCCCAGGGAGGAAGAAGGAAGGGCTGGGGTGGGGCGTCAGGTGGGGGCTTTCCTGGCCTGGTTGGGCAGTGGGGTTGCGGGCACAGCTGGGGAGCCTTCAGCCTGGCAGCCGGAAAAAAAATAACCCCAGAGTGGTCCACCTGCCTCACTGGGTCCTGGAAACTCCTGAATGGAGGAGTGGTACCTGCTTCCGCCCATAGCCTGCAGTTCCCACTCAGAACAGCGGTCCTCTGGCCTTCCTTCCCTGTGGATGCTGGGGTTTGACTCATGCTTCTGTGGCAAATCAGCTAGAGGCTGGGGCCAGGGAATGTGTCTCTTTTCTCCTTCCCCTGCTCAAGGAAAAACTTCAAAACTTTGAAGTGCAGAAGACAGGTGCGCTGGAACCCTGGGTGTGGGTTGCATCCTATTCGAGAAGTTTCTGCCCCTGGCTGCTATTGCCTGTACTGTCACAGAGTGGTGACTTAGGGTTTCTCTTGTCTGGGTAAGAACAGTGCAGGGGGCTGATAACCCAGAACGCGGCCGTCTTGGGGCACCAAAACGTGGCTGTCTCTAGAAGGTAATATTTGGTGGTTAGTAAGTTGTATTCCGCACTACCCTGACAGACCATTTCTTTATTTTCCTGCAAGCTGAGGCTTTAGGATTCCTTTTTTGGGGGAGGTGGGGAAGACCGTTCGTGGAAATGTTCAGTTGCAGGGGAAGGGGGTGGGCGGATTTTGCCATGTGGACCTTGAAGCTGGGCAGGTCTAAGGGGCTGTCTTCTGCCCAGTTCAGGCCTTGGCGCGGGAGGCCGGCTATCCTAGTACATGGAGAAAGAACAGGTGCATGGTCAGAGTGGAGGGCCTGGGGAGAGGAGAAGGAGGGGGTTGGGTAGCCCCATGCAGGAGAGGGTCTTTGAGCCGGTCCTTGGTTCCATGTGTTGTCCTCACTATGAAGCCCAGCAGCCATTTGTCCCTGGGCTGGCAGACAGGGCATACCGGCCAGCCTGGTCTTTTGGGCAGTGGTGTTTTGGGTTGAGACAAAGAGTGGCACCAGGAGGGGTGCCTGGTAGGTCTCTGTACATCAGCTCAGACTCTGGGCTGGGAAACACCTGACTGAGGAAGGCTGGGCCTGGGGGTGTTGGAATGGAGTGAGACCATGGCCACGGCCATCCCATGTGCCTGGAGAAGCTGAGCTGCCAGCGGCTTGTCTGGCCATGTGTTAAGGAGCAGGTCTTCTACCTTCGGGTACCCTAGCCTTCTGTTATATGGCTTACGTGCATGGGCTACGTGCAGGGGGAGGACCCAGGGTGTGGCTGCTTGTTCCTGCTTCAGGCTCACTATTTCTTTCTTCCCTGCAGAACCCATCCCTGGGGAAGGCAGAGAAGAGCAGCCCAGCCTGCTGTATAGACAGCATTGTGTGTAGTGCTGTCTTCTTGGTCAATGACTCGGGTGTCGGCCCAGACCCTCCTCTGTGCCTTGTCTGAGGTGCCTGTCTATCCCTGTTGTTCTTCTCCCTGGGCTGGGTCACTTCACGCAGGAAACTGAAGCCGTTACTCTCCAAAGCCCGCTTCATCTTCCCAAGCATGTCGGAAAGTTGGCAACAGCCACCACAGACACAACCCCAGCAGCCCCAGCCCCCGCAGCCCCAGCACCATGCAGAGCCCCCGCCGGCCCTGGCTGAGCACACACTGCCCCCAGGCACGGCCGAGAACCCCTTGGGCTGTGCCGTGTATGGCATCCTCCTGCAGCCTGAAGCAAGCCTGCAGCCTTCCCAGCACGCACCCCTGCAGGCGGCAGGGGAGCCAGGCCCCAAGTGTGGGGTGTGTGGTCATGACCTGGCGCACCTGTCCAGCCCACACGAGCACCAGTGCCTGGCAGGCCACGACCGTTCATTCCAGTGCACACAGTGTCTCAAGCTCTTCCACCAGGCTACTGACCTGTTGGAGCACCAGTGTGTGCAGGCCGAACAGAAGCCTTTCGTCTGCGGTGTGTGCAAGATGGGTTTCTCGCTGCTCACCTCCCTGGCGCAGCACCACAGCTCACACACAGGCCTGGTGAAATGCTCTATCTGTGAGAAGACCTACAAACATGCCGAGACAGAGCCAGTGACCACGACAGCACCTTCCCTTCCCTCGGCGCCCACGGCCTCTGTGGAGCAGGCCGAGAAGCCCTACAGCTGCCCCATCTGCCAGAAGCCCTTCAAGCACCTGTCGGAGCTGTCCCGCCACGAGCGGATCCACACGGGTGAGAAGCCATACAAGTGCACACTATGTGACAAGAGCTTCAGCCAGTCCTCCCACCTGGTGCACCATAAGCGCACGCACAGCTCGGAGCGGCCCTACAAGTGTGCAGTGTGCGAGAAGACTTTTAAGCACCGCTCGCACCTTGTGCGCCACATGTACGCACACTCAGGCGAGCACCACCTGTTTCGCTGCAATGTGTGTGAGCTGCACTTCAAAGAATCCTCAGAGCTGCTACAGCACCCATGCACACCCAGTGGCGAGCGGCCCTTCCGCTGTGGTGAGTGCCAGAAGGCCTTCAAGCGGCCCTCGGACCTGCGGCAGCACGAACGCACGCACAGTGCCGAGAGGCCCTTCAAGTGCGACCTGTGCCCCATGGGTTTCAAGCAGCAATACGCACTCATGCGGCACCGGCGCACACACAAGACAGAGGAGCCCTTCAAGTGCGGCCTGTGTGAGAAAGGCTTCGGGCAGCCCAGCCACCTGCTCTACCACCAGCATGTGCACACGCTCGAGACTCTCTTTAAATGCCCCGTGTGCCAGAAGGGCTTCGACCAGTCGGCTGAGCTGCTGCGGCACAAGTGCCTGCCGGGTACAACCGAGCGGCCATTTAAATGCCCTGTGTGCAACAAGGCCTATAAGCGGGCCTCGGCCCTGCAGAAGCACCAGCTGACACACTGCGCCGCCACAGAGAAACCCCTGCGCTGCACATTGTGTGAGCGCCGCTTCTTCTCCTCCTCGGAGTTTGTGCAGCATCGCTGTGACCCGGTGCGTGAGAAGCCACTCAAGTGCCCGGACTGTGAGAAGCGCTTCAAGTACGCCTCAGACCTGCAGCGGCACCGGCGCGTGCACACGGGGGAGAAGCCCTACAAATGTCCCAACTGCGACAAGGCCTTCAAGCAGCGTGAGCACCTCAACAAGCACCAGGGCGTTCATGCCCGGGAACAACAGTTCAAGTGTGTGTGGTGCGGGGAGCGCTTCCTGGACGTAGCCCTGCTGCAGGAGCACAGCGCACAGCACAGTGCAGCTGCCGCAGCGGCAGAAGGTGCCTACCAGGTTGCTGCCTGCTTGCCCTGAGTGCGTATGTGTGGACTTTCCTGCCTCGCACTCAGCTACCTGTCCTCCCTCCCCAACCCTGCTCAGGGTTTGGAGTGAGGACAAAAAGTGGAGGGCTCCTGTGCTTAGCACTCCTGGCACCAGCTTGGCAGCAGTGGAGCCAGAGGGCTATGGCCGCACCTGACTCCATAACCCTCTAACCTCCCCAGGTTTTGCTTTCCCGAGAGTCACCAGCCTCCCTTGGCTCTGGGGTACCAGAGCCAGACTGGATGGCAAGTGGGGCAATACCAGCCCAGCCCTCCCAAGTCTTTTGACCTAATTAGCAAGCAGAAAAGTTGGCAAGAGGTGGCTCATAGTTGGGCCCAAGGAGGCGGGCCTGCTTGTTCCCCAGAGGCAGGCTTGGTGTAGGGCTTCCCCCCAGGTTGCTGGTAAGGGATATGGCCAGCTTTGCGATGGAGCCTAGAGACCGGGTAGCAGACTGTGGACCACAGTCTGCCCTTGGCCCAAGTATAAGGGGTCAGGTGTCCCCCGGCACCTAACAGGGCACACCTGCAGGATGGGGGTCCTTGGCCAGGGTCCATTTAGAGTTCTTCTGACATCAACTAGGGACAATGCCACCCATGGGGAAGGGAGGGCAGGTGGCATGTTGGTGGCAAGGGCTGAGCACTGCATTGGCTTTAGAAACCTCTCTCCACTTTTGTGGTGTGCTCGGGCCGGGCAGAACTGCTAGTGTGAAACATGGGAGGGAGGAGGTGGGGTCAAGCTCCAGGTCTCCCCAGCAGGTGCAAAGGAGTATTCCCTTCTCAGTGTGTGAACCAAAGCATCCGGGGGCTTGCCGCAGCCCTGCCTCAGGGCCAAGACCAGGCCTGGGGACCCAGAGTGGGAGAATGGCCTCCTCCTTTGCAGGGCATTTTTCCCCCAACACCACGCCATCTGTCTGCCTACTGACCTGGACCACAGGCTAACCTTGTGTTGCCAGGATGCCCTGGATAGCACCCAGCCACTTTGAAGGCCAGTTATTCTCCTTTGGGTCATCCAAGAGTCCCTCCACAGGTCTCACTGCCTATTGGACTTGTGGGTACAGGGTGTTCAGGCATGGGGAATAGGAGGGAGACTGGTGGGTTACAGAGCCAGGAGGCTGTGTGCCTGGCAGGTGCATGGAGTCAGCTGAGCTTGCTGGCAGCCAAGGCTCTAAAAACCTGGAAAGGACTTATGTCAGTCATGGGACATTTTGAGCCTAGCTCTGCCTCCTCCCTTCAGCCAGCCATACCCTCCCTTGTTTGTGGCTTTTACATGAAGACTGAGGGGTACACATGCAAAGGGCCCGCTTCCCCCTCCATTCTGGGGCTGTGAATGGTCACATGGCCTGCTTGCTGGCTGGGTTCTTTCCAGTGCCTGCAGCGGGGCTGGTCCTTGTCCTGGGGAGGCATCCCCCAGCAGATTCCTGAAAGACTGGGAACTCAGGCTCACAGTGTTCCAACTGCTAGCTTTCCCTTTTCCATTGCTTTCCGAAAACGGTTTGTAATACTATTCATAACATTGTATAGCTGAATTTCATGTCATTTTCAGTCTTCTCCAAAAATGTGTGAATCTGGATTTTTAAAATGAACGACTCCATTTTAGGTAGCCACTTTGATGTCCCTGTGTAGTGAGTCCAATGTGTTTGCTGTAGAAGTAAAGATGCCAACTGCCAGAGAGCCAGAGCACTGCTTGTCCTGCTCCTTCTTCCCAGGGAATGAGTGGTGGGCTGTGGAGAAGCAGGTGGGCCAGGAAGGCCCGAATGGCAGGACAAGTGTGGCATCAGAGAGCCATCTCTGAATCCTGGTGTGTGGCCTTGGACAGGTCCCTGCTGGGAGTCAAAGTTGTCTCGCATGGACAGGTTACTCCTCATCTTGCTTGGTTGTCATAGGAGGAACCAGCATGGGGGGTGTGGAGATACTGATAATGCCAACCGCAGGATGCTTGGAGTCCTTTGGAATGGAGTCCCACCCAGCACTTGACCTCCCTTTTTTATGATGTTTATTTTCTGTTTATTTGAAGGGCAGAGTTAGAGAGGATGAGAGACAGAAAAAAATCTTCTATCCCCTGGTTTGTTATCCAAATGGCCACAATAGCCAGAGTTGGGAGAGGCTGGAGCCAGGAGCCTGGAGCTGCTTTTGGGTCTCCCATGTGGGTGGCAGGGACCCAAGGATTTGGGCCATCTTCTGCTGCTTTCCCAGGTGCATTAGCAGGGAACCGGATCAGAGGTAGAGCAGCCTGGACTCAAACCTGTACCCATATGGGATGCCTGTATGGCAGGGGGTGGCTTAGCCTGTATGCCACAGTGCTGGCACTGACCCTGGGATGTAAGTGCAACCCTGAGGAGGGAGTTGGGCCATGATGGCCCAGCAGGGTGAGGAACAGCAGCCCTAGGGGCCAGGGCCTGAGCCTGGTAAGCATGAGAGCTTATGTAGCCCCAGTGGGAAACTAGAGGCCTTCCTGGAACAGCTTAGGATGCACAACCAGACCTTGCCTCAGGGCTGGTCCAGTGCCTCCCCCCATCCCACTGTGACCCTCTGTGGGCCCAGCCAGCGGCCTCCTACCTCAGCACTCCTCTTCCTTTACCCCATCCTTTCCCCAGGGGCCCCGTGTAAGTTCTTGCATGTCTCAAAAGGCAGACTGGGAAGAAGGAGGAGCAGGCCACTAGTGTGGCTCTGAGAACCAGTACAGCATGTGCTGTGCAGGTCCAAGGAGGCATGAGGTGAGGACAGGGAGTGCCTGCACCACAGCACCTGATGTAGAAGCTTCATGACAGGCTGGGAGACCAGGTGGGACCAGGGCCATGCTCACTATGCTCTGTGGCCACAGGGGAAACCCGCCCTGGAGAAGGCTCCTGGTCCCTTCTCTGAGTCCAGGCATGCCCAGTGGCCCTATGTCTGGGTCAGGTGCAAGTGCTGGCATCTGCCTTGCTGTGTGTAACCGTAGGCAAAACCCACCCTGTTCGTAGTCTACTAGGAAGAGCTTGTTTGTGTTTGGTGCTTCCCAAGTGTAACCTGAGCTTGCCTTTCCCCTAGGGAGGACAGTCCACATGTGGGCAGGAGGAGCCCTGGCTGGACGTGGCCATTTCCTTGACTCTTACCACCATGTCCTATCTCAAAGCAGAGTCCCATAGCTGCTCAGCCTCTGGGCTCTAGCCTAGGACCAACATCAGGGCATGAAGGGACTGTTGGCCTGGGGGCTCCAGTGCCCAGGTTCAAGTCCCTGAACTCAGTGCCCTGCAGCTGCCCTCTGCCCTCTGAGGCCCTTGGCTTGCCTTTGAAACCTGAGCCCTGTTCTCAGTCCAATGTCTCCTGCTGTTCCCTCCTGTTGCAAGCTCGCTGTGCCTGGTTCTACACACCCTGTGGCTTCTCCCCAGAGCCTGCCTTCTATGTCTCATGCTTCCCGTGAGTCTCCCTCTCATAGCACAGAACTTCAGATGTGGCAGGCGAGGGCTTTTTAGTCCCTGGATGCTTATTCTCTTTGCTAGAGCCACTGATAATACCAGAAGAGTGTGTGCCTTGTGGGGAGGGGGATGCTTGCAGGAGGCTGGGACAGAGGGGAGGAGAAGGGAGAATAGGGCAGTAGTCTCCCACGTGGGAGTCAGCAGGGTTGCAAGGAGGGTGTTCTCCCAGGGCCTGGAGGATGGCATGGGAGCAGGCTGGGCCATTAGTGAAGGCGAGGCCATTCCCAGGTAGATCAGCATGCTGACCTCTGTGCTGAGGGGTGGTGGGGAGGACCTTGTGTTTATGAGCCACAATGACAATGGTCTCGTGTCCAAGTTGAGGGTACCAGAGGCAGACGCAACTAGAATTCTGCTTCCATCAGTCATTGGTTTCAAGGCTTGAGGTAGGGCCTCTCTGGCTTTAATTTCTTTTCTTTTGAAAGGATTTATTTTCATTGGAAATACAGATTTATAGAAAGGAGGGACAGAAAGATCTTTCACCTGCTGGTTCACTCCCCACAGAGCTGCAACAGCCAGAGCTGATTCGAAGCCAGGAGCTTCTTTTGGGTCTCCCAGGCTGGTGCAGGGTCCCAAGGCATTGGGCCATTCTCCTCTGCTTTTCCAGGCCAAGGCAGAGAGCTGGATGGGAAGTGGAACCCATATGGAATGCCATTGTGTGGAGGTGGAGGACTAGCCAGTGGAGCCATTGCACTAGCCCCTCTGGGCCTTCATTTTTTCATCTGTGAAATGGAGGTGGTCATGCTCTCTGCAGAGGTGCACATAGGGATGGTGAGGGCACAGAGGGATGACCTGTGTGAGGCATGTGGAAAGCAGAACACTGGGGGTAGAAGGCAAGAGGAAGATGTACCCCGCCCCCATATTGGACTGTCACCATTCACAGTCACCTTCTTTGTTGCTGTCCCTGTTAGGGGGAGGGGGTGCACCTCAACGTTCCCTTCATGCAGTCCCTAAAGAAGTCCAACAATTGCTTCAAGCTACTTGGTTCATGATGAAAATGGCCTGAAATTGTGGGCCTGGCACCTGCACATAGGCGGATAGACCGTGAGGCCAGCACAGTTTTGAACTATGCAGGCCTGGGACCCAGAATCCAATGCACCATTTACAGGTTGGAGACTGGAACAGTGACAGCTCTGGGATGGAAGCTGCTATGCTTTGTCCAAAGGGCCTAGGTCTCCCCAGGTGCCATGGTGGGGGTCCTGGTTGCCAAACCTCCGAACAGATGCTGAAAATTTGCCCGTGGCCTCCCAGCCCAGACCAGGCTGTTCTGTGACAAGCTCCACCTCCTTCCTGTGCATGGTAGTTTCTTTATAAGTGACATATGACCCATGTTTATGGGGTGCGGTGTGACTGGATATACACAGCTGATCAGCCCTTCCATCTTCTGATTTTTGGGGTGGGTCTGTTTCCAGTTCTCCACATGTAAGCTATTGGAGCCTGTGCTTGGCCTGCTGTGCTGCAACACTACCCCTTACTCCTCCCATCTGCGTCTCAGTGCCCTTTTGCCACTCTGGCCTTTTCATAGCCACTCTTCTCGTCTCTTTGAGTTCAACTGTTGTAGCTTCCACATATGAGAACACGTGGTATTTTCTCCCACGTCTGTCTTGTCTCACTTGCCACAAAATCCGGTCCATTTTCAGGCAGGTGGTTTCTTTGTTCCCTGAAGGTCATGCTCCAGGAAAAAGCCTTGGCGGCTATTGATTTTCTCTACTCCACAAAGATTCCAGCTGGAACACTCAGTCCTCCTCAGGGCTCTGAAAAGGAGGTCAAGGAGAGGGGTGGGGGCGGAAGGGGCCTGGGATCACCCTCTCTTCTGTGTGTGTCTGTGTGCCCACCCTGGGGCTGCATTCTTGCCTTTGTTCTACCCACAAACACTCCTGAGACCTGCTGTTTGCCGTGCATGGAACCTGTTCTTCCTACGGGGCATAAAGAAAGGGCTTCAGATGAGAAAGTTTTGAGGGTTTCGTGTATCCAGATGGTCCAGACTCTGATATGTGATGCAAATAGCATGTGCAAGAGTCCTCCTTCACTCTCAGTTCACTCTGCTGTCAGCTTAGTTCCTTATCCCATCCCCTTATCTGCTTGCCAGCCCCAGGTCCTGGGTTAGGCTGTGTATTGTGCATGTCATTTTGTAATAAACAACTCTATTCCTTTGTAGCAGTCCCTTCATTTAGTCTAGATCGTGTGCTGGTTCTGGAAGCCCCCAGACCCAATTCCCGAGACCCAGATCCAGGTAGATGAGGCGAATGGACCAGTGAGCCGAGGACACTAGCACTTGAGTTAGTCCTGGGCAACAGCTACCTTTCCTGCTGTTGTGCACGTGGGGAAGAGTGGTAGAAAGGAGGACTTGAGAGCTGCCTGCTGGAAGCGAGGGTGGGATCTGGGCAGGCCAGAGTGGAAGCACTGTAAGGTGTTTGAATCAAATTTTGGACAAGAGCCTGCAACAACATTAGGAACAGACAGGAGGCTGGCAATGGGGTTTGTGTCTAGATAAAGGATCAGCAAGTGGCTTAAAGTTGACACCACAGGGGCTTGGCTGTTCAAAAGCTGTGTCTGTAGTGAAAAATTATTTTTTAGAAGCTGACACGATATCTCAATTGGTTAATTCTCCTCCTGCAAGCACCAGCATCCTATATGGGCACTGGCTTGTTTTCTGCCTGGTCCACTTCCCATCCAGCTCCTCTTGTGGTGTGAAAAAGCAGAAGATGGCCCATGTGGAAAATCTGAAAAAAGCTCCTAGCTCCTGACTTCAGATCAGCTCAGCTCTGGCCATTGTGGGTCATTTGGGGAGTGAAGTAGCAGGTAGAAAATCTTTTTGTCTCTCTCTCTCTCTGTGAATCTTTTAAGTTTTTTAAGATTTAAAGATATTTTAAGATTTACTAATTTGAAAGAGAGAGAGCATCAATTTACTGGTTCATTTCCCAAACAACTGGAACTAGGTCAAAGCCAGGAGTCAGGAACCTCATCCAGGTCTCTCTCTGTGTGAGTGGCAGAGGCCCAAGGACTTGAGCCATCACCTTGTGCCTCCCAGGGTGCGTGTTAGCAGGGAGCTGGATCAGAAGTGGAGCCAAGACTAAAACACAGGTACCTGATGCAGGATGCTGTCTTCTCAGGTGTGCCACATGCCCACCCCACAGTGAACAGTTCTGATGTGATCTATGTAGGATGTGCAGATAGCCCCTGGAGGCTGAAAAGCATCTCAGCTGGGAGACAATGGCCCTGGCTAGGGGTGGGGCACTTTTTAGCCTCTGTTCTGTCTCTGGCTTCTGGGTAGTAGCTTCTCAACTCCAGGAGAGCTTCCTATTGGGAGATCATCTCCTCCATCTAACCCCTGCCTCCTCTTCCAGGAAGCTGTCTCTGGTTTCCTCCCCACTCTTGGCTTACACCTCTGTCCTAGCAGGAAAACACTGTAGTGGCAGGTGTGGACCTTCTTCCTGGCAAGGGCCATGTGGGTATGGATATAGAATATCTGTTGCAGCCCAAACAAAATTATCCACTTAACGATGATCCTACTCTAGAAATGTTGAGTTTTGAGTCCCAATTGCAGCTGAGCTCTGGGCAAACACACCTCTTCTCTGAGCCATGATTTAGCAGGGATGCTCAGGTCTACAGAATGTGACTCTGACTTCCTGCCCAGTGCCTGCCCAATGTTCCAGCCAGCATGGCCTAAAGGAAGAGCATAAAAAGACAGGAGACTCAGTACCTCCTCCCCAGGTCCCAGGGGTAAGGAAGGAACTTGGAGCTTGCCCGATGCTTCCCATCTGCTGCTCCCCAGGCTGTGTTGTCAGCAGAGCCCCACACGTGAGGACAGAGAGATGGACACTATGGGCCCTCCCCTGGGTTAGAGGCACCTCCATCATTGGAAAAAGTTAAGCAAAAAGAGTACTGTTCTGGGAAACAAGTCATTCTACCAAAATCGAGCACAACCTGTGTGTGGACTTGGGGGATGAGTGCCAAGACCTGCTTTCAGCCCTGGACGCTGAGTCTGGCTTAAGGCTTTTTCTCTGACCTGGGGCTCAATTTTCTTGTGTGTGGAATAGGATGGCCTCAGTTCTCACTTTCTAGAGTGTCTGCGAGGCCCAGAGGAAAGAACTGATCATAGGAGAATGTGTTGTGCACAATGTGATAATAGGGTCCCAAACAGAGGGGCTGGGGGTCTTTGAATTCCTTCTACCTGAGACCTTGGCCTTCAATAACTTCTCAGTAAACGTCAGTGGATGAGGATGAACAGGGTGTAAACTGAGGTCTGCTAACCTTTGCAGGCATGGCTTCCCTGTGATGCATGTGAACACATGGAGCCTTTCTGGGACAGGTTGTGTCTTGGTAGAGACAGGATGTTGCATACCCTTTCAGGAAGTGTGGGTACCCCAGAAGCTCCAGAGCCCAGGACCAGAAGATCTTCAGAGTACTGGCTGCTTATCCTGATCTGGGCCTGTCCTTGCTGCCTGTGCACAGGTGGATGTGGTTATGCTATTTAGAAGGTCTGAGAGTTGAACATACCTACTAAGCTGCTTATATTACATCATCACTATAATGAAACACCTGCCACAGGCTGCCAAGGAAGGAAAGATGTTTTTGCGAGTTCGTGGTAGTGGAGGTTCACAGGGCAGGGTAGGAAGTGGCGGGTCTGGGGTCTGTTGTAGTTGCAGTGATCACTCTGGGGAGAACGTCCTCAGAGCACACCCCCAGTGACCTAAGCACCTCCCACAAGGCTCCCCTACTGAATATCCTTGTTAAATTAAACTTTTGCCCTCTGCACCATTCATTCGGGACCCTGGGGTTTATACCTGTATACAAATTGAAGTGCCAACTCAAACGACAGCATTCCATCTTCCCCTCCCAGAAACTCATGTCCTTGTCACACACACAACACACTTCACCCTAACTCTGACTGACCAGTGGGTTCATGGTGGAAGCAGTGGGGCGATCCTGCATCTCATCAAAGATACCCATGATTACCCCCAGGAATCACACCTTCCTGCTATAAGAGGGATTTAGAGTTGGGAGCAGGTAGATAAGGGCTACTCCCCAAGTGCTGTGGCTATTGCAGATGACCCTTTACTTAGATGCTATACTTATGGTGGTGCCACCAGGAGTGGGTACCTCTGTTCTCTGATTGGGCTCACTCAGCACCTCATCCAGTTTCTGTTCCACATTCTGCTGCTTCGTGGGAAATACAGATCATGACCTGGTCAGCCCCCAGAGGTGGCTTCTCCCCCTCTAGTGGGTTCTGGGGCCCAGGGGTGCCATAGCAGGGTGGTATGGAAAGGGTTTCAGAGAGAGGCTCCTATGATACCTTTTGAGCCCCCTCTCTACTTGGGGCTCAAATTCATGTCCTGAGGGGGAGAAGGAGGCTCAGATGGGGAACTGCTAGTAAGGGGACAGGAGCACAAGGGAACCCCAACACTCAGGCATGGCTTTGCATCTCAACACTGACTGGGCTTAGGGCTTAGACCCTGACTCCCCTATCCAAGGTCCTCACACTTTCTCCCAAGCCCTGAACCTGTCCTCCAGAAGCTGGCAGAACTAGTGAGGGTAGGCCACTGCCACACTGTGTAACACACACACACGGAGAGATTTGCCTTGTGCCTCTCTGAGGGGGCAGTCAGTTTATTCCCTAGGATGGGACCCTGGTGTGGAGAGTGGCAGGAGGAGGGAGGATGGAAGTCCTGGTACCCTATGTCCTCTGCCCACTGGGGGACTTGAATGTTGAGACAGACAGACACACACAGATGGTGACCAACTGGAGGAAGGCAGCTGGCAGGGCCAGGCAGGAGGACAGGGGCACGAGGAAGTAGGGTCTGGGAGCTTGGGGGTTGGCCTTCTTTTCACGGATTAATGCCAGGGAGTCAGATAGTTGACGCGGCTGTGGAAAGAAACAGGCAGGAGGAAGGGTCTAGTCCTGATGTCCCATGAGCCCAACGGTGAACTGCTCCCCCTACTTCTCCATTTGCAGGGAGCTAGGCATCAAGCAGTGCGAAGAACCAGACTTCTCCCAATCCCAAAGTATGCCCGGACCAGAAAGCAACTCCTCCAGGGCAATGCTGATACAATCCCAATGTGGGCGCCCCAGACAGGAGTCATAGAGGAGAGGGAGCTGGTGGGGAAGGGCAGTGGGGGGGCTGGGCTGGGACTTCCGAGGATGGGGGATGACAGTCTAGGTGCGGTCAGCATAGTGGAGGCATTAGGAGGTGTGCCTGGGGTGATGGTTTGGGGGTGCACCTTGCAGAGCCGGGAGAGGAGGCTGAAGGAAACCAAGCCGACCTGAGAAGTGGAGGCTGCTCAAGGTATCAGGTATCACGCCGCTCTTTCCAGCTTTACCTATGAGTGACTCCTCGGGGAACTCTGGCACCCTCTGTCCCCGTCACACCCCAGGAAGGGGCTTCCTCAGGCTCCTCCTCTTTACACCCCTCCAAAGAGCTCCTCCTCCTCCTGACCCTCCCACGCCCGCCCTGACTCAACAGTGCCCATTTTGGGTCCCGGGAGGGTCTCAGGAGTCGCATCCCCTGGGTCTCGGAGGTGAATAGGGTTGAGGGGACGGCGCTGGGCACCTGTGGGGTGAAGCGGGATCTTCCTACCTGTAGTGGGAGCCGAAGCGTCGGAAGGCGTTGCTGGGAAAGTGGGGAAGAAGAAGGCGGAGGGCGAGCTGCAGCGGGGAGGGCCGCCTTTGCCCGCGGTCCCGCGGCACCCGAAAAGTCAACTGCACCCCGCTTCACACCCTCCCTTCTTGAGCAGGTGACAAAGTAGGTAGGCTTCACTGAGTGCGAATAAAACACCCATTTCTCAGTGGCACTTTGCCACGGTTCCCCAGCTCCCAAGTTTTCAAGCGCCATTAAGTAGGGGAGTACTAGGACAATCACCAAGGCCCCACGCCCCATACTTCGTGCGTGAAGCATCACTTACAGGGAATCGAAAGGCAGCGGCTTCTGTCCGTATCGGTCCAGGCTGGGGTTCTGGTTGAGGCAGTACTAGGGTGGGCCGCAGCGGGAGGAAACTCCGTGAGTCTGGGAAGCACGGACCACCCCCCCGCCATGCCCGCGCCTCCCGGCTTCGCATTGCTCCCTGATGGAGATCAAGGCCCTGGAGACGCGGGAAGTCACCCCACTCCCTCCCCACCACCAGGACCTTCCTTACTCGCCAGTTCTGGGTTAATTCAGGCTTCAAGTACCGCACCGCGTAGCCGCTAAAACCTTCCACTGCGGACAGAGACCACCACCGCTGGCATGCCTGGCCTGCTCACCACCCCCCAGCAGGCCCCACCCACAGCCGCCCTTAAAGACCCCCACTCTTCATAAAGCTCTACCCCATGGTTTGCACCTGGCCCCTGCTCTAACCCTGGCTCTAACCTGTCCTAGTTCAGCCCAGAGCCCGCCTTCTGCTCCCATCTCTTCCTTGCGACTCAGTTGCCTATACTGCCCTGGGATGCTCCCATGGCCATCAGACTGACCCCTTTTGTTCAGGCAGAGCAGTCTGAATTCTCCAGCTGAGGACACAAAACGGGACCAGTCCTCGATAGCGCGAGTGAAGCAGGGCCAGTCCACCCGATTAATGCCCGGTGCGATGGGTGCTAGCTTCCCTTCCAGGCACCTGTCGTGCATCCTCCGGCCGGTGGCCGTGATGTCCTGCCAGGGCAAAGGCGGTCAGGACCTGGCATGCTGGGCTGGGCGAGCTGGAGCTGACATTTGGCCGGTGAGATTGGGAGGTGGGGAGAGGAGGGTGCAGGATGGGAGCATTATAGAGACCTCGAGATGGGGAACAGACCTTGGGGGCTGTGCCTGAAGTTGGGTGCAGAACTGGAGGTGCAGCTGGGGGCCCCCTGAGCAAACCCAGGGCCAGGACTAAGGGTGCTCACCAGGCACTGCAGGGGCTTGTTGGGGATCCCGAGGAGGGTGAAGTGGGCGTTGTCAAACTCATCTGTTGAGAGAAGGGAGAGGAAGTGTTTCCATACCAGCCACACATTCAGAGAAGGGTGTGGCCCACACTGTACTTTAAATATGTTTCAGGGAGCTGTGGATGTTTTGGTGCAGAGGGTTAAGCTGATACCATATCCCACCTCAGGTTCAGGCTCCTTCAGTTCCTACTCACATACCTGGAAGGCAGCAGATGGTGGGTGGTTCAAGCACTTGGGTCCCTGCCATCCATTGGAGAGACCCCAATTGAGGTCTGGGGTCCTGACTTCAACCTGGCTCAGGCTCAGCTGGTGTGAGCATTTGGGGAGTGAACCAGTGGATGAAAAATCTCTCTGCCTTACAAGTAACTTAAATTTAACTATTTTTTAAAAAAAGATATTATTTATTTTTATTACAAAGTCAGATATACAGAGAGGAGGAGATATAGAGAGGAAGATTTTCTGTCTGATGATTCACTCCCCAAGTGAGCGCAATGGCCAGTGCTGTGCCGATCCGAAGCCAGGAGCCAGGAACCTCTTTCCAGGTCTCCCACATGGGTGCAGGATCCCAAGGCTTTGGGTCATCCTCAACTGCTTTCCCAGGCCACAAGCAGGGAGCTGGATGGGAAGCAGAGCTGCTGGGATTAGAACCGGCGCCCATATAGGATCCCGGAGTGTTCAAGGTGAGGACTTTATCCGCTAGGCCACGCTGCCAGGCCCAAAAATAAATAAATCTTAAAAAAGAAAATAAAGATGGGTAAATGCATCAAGCATAGGTACTTCACATAAAAATACAGCAGGTACAAACCTCAGCAAACCCATGAAAAGACACTGCACCTCACGTGTAATGAGGTGAATACATATTCAAACTATGTTGAGATGCTAATTTTCTCCTGTAAGATTGGGAATAATTCAGACTGGTGCACTTACCAGATAATAGGACAGAGGGGATTGATGCCTGGGGCATTATAATTATAAATACCCTCATCTTTTGACCCTCCCAGGCCTATTTTTGGGAATGTGTTACACTCAGTACTGCACAGCGATGCGGTGTACTCTGTTCAGTATGGTTTGTAATATCAATATTTGCAACTGCTTAAAGAGTTTTTTTTTTTTAATTTGGCAAAAAAAAGGAGTTCTAAAAAAATTCTGTATAAGAGCCCCAAGGTGCAGAAGAGTGTATTCTGCATGCTACCAATTGTTTTAGAGCTAAGATTTAGATGGTTGGAGGCAGAAGAGATTGTGTTCCACTCAGCATTTGAATAAAGTAATCAAACATAGCTGCACAAATGATAGAATAATTGTGTGCCTCCTGCATCAGCCTGGCCAACTGGGCGACCTGTGAAAGATGCCTACCAGCAGTGCTGGGTATGGCTGAACAAGACTCTGCCCCTGGCTTCCAGGGTGCTATGGGAACAAGAGTAACAAGGTACCCACCACAACTATGGGGAGCTCTCAAAAGGCCCAGCACAGTAACCTAGTGGCTAAACTCCTTGCCTTGCAGCGCCAGGATCCCATATGGGTGCTGATTCTAATCCCAGTGCCCTGCTTCCCTTCCAGCTCTCTGCTTATGGCAACTGAGGATGGCCCAAAGCCTTGGGATCCTGTACCTGCATGGGAGACCTAGAAGAAGCTCCAGGCTCCTGGTTTTGGATTGGCTTAGCTCCAGCCGTTGCAGCTGCTTGGGGAATGAATCAGTGGATGGAAGATCTTCCACTCTGTCTCTCCTCCTCTCTATCTTTCAAATAAATAAATATTAAAAAAAAAAAAGGGAAGGCGAGTATTTGGTACGGTAGTTAATGCACCACTTAGGACATCCATGTCTTGTATTAGAGTGCTGGGTTTGAGTCCTGGTTTTGCTCAGGATTACAGTTTCCTTGCTGTAGATGTACACCTTGGGAGGCAGAAGGTCATGGTTCAAGTGCTTAGGTCCCTGCCATCCATATGGGAGACTCGGGTTGGGGCTCTGCTCCTGTCTTTGGCCTGGCTCGGCCCTGGGTGTTGCAAGTGTTTGGGGGAATGATGATAGTAGACCTCTTTCCTTTCTCTCTCTTCCTCTGCCTTTCAATAAATAAATAAATAGATAAGCCAAACACTACTTGAAAAAATAAGATGCTATCGCTCATTAATAAAATAATAATATGGGAGAAAAATGGAAAATACGTGGACTCTGAGTCTAGTACTAGAGATGTCATGATCAATGGCAACCCTCAGTGACTCCTGGCTCCTCGGCCCCGAATTCTCTGAAGCTGTGAACACATATTCAAGGTAACTGGAAAATGTTAGGGTGGACTGGGTGTTAAATGCTATGGAATTACTGTTGACTTTACTAGGCATGATAGTGTTGTTGTGTCTTATAGGAGGGTGTCTTGAGTGCTGTTTACTGCAGAGAGAGAGAAAACACAACAAAACATCTGTTGAAGCAGACTGAAGATAAGGGGTGAGTGGTCATGGTAGTTCTTTGAACTTTCCTTTGTCTGAGAATTTCATAACAAGGCGTGGGGAGGGACAAAAGAATGTGTGTGCGTGCACACGTGCGTATCAGTGAGCTACGGGAAGACACACTGACACTAAGAATGGGCACCTAACAAAGGCACAGAGTGTGCATTGTCACAGAGCTTTACATTTTCGAATTGTGACTGTACTGCTTATCAAAAGCTTACGGCAAGATGCGTATCAAAATCAGAGCTATCTCTGGAAATCCCTACCCTTTCTGGAAAACAGGAAATTGGAAGCCCTGATGACCTCACTGACCCTTGCCACGCAGCACTGGCAGTGGGAGGTGGTGCTGGCCCTGTCTGACGGGTCTCTGCACTGTAGCCCTTCCTTCCACACCCACTTCCTGTGTTTGAGGGGCCCACCCTGGCCTGCAGGGGTCTGGATGGGGCGTCCTGTGATCTCCGTATGGGCTCTGACCCTCTTCCCCACCTGTCGCCCCAGATATTGCTGTGGCCTCTCTCTCTGCCCTTCCTCCCCACCCTGGCACTGCATCCTGTGGACTTGGCCTCCTAAAGACCTTCCAAATCCTCCCTGGTGGCCAGGACGCTTATCACATCCTGCTGGAAGACTGGCCAACACCCCCATTCCCCCTCTAGGCCACCCTACCCCGTCAGAATGCTCAGCCCTCCTATTTCCTCTGGGAGAAAGCGAAGTCCCTGGGCTTAGCCACAGGACCCTTCCTGAGCTTTGCCCACAGCTCAGGCGGTCCCCACCACCCCCCTTCCTGCTGCTGAACCCAACCTCACACCATGACTCAGTGTCCTGCATTATCCATTCCCGTCCGGCCCCTGCCAGGCATCTTGTCAGCTGGGCTGCTCTCTGTTCCCCTGGGGATCTAGCACGGGTTGGGCATGGAGCAGGTGCTTCCTCCAGGTGCGGATCTGAACAGCTGTGCAAGTTTGGGTGGCACCAGCTGCTTAATCCATGCAGGGTTTGTCCCAGGGCCAAGAAAACCCCTGGACTCCAAAGCTTTTGTGTCCTCCTCTTGTTCATGGGAGATGTGAAACGGGGTCTTTTCCTCCCTCCTACAGGTGGGGAGATGGTGGGCATGGTTGTAACTCCTGCTGCAGTCGGTCCCCACTCTGCCCACCTCTCTCTCCACAAACGATCGTAATACACCAGCAATAGCATGTGTTACAGGCCAGGCTTCACTCTAAGTGCTTTTCATCACTTTCTCATTTTTCTGTTGTTATTTTAAAACTATGTAAGAGACAGATGCAGAGAAGGATGCCCAGGAGTTGGAAACTCAATCCAGGTCTCCCATTGCTGCTGCCTTCCAGGGTCTTAAAATTTAAGAACCAGGGGTGGATATTGATTCACCCAGGCATTCTGATGTGGGATGCAGGTGTTTTTGCGAGAGTCGTCACTGTTACGTGGGACTCTGGCCTTGACTCTCATTTGAGCCTCACAGTAGCCCTGTGTGGCAGGCACTGGCATCATTCACAACCAGGAGACTGAGGCCTCGTCCTCGTGGAGCCCCTGGCTGGGTCCAGCCCCTCTCACCTGTTACTCACTACCTTTCTCTTTAAGGCCTTCCCTGGAAACCACCCACTCTGTCCCTCCAGGTCCCAGAGAGCACCCAGTGCTTTTGGTGAGCAGGGTGGTCTGACCTTTGCGGCAGTAGGTGGAGGACTGGCAGTGCTCGTCCGGAAGGCAGGCCCTGACAGTGTCCATGTCCATGCGGCGCAGCGTGGGCAGAGCCGGGTGGTAGAGTTGCTGTTTCACACCGGCCAGTGGGTGGCGCTGTCGCTCCATGGGGAGCAGGATGGCGGGGGAGGCATATACGTGGGTGGAGCCGTCATCCCAGGGTACCAGGTCAATGATGCGGGCCATAGCTGGGGAGCAGAAGGGGTTCCAAGTGGCTCACCCTGGGCTCAGGCTGGCCAGACACTCATGTAGCAGTACAACCTGGGACACTGCTGGGAGTGTCTACTTGTTAAGCATTTATTAAGCACGTGCTGTGTGCCGGGAGCTCAGTCAACAGGGGGTTAGTCCAATCCTGTCACCCCCACCCACCCCTACATACCCCTCTGGGCACACTATGTGGTAGGTCTACAAGAGGTGTCATCTGAGTCTATTCTTAAATCATGGCCATATGCCATGGGGCAAGTGATTTATGAATCAGCCTTTGTTAAGGTAGCCAGCGTTTCTCCCAGATTCTACCAAGATTCAAACAAGAGTTTTAAAGATGGGAAATGATAGATCTGAAGCAGGAAAGTATGGCTGGCTACCCTGTGCCTCAGTTTCCAAAGTAGACATTTCCAGGGACCTCACAGCCATTTACACTTCTGTGACAATTTGTGGCCTCTGCTTGCAGGAGGGGGGTGCCTCAGACTGTGGGGGTGCAGGGAAGGCCACGACGACAAGCAGGGTGGGTGTGGGAGAGCTGCCTCATGGGATGGGACTTTGTCGGGAGGGAGGGCAGGGAAGTGGAGTGCTGGGAGGAAGGGTGTCCCCTGCTTCCAACCCACGGGCAGCAGCTACCTTGTCTGCAGGGCACGTCCTGGGTGCCGGACTGGAGAGGACTTGCCGCTGTGCTTACTTCTCAGTGGGCTGAGAGCAGGGAGGTGGCCCAAGGCTGATGGACACTGGGGATAAAGGAGCATTGTGTTAGGACAGCGCCCACTGCAGTCTGATTGTGAGGGCGCCACGCTCAGGCACCTGGCAACCACACCTCTGAGAAGATCCTGCTGCCAGGGCTTCTGGGCCCTCCTGGCTCCTAAGCCTATATACACAGGCAAGGCCTCCTGGAACTGGAGCACCCTGGAGGTGGCTAGACCAGGAGCCAAGGATGGCTCTGAGCTCTTTCTGGCCGGTGTGACTCTGGACTAGTTACTGTCCCCCTCTGGGCGCTTGTCTCCACCATGTGGGGGTGGGAACTGGGAGAACTCAGTTCTTTGGGGAGACTCAGGAAAGAGGCTGCTATGTTCTCTGCTAGTCTTCTGGCCTCCAGGGATGGAGATTAAATGTGGCTGGGATCCTGGGTCAGCGTGCTGATCAGGGAGAGTGGTGGCCTCAGCAGGCCAGGGATTAGCAGGTGATACTATATGCCCAGCCCCCTCCCCCACCAAGGCAGCAGCTTTCTCCCTCCCAGGAAAGCCAGGCTGTGCGTGCAAAGCCTTGGGACTGTCCATGCTCTACCTCCCCCTGTCCCCCAAGCTGAGGAAACTTGGAAAGAGCCAAACTTAGTTGCACGTATTAACGTCTACCTTGCATACACCTGCTCAGATGCTCCTACTGGAACCTGAAATTCCTGCTATGAGGCTTACATAGGGTTTCTTTCCCAGTCGCTCCCATACAGTTCTCTGTGTAAGCCATACCGCTTCTAGAGGACCTGCCCAGGGTTGACGCTACTCACCACCACTCTTTTTTAGATGATTTTTTTTTTTCATCTGAAATACAGTTACAGAGATTAGAGGCTAGATATCAATCTTTTAAAAAAATGATTTATTTTATTATATATATATGTTTTAAAGATTTATTTATTTTTGATGGAAAGGCGGATATACAGAGAAGAGGAGAGACAGACAGGAAGATCTTCTGTCCGATGGTTCACTCCCCAAGCGGCCGCAATGCCTGGAGCTGAGCTGATCCAAAGCCAGGAACCAGGAGCTCTTCTGGGTCTCCCACGCTGGTGCAGTGTCCCAAGGCTTTGGGCCATCCTCAACTACTTTCTCAGGCCACAAGCAGGGAGCTGGATATGAAGTGGAGCTGCCAAGATTAGAACTGGTGCCCATATGGAACCCCGTGTGTGCAAGACAAGGACTTTAACCACTATGCTATTGCGCTGGGCCCAAATTTATTTTATTATGTTTTTAACTGGAAACACAGATATACAGAGAGGAAATACTGAAAGATCTTCCATCCATTGGTTCACTCTCCAAGTGGCCACAACATCCAGAGCTGAGCCGATCCAAAGCCAGGAGTTTCTTTCGGGTCTCCCATGTGGGTGCAGGGTCCCAAGACTTTGGGCCATTCTTGACTGCTTTCCCAGACCATGGGTTGGGAGCTGGATGGAAAGTGGAGCAGCTGGGATAGGAACCAGCACCTATATGAGATCTCAGTAAATGTAAGGCAAGGATTTAGTCACTAGGCTATTGCACCAGGCCCTAGATATCAATCTTGCATTGACTAGTATTCTCCACAAATGGGCACAATGGCCAGAGTTTGGCCAGGCTGAAAGCAGGAGGCTGGAACTCCCTCTGGACCTCCCATGTGGGTGCAGGGGCCCAAGGACTTGGACCATCACCTGCTACCTCCCAGCTGCATTAGCAGGAAGCTGGATGGGAAGTAGAACAGCTGGGGCTTGTGCAGGTGCTCATTTGGGATGGCAGAGGCTTAATCTACTGTGTCACAATGCTGGCTCCACTTTGAACTATTTTAAGGCCATAACATAAAGGAAAATACAGGAAGTATCTAGACATTCATACAAAATATTAACTAGTAATTTCTACATTATTTGCTACTACCAGGTCAGGACATGGGATAGGAGTTTGCAAAGCAGCTTCCCAATTTGGTAAAAAGGAAAAGACACATTTTCTCCAGGGTTGTGTCGTATTGAATGGTGCAGCCCTAGGAGTCTGCCCAAGAAAAATGAAAATATGAGCCCACACAAAGGGCCAAGATAGAAGCTGCCCAGTGTCCACTGGTCAGTGGATAAACAGGCTGTGGAACCTCGTAGACAACCCTAGTGAAGTACCATGCATGCTACTATAAGGCAATGAACTCTGCGAACTTTATTGCTATGTGATTTGGGCGGCGACGCCTAGGCAGTGAGAATCGCCATTCTACCTCCCCAGCCTTGCGTTCAAAGCCCTGCCCAGCAAATGTGCAAGTCTCCAGGCGTAAGAAGACAGCCACGGCCTGAGCACTCAGCTTCCTCAGGGTGCAGACACAGCCAGGGGGAAAGAGGGAGCCATGCATGCTGAGGGAGATAGGCCCCTAGAATCTGCTTCTGGGCAAGGAGCAGTTGGCTGGCGTGGATACCTGGGTCTCAGTGAAGGCAGGAGGGCCCGGGGCTCAGGCTGTCCCTCAGGCCAACTCTCCAGCCCTGAGAGCGCTTACTGGAAACGCATGGTTGAGGGGCCCAAGAAGGAGATCAAAGCCACTGAGGGGCCAAAGGGGAGACTACTAGAAATCCCACCCATAAGTCCATCACCAGGATTCAGTGTCAGCTTTATAATAAACAGTGCTCATAGGATGTTAAGGTTCAAAAAGAGAAAGATTATTACTGCGCCAAAGAAACCGAAACATGAGCCCTCAATGGATGGCCTTTATCATCTGTTTACACGTAATGTTCAGAAAAGGCAAATTAATAACTGCCTGAGGTGGAAGAATGGGAGTGGAGAGTGACTGCAATCCAGCAAGATGAGGGTTCTCGGGGCGAGTGGGAGAGTTCTGACATGTGGGTCGCAAGTGGCTGTTTGGCAACTGCTTGGACTGTCCACATTCCATCCCAAGGTGCCTGGGTTTGAGTTTGGCTGTGCTCTCAATGGCAGCTGCCTGCTAAGGAGCACTCTATGAGGCCACAAGTGGTGGCTGGACTCCTGGGGTCCCTGCCACCCATGTGAGAGACCCCCTGCTGAAGTGTCAGCTCCTGGTTTTGATGGGGTCTAGCCCAGGGTGTTGTAGACATTTGGGTATGAACCAGCAGAGCTAAGTGTCTCTATCATTCTGCCTCTTAAATAATTCAGCCAGTGTCAGACAAATCCAAAACAGATGCCAAGTAAGGTCATGAGGGAGAGCAACCTTGCTGGCAATGAAAGTGTCATTTTGCTTAGCTGTGTGACTGCCTGTGTTCCCAGCCATCGCTCAGGGGTTATTTGTGTCCTTTTTGAGTTTGATTAAAGGAACCCTGGGGGGGGGGTTTGAATATGGTTCCTTCCCTACCTCACAATATATGCACAGGTGATCCACTCATGCCATGGGGGTGGCTGTGGTTTGATCCTCTTTCTTACCTGAGAGCCCCTCACTGTTTGCCCAGTTCTCTCGCACCTTGTCTTCTTCCTTCTCAAGTTGCAGAAGACCCAGGTTGCCTCCAGGTTGCCCTTACCAAGTGCATATCCTAGGCTGTGGCTCACAGTGGAGAGGGAGTCCCTCCACCTGCTGCCCACACCCCAAAGTGGATGCCCCTCCCCTCTGGGCTTTCCATCCCACATTCCTGGTTCTCTTTCTCCATGGCTGGTGTTTCCTTCCATCTCCTTTTGTATCCTCTTTTTTTGTGCCATGGTGTTCCAGGGGCTCGCCTTGATCCTCTTGACACTGGACTCCACATAGTCTCCCATAGTGACTCCCAAGTGAGCTCCCATAGTCTTGTAGCTTTAACTATCACCCACACGCAGATGCCCCCTAAATTCTTATGTCCAAGTCTGCCTCTTCATGAGACACACAAATGCACACACACATCCTGCTGACTGCACGCCTGCCCATAGGACTTGCCTTTTTCATAAATATGTTGCCAGTTCCCAGTCACCCCAGCAGACTCTTTGCCTACCTCTCTTTCTCCCTCTACCACCAGCAGTCTATCTTAAGCCCTGGCATCTCTTTCCATCAGGACAGAGATAACTCACGCCCATCCCGGTTATGTTTGGGTCTTCTGTGGTTCTCAGCATACTTTCCCATATTATTTTGATTGTCATTCATCATCTTCATGTTCATCTTTGTCAGCAAGTTCTACATCCCTCTTGTTCAGTGCACCAGTCTTGGTCCATCACCACACACAATGGGAGAGGTCTAGAATGACTGCAGAACACAAAGGCTGGTTCCATCCCTTTGCTATGCATGCCTGGACCCCTCTACTCACCCAGACCTTGACACTTTGAGCCCTTCTGCCTGGGTCTCTGTCTCCCCTTTGGTGCACCTGGTTGTAACAGGCCAGACATAGCCAATACTTGGATCCATCCTGAAAGCCTCGCTCTCTTGGGCCATGGCCACAAGCTATTTAATACTCCCAGTCAGAGGAGGAATTGCCTGTGCCCTGGCTTTGGGGCAGAGCACAGGGGTGGGCCTTCTGCTTCCATTGACTAAGAGCAGACCAGCCCTGGCACCCTGTGGAATCTTGTACCTGGGTAGGTACCCCGCACCAGAGCCACAGAGGTCCCTTTCGGGGGGCCCACGTTGTTGCTGGACCCTGGGAGAGCTGCTGCTGCATCCCTGGACATCAATCACCTCTTTTCTCCCCTGCCCCCATTTGGCACCTGCTAATCCTTTGCACACAGCTAGACACTGCTCATTAATCCGCCCTGTGTTTTGAAAGGCCAACAACTGTGTGTGGCAGCGAGAGGCAGCTCCCAGTCGTGGCTGGCATCTGAGCAGGTAATTCAGTGGGACCCCTGGTGGGATTATAGCAAGGAGTTCAGGCAGATGTGACAAAATTGATAAAAGGCAGCAAACCTGTGGCTCCCCTCTCCTCTGGGGGCTTAGAGCATGCATGTGTCAGAATCTTTGGAGCAGCTGGTAAAGTGCTGATTCCAGGCACCCCAAAGGGCTTGGAGTTCCCAGGGCTCTGCATTTTCACCAGTTCCCCTGAAGATTCTGAAAACACCTGTGGTCTAACCCCATTGTTTGCTGAGCTGCTAGAGAACTCTTAGGGCCCACTGCCTGCCAGGGCCTCCCTCATCCAAGTAGACCCATCAGGGACCTGGCAGAAAGACAGAAGAGAATGACAAAAATCTCTGTCCAGGTGGAAACAACTGAGTCAAGGGGAAGAAGCAAATGGAGAGAAAGTGGGGAAGGAGGACATCCTTAGTCATTTGTAGAAGGCTCAGAAAGTCAATTCAAAATTGTTGTCCGCTGGGAAAGGCCGCTCAGGTCTGGCCGGTGGAAGAGACCAGCACTTGACAAATGTCAGCTGCATCGAGGGTCGAGATGGGGTGACTGGTGTGAGTAGCTCTGAGCATGACCCTGGCCTGGCTGCTCGGGGGCTGTGTGGCAATGCATTTCTACACGCTGTGACAAGCAGCCTTGTCTTCCTGGGAGTGGGGGTGGAGGATGGTGGTGAGCACAAGTGCACCTGCCGGTGGACAGACAGACACTAGGCTCAGAACTAGCTGCCAGGATGGTGGGTGGGTGGTGCTGCCTGTGAGTGGCTGAGGTTCCTGGAGTCTGCCACCCCGATAGCTTGACTTTGGCTTGTTGTTACTTGGGAAAGTATTTGCACTGCCACATCCAACAAGGTAACAGAAGGTAAGAAAGGTCCAGTGTAGCTCAAATCTGTCATCCAGGAAGCTGAGCCTGGGTTCTGACTCCCCGACCAGCATCTCTCCCACCAACAGGTGCTCATGGCAGGCACATAGCTGCAGAGGCCAGGCCAGGGACAGGCAGAGGGCCGTGAGTAGAAGGGCGGGTAACATGGACCCCAGGCTCCCAGGCACTGGGGCAGGAATCCTTCTCAGCCTGACCCAAGAGATTGTTGGCCAACTTCTCAGCTGCAGTTAGCTGGAGAAGGGTTGAAGCACAACAGGTGCCTTGCACACAGAGACGTTATGGTGCCTGGTGGGTCGGGCAGTGGCCAAGGATAAATAAATGAGAAATTGAACTGGTGTGAAATAGGACTGGAACATTATATCATGCCATGAAAAAGGAGTTTAACTAGCATTGTGTCTTAAAATTGAAGGTGGCTTACTTTAAAACAGATTTTCTGGGCCCAGTACATAATCTAGCGGCCGAAATCCTTACCTCACACGTGCCAGGATCCCATATAGGCACTGGCTCTAATCTCGGCAGCCCTGCTTCCCATCCAGCTCCCTGCTTGTGGCCTGGGAAAGAAGTCGAGGACAGACCAAAGCTTTGAAACCCTGCACCCATGTGGGAGACCCAGAAGAGGCGCCTGGCTCCTGTCTTCAGATTGACTCTGCTATAGCCATTGTGGCTGCTTGGGGAGTGAATCAACAGATGGAAGATCTTCCTCTTCTCTCCTCTCCTCTGTATATCTGACTGTCCAATAAAAATAAATCTTGAAAAAACCCAGATTCTCTACTCATATGTTACCTGTAATGGATATTTAAAATATTTGTAATGGGATGATACAGTAGTCAATAAATTAATATTTTTACTAATGCTACTTAATAGTCATAGCTGACATCTATGCATCTCTCAACACGTGCCAGTCACTGTTCTGAATATGCTGCAGTTACCACTTCTTTTTATCTTCATAATTGACCCATGAGATTGGGTCCATTAACATCCCCATTTCACAGACAGATAAACTGAGGAACAGAGTTCTTTACTCGTGACTGGACCCTAAGGCATGTACATCTGATATAGCTTCACATAGATTTGCTTCTTTTTTTTTTTGACATTTCCAGTTTTAAGAGATTTATTTATTTATTCATTTTAAAGGTAGGATTCAGAGAGAGGGAGGGAAGAGAGAGACTCTCCATCAGCTGGTTTACTTCCCGGGTGGTTGCGATGACTGTAGCTGGGCCAGTCTGACACCAGGAGCAAAGGAGCTTTCTCCGAGTCTCCCACATGGGTGCAGGTTTCCAAGGATCATCCTCCGCTGCTGTCCCAGACACACCATCAGATAGCCTCTTGTTTTGGTTCTTCAGGGCTTTTTCATCTTTTACTCTAACAGCATTGCAGCTAAGCTCTATCCACATGTGCTTATAGCTTTGTGTAATTCTGTTAAGTAAATACCTGGAACGTTCATGGCTGATGTATGTTTAAAGGTGGTGAGGGGGAAAGGAAATGAGTAACACACGGAAGTGGCCCCACACAATGGGCGCTCTGGGGAAGGCCAAGAATGCTGTCTGTTCCCCACAGGCATCAGGATGCTGGGCTGGGTCCAAAAGGTGCTGCCTCAACCCCCGGGGACTCCCCAGAAGACCCAGGCGGTGGAGGAGGAAGCAGAGGATGCAGAACCAGAACCAGAGCTGGAGTCTGAAGCAGCTCCCGAGGAGGCTGAGCTGGAGGAGCAGAGCCCGGTGAGAGAGGTGTGGGCGAAGGGGGTGTGGTGGAGGGTGCAGAGGGCTTCCCAAGGCCTTTGCCACTTGGAAAAGGCTATCTGGTGGACATTCTCAGTATTGGGGGTCATGCTGTCAAGTAACTCTACTGTCCCAGCTGAGGATGAGGTGTAAGCAAATGAGCAAGCCATGCGCCCACAAAGCTTTCACTAGGCAGAGTGCTGGGTTGAACCAGGCAGCACTTTGGTCAAGCTCTGGAGTCTGGGGCAGGGCTGCTCGGTTGCCAGTACGTGTTGTTGCTGAGCTCCGAGATAGGAGCCTGTTACAGGATATCCATTGCCCCTCTAACAAGGGATGCAACTGGATTCTGAGGTGTTTTGGCTGAGGAAGCAGTGTGGTCAGAGGTTCTGGTGCAAACTGTGATGGACTGTCTCCAACCCTGTCATCTATGCAAATCAATGAGTGTTGGAGCCCATCCTGATCCTGCCCACCACACACTTGGCCCTTACTCAAACCAGTGGGAACTACAGCCTAATCAGAGTGACCCACAATAATTCCCACCAGGCCCACCCCTGCCCTGGTTCCCTACTTGCCAGTATATACTGCAGACTGGTCCAGTCTGTCCTCCATTCCCATTCAGCTCTCATGAATGTCAATAGGCACCAAAGCCCAGCCCCACTATCCAGCCCACACACCTGCCATCAGTGCCACTCACTGTCTAGCCATACCTGCCCCAGTCGTGGTTCCCATGCTCACCAGTCAGAGTAGCAATCCAAGAGGGAGAGGCCCACTGTTTCCCTACTGGTCCCACTCCCACTCCTGGACCTTACACTCTCCAGGTGGTTCTACAGTTTAACTTGACAGAATTCACTCCCTGTGCCAGCCTATGGCAGCTAGTGCTGTGGCAAAACCTAACCAATGCACACCCATTCTGGCTTGTGTGTGCACCAGTAGCAACAGTCAAACCAGCCTGGCTTTCCCCTGATCTAGCTCACATGCAGACCAACAGGTGTTGTGTCTGTGCCCAACCTGGCCTGCCACCGTCTCAACTCGTGCTCTCCAGTGGGAGTGGTGGTCCAGCAGGGGAGCCCCACGCAGCTCCTTTGCCAGGTTCACCCCCCTCCCTGCCGGGTCTCATGTGTGCTGGTTGGATGCTGAGGCCCTGTCTAAAAAATATTTTTTAATTACTTGAAACACAAGTTACAGAGAGAAAAGAGACAGAGGGATCTGCTCTCTGCTGGTTTACTCTCCAAATGGTTGCAATAGCCAGGGCTGGGCCAGGCCAAAGACAGGAGCCAGGAGCTCGTCTTAAGCCTCCCACATGGGTACAGTGACTCAAGCTCTTGGACCATCTTTCACTGCTTCCCCAGGCCGTTAGCAGGGAGCTTATTTAGAAATGGAGCAGTCAAGTCTTGAATCTGGGTCTCCTTGGGATACTGGATTTCAAAGAGAAGCCTAATCTGATAGACCACAACACTGATTTCACAAATATGCTTAGATGCAAAAGTTTATATATCTGCATAAGTCTGACATGAACATCCATCTAGACACATGAGCACATACATTTGTATACAGATGTAGTCACATATACATATGCAGACACAGAAATGTATGTACATATACATACTGGATGTTCAGCCATGTGAACAGGCATGTGTACCTTTCTGTGTCTACGTATGTGTATCCTTATATGCATATACATATCCTGTGTGCACATGTACTTCATTATCTGTCAAGTGCATGTGTGTTCATATGTGTGTCTGTGTCACTACATGAAATGTGTGCACCTCCATATCTGTGTGTCTGTACATGTGTAGGTACATGAGAGTGGAGTGCCCATTCCATGTCTATGTGCATACAGCAGAAGGAGCAGGCTTGGTGGCAGGGCTTGAACCCTACCACCTGCTAGCAAGGCAGGGAAAGTTTGGGTTGGCAGAGAGGGAGTCCTGACTGGGGTGAGGGAAAGAGGTGAGTCCTCTTTCCCTCAGCTTGCCCCACACCTGCATCCCTCCTTCCCTTCCTCGGGCCTCCTGGGAGGCTGGGAGGCTGCACTGGGGGCCTGAATAAGGAGCACTGGGGCTGGGAGGAGGAGGGGGCTTCCCAGGTGGAAGGTGCAGCTGTCAGGATTTAGGGAGATGGTCAGAACAGAGCTGCTCAGTCCTCTGAGCGGGTAGGTACAGGGCCCTGAGGGGTTACTCAGGGGCTCTCTGCCCCAACTGGCTGGTCTCCCTTGGGGCTAACAGAGTCTTCTCTGGATCTTTTAGCCCCCTGAAGAGACACCTGCAGAGCTATTTGAGGGGTGTGAAGTGGCTGCAGCTGACCCAGGCCTTCGAGGTGAGAGTGCTGACGTCTGGCTGCATTTTCCCTATGAGCTCTGCAATAGCCCATTTCACAGATAAGGGAACTGAGACTCCTTGCAGCTTAGGGCAGGGGTGGGCAGTGGAGGAGACTCCAGGCTTTCAGCTGAGCCCTGGACTTCTCTCTCCTCCTTTTTGGGCTCCGTGGGCTGCAGTAGGATCCCTTGGGGCCCTGGAGCTCACAATGTAAGGGATTGTTTTCCAGAGACACAGGAAGCTGCACCGATTCAGCCTGCATCCCTTCAAGCTCAGTTCACTGGGGTCCTGGAAGTTAACAGGTATGGCACCCAACCCCCTCTCTGTTAAGGGCCATCACCCCCTCTCCCAGTGTGGACATGGCTGGAGGGAGCATCAGGCAGGGGTGGGAAACTCAGTATTGGATAAATGTCGGAAACTTCTCAAAGGTGGGGTGAAAGTGAGTTCCAGTTCTCCCAATTGGACATCCCATGTCAGTGGCTGGCCTCAGGCAGGGAATACAGGCCCTACACAGCTAGGCCAGTCAGCCTCAGTCATGGAGGACACATAACATGGGAAACCATATCGCTGTTAGTATGTCATGTGGTGCAGGGCCGTGAAGTCCTGCAGGTGGCTGAGCTCTGGTGTGGTGTCTGGAGGCTCCTCTGGGAGGCCATGTGACATCTGACATCCTCCAGTGGGCAGACAGCAGGACGTTGTGGATGCCCTCAGAGGATGGGAGTTGAGGGCAGGCAGCTCTCCCTGTCCCCAACAGTCCTGGCAGCTGGGTGCTGACATTACTCCGGAAGGGCATGGAGAAGGTGGTCCCGCAGCCTGCCTGCAGTGCCAAGACAGCCCAGCAGGGGGACCCTGAGCAGGTACTGCCGGGCCGGAGCTGTACTGTGGTGGTGGTGGGGAGCGGTGGAGGTTGCCCCTGCTTCCTGCCCACATTTGTTTGTCTTTAGCAGGATGGAGCACTGATCTTTGAGCCCTGTGGCCCTGGGGACACAGGTGAGACCAAGAGGGCACAGAGGCTCAAGGTTGTGTGAGTGAGCCCTGCCTCTGGGGAGGGTTCAGACCAGAGTGGCCTTGGGTTGGAGTCTGGGTTTGAGCTGGGCTGTCTGGATGATGGCTGACTGAGACAGGAGGGGTGGTGCAGAGTGTGTGGGAGTGGGGAGGCCTGGGCTCTGGGCAGATCTTTGCTGCTGATTTCTTTGTCCCTGACTCTGCAGGGTGCACCCATGAGCCCAGGGAGACCCTCAGGGGGGCCCAGGATGCTGGGTGAGTCCTTGCCACCTACATTGAGTGTGTGACAGGAGGAGCTGTATGCCTGGAGCTGAAGGCCTTAAGTTTATGGTAGCCCCCTGGGGTGTGGCCCTGAACATGCCTCCTGTCTCTTCTGGGCTTCACTTTCCCATTTGTAGAACGGGGGCAATGGACCCTGTGTCATTCAAGGTTGATTGTGAGTTTTCCTGGTGGATCCCCAGAGGGGGACTACCCAGGTAGGCTGAATGGGCAGTGATTGGGAGCGTGGCATGAGGCTTACACAGGAATGGTTCCTGTAGGTGTGCCCAGATTGGCAGCAGCATCTGTCTCCGCAGGGCTGACTTCTGGGGTGGGAATGGCAGGTAAGATGGGGATGGTGGTAAACTGGGGAGTCTGTGCTGGGGGATCCTTGCTCAGTTCTCACTGCCTCTGCTCCACAGTGCAGTCAGATCCTTGCTTTCCAAGCAAAGCTAGGAGAAATCCAGTTGGTTTTGTTTTAATGGAAGCCTATGAAGTGTTACATGTGACCAACCTGTGGGGACAGTGTGAGCCCCCAGAGTAAGCTGCCTGCTCCCAGGCTGTAAATTTTTGGCAGAAATTTAGAGTCAAATGTTCCTCACCCTTCTTGCCATTCTTTCACCCCTGCATTGGCCAGGCTGTCGGTCCTTGCAGGGTCCAGCAGGGGCTCCTGGCCTGGTCCCACCATGGTGCTTACAACGTGGTGTTGTAGTACCCTACAACACAGGGATTGATGGGTGAAGGGGAGGCAACCAGGACCCGTGCACTCCCTGCAGTTCTGCTCCAGGGCCCTCAGTTTCTGTGGTTCCCCCATTTGTTTCTGGGGGGTGATACCCTCCCTGGCACCGTCATAGTGATAGAGGTTGAGGACACTGCCACTTGCCCCTGTGAGACCAGCTCTGTAATTGGTGGTGTCTGGGACAAAATGAAACGCCGAGGCTTCTGGGAACAGGTTTCAACTGTTTTCAGGATGAGGTGGCAGAGTGGTAACCCCTAAACAAGAGCTTCTGAGTATGGGGCCCCACCTGGTTACCCAGATCCCACAATCATCACACCAGCCCGGTGTGTCTCCGTCATGGGGCGCCCACCCCTCTCTTGCTGTCTGCAAGGAGGTCCAAGCTGGGTGTGGCTCTGGGTCAGAATGTGAAGTGGGCTGAAGTTTCCCTGTTTCCCTGGGACCCTTGGGATGGATCATGCACAATCCCTCCAACCCAGTGCAGAACAGAAGCTGCATGAGGATGGGTGCTGAGGGGTGAACCCCCCAGTGGGCAGTCAGGACAGTGGGCCTAGTTGCTTCCTCCACGCAGCTTACCTGGGTGACCATGGGTCCCCTAACACCGCCCCCCTATCCCACTGTAGGCCTGGGTCTTTGCTGCTCCGATGGCTTGAGCAGAATCTGGAGAAAGTGCTGCCTCAGCCCCCGAGGGCCTCCTCCCAGGTGAGTGGACTGGGAAGGGCAGGCAGCACTTGACTGCTGGCAGGGCGGAGGGGGCGGTGGGAGGCAAGGGATTGAGAGGCAGGCTAGAGCCTGTCTGGAAGCCTGGGGCCAGACTGGGAGTGCACAGGGCTTGCTTTGATTGATGCCCTTGACCCCTGTTAATGACCTAGGACTGGAAGGATGAGCTTGAGGATGCTGCCTTGGATCCAGGTATGAGGAGAGACCTGGGAGCAGGCTGCTGGGGATGGGCTGTCCTGGAGGTGGGAGGTGATCAGGGCTGCCTGGGAGCAGGACATTGCTGAGGCCACTGGAACCTTCACCCCCAAACTGGAAGGCCTGGGATAGACTCAAGAGGTCTTGGTCCCTCCCCCTCCCCCATGCCCCTGGTGTGTTTGGTTCATTGGAAGGAAAGGCTGCGTGGCTTGCTCCCAGAGATGCCCTGTGCTGATGCAGCCTTGCTGAAGTGTCTTAAACACCTGCTCTTGCTGCTGCTTAGAGCCTCCAGGATGTCCACTGGAGACACAGGCCAGGATGCAGGTCCAGGACAGCATCTCCCTGCCTTCCCCAACCCCAGAAGAGCCAGCTCCAGAGCCTCAGGCTGGCTTCCAGGTTTCCTCCCTGCTGCCTCCGAGGGACCCTGCCAGGTGAGGCCCCTAAAAGCTACACTGCCCAAGGGGAGCTGCCCAACACTCAACTGTTGACGAAAGCAATTTCTTCAAGGACAAAAGTAGCGCTCACCTCCCTGGGCAGCTTTAGCCACTTAACCCAGTCCTGGCCAGTGGAGGCCACGCCCATTCTCCACACCTGCCTGTCCTCAGGCGCTCTTAGGGATGGTTTTAGCAGAAAGGAGTGTTTCATGACCCAGTAGCTGTTCACTAGCTCACTGCTCCTGTATGTGATGAACCAACTTCAGGTAGCCACACAGTCGACAGGCTTGTAACCGAATCACACCCTTTTTTGGTGTGATTAGTAGCTCATGCACAGGTGGATCTGCAGGGTAAGTGTGCAGAAATGGAGTGGCTGGGCTCAAGTGCCTTTGAAATTCAGACAGGTGCTGCTGACAGCTCCCACTGACACTGTGCTTGGACCTGGAAATGCACCTAGGGGAGGGGCGGACCCTAGAGGGAGCCTGAGCAGTCAAGAGGAGGGACAGGAAGGCTTCCAGCTGCAGACCCGGTTCTGCTGCCCACATTGGGAAGGGCATGATTCTGGCCTCAGTTTCCCACGCAGACACAGCCTGGGCTGTTCTGTCCGCAGGTTGATGGCCTGGCTCCTACACCGGCTGGAAATGGCTCTGCCTCAGCCAGTGCTTCACCAGAAGGCTGGGGATCAGGTCAGTGTTGGGGACTGGGGTGGCAGCGGGAGGGGTCTTAAAGCTTGGGTAAAAGTAGGATGTTAGCCTGTGTCCCCAAGGAGTAGGACACAGCAGAAGAGCAGCAAGAGGGGAGCCGTCAGTGGGAGCCCAGCTTCTTTCCCTCTAGTCAGCTTGGCATACAACCATACCATGAATGCCTTCTCCATGGCCACAGGGCTGAGAAGTGATGGGCCAGCTCCGCTGCCAGGAGCTCATAGTCTGAGAGGGAAGAAGAGAGGCTTTGGAGAGCAGAGGCAGAGTCCCTGGGAGCATCAAGGAAGGCTTCCCAGTGGAGGGGACTCCCACACAGATGAGACCTCTGCCTGGTGCGTTGGGGGAGCCAGACCTGTTGTTCTCCTATCCCTAGAACCCTGGTCCCCAGCCTCCTATTTTTATGATGGAATCTTCTTGTAGTGTCACTGGTTGCTCGGCGCTGGACAGTGAGCATACAAGAGACAAGAGCATATGCAAGGTGGTACCCTGGACAAAGGTGCTCTCTGTGGTCCCAGATTTGCTCCCTTCCCTAGCCAGCAAGGCAGCAGGGAGGCTCTCACAGGAGAGAGGAAAGCTGGTAGAGATGCAGGGAGTGATGGGTCCAGGGGATCCATTGCCAGATAGGGTCCGAGGAATGGCTCCCTGGACACGTCCTGAGGACAGCTGGGTACAGGCTTCTTGGGAGAGCACTTTGCTGTCTGCTATTGCTGGTCCTACGTTGTTTGCCTTCCCATGGCTGACATGCCAGCCATTTCCCTTCGGGGGGCCCTGAAATCCTTAGGCAGGCAGGGTGGAGCTGCCGAACATACATTCTGATCAGTCACAAGATGAGCTGTCAGCTCTTGCTAATTAGAAGGTAAAAAGGGAAAGGAAGGTATGGACTTTACAGACACAAATAGTAGCACCTGAAACAGAGAAGCAGGCAACCTGGTCTCAGTCCTGGCCCAGTCCTTGTGGGGCCTCAGTTGTCCCACCTGAGCAACGGGTTAATGAACCTCTATCTCCACCCAGGGCTGTGAGACTGCAGGAAAAGGGCTGCATCAAGGAAATTGTCCAGGGCCAACTAGGGTCACTTGACCCCTTCAGCAGGTGCAACAAGATGCGCCATTCTTCCTCACTTCAGCCAGAACTCAGGCTCTCAAAGCCCCCTACCCTAAACCTTTTCCTCTACTTCCTGGCACTCCTGACACCAAAGTGGAGTGGGTCAAAGCCATGGCTGGAGTCTGAGCTAGGTGTCTGGGCTGTGCCTGGGCTCTCCCAGCCTTGGTACCCTGCCCTTTTCCAGAGTGGGCTCCTGCCCTAAGGGGGCTGTAATGGGAGGCAAGTAGGAAGCCTAGGACCCCATCCTCTTTGCACCATGGTCTGTTCACACAGTCTGTGTGGTCAGTGAAAGGGGTCAGTTCAGAGACCTCATGGCAAGGGCTGTCAGTGATGAAGAGGCCTGAGAACAGGGTGGGAAGTGCCTCGGTGGAGTAGGTGTACAGAAGAGAGAGATTCAAGGCAGAAGGCAGGGCTGAGCTGAGGTGCTGAGGTTGGAGCAATGGTAGCCCAGAAAGGGTAGGCTGTGGGGCAGGACAGCAGGGATGATGGGCACTGCTGGGCCCAAGTCCTACTGGGGGTAAGGAAGCCTTCTAGCACCTTGTGCGCCAGGAGCAGGTCACAGTAGCTCTTCCTTTTCTCCTCCCCATGTAGGAGCCTGACTGTCCCGGGACATGTGACGTGCAGACCAGTGAGTATTATATGAGTGGGTCCCTTGGGTATCTCTGGAAGGGTGGTTTGGCACTCTCAGGGCTGAGCAGGTTGCACAATTGGGGTCTCGTGACCTGCAGCTGAAAGGGAGCTGGACAAGCAGGTTTAACTGAGTGGAGGAAGTCTTTGGCAGGGGGAGAGCAGGGTGATGAAGGAGCGGTAGGCCTTCTGGGAGAAGTTGATCCCCCATAGACCCCAGGTGCCGTGAACTGGCAGGGCACCTTACCTGCGGTTGGCTTGCAAGGGGCAGGGAGGAAGGCCAAGATATTGCTCTTCTGTCTCAGCCTCTGAAAAGGCATGTAGTAGACATTCATTCATTTATCCACTCATTCACTTGTTCGTTTATTCACTACACTGTCATGGGGGGCACTAGGTACCAGGCATCTAGGGAGCAAAGCAGCATTCATGGCTTGTGAGCAATGCCAGCCTCTGCTCTCTCCTGGACGTGAGGTGTCCCATGCTGTTTGTAAGGCTGTGTCTGACCTGGGTTCTTGTGAGCTTACCATTGCCAGGGTGACCATAGTGACCCAGGATGAGGCAGCCAACTGCAGGCCTGACAGAGTCAGAAGGCTGGGAATGTAACTGGGTTAAAGCAGTCTTGGTGACCAGAGGAGAGGAGGGGGCCCAGCTAGCCTTGGGGCAGAACAGTTATACTTCCTTTTGGAACTCTTGGCTGTGCTGGAGTGTCCGGTGTAGGGACCTCTATGGCTGCTAGGGCAGGCTGTGACAGAGTTCAGAGATAAGAAGGCACCTGTCCTGGGTCCCAGAGCAAATGTCATGGAGCTGTGACTATGATTCATCTGGCCTGGCAGGAGAGGCTCTGTCAGGCAAGGGTTAAAAGATCTGTAGATGCTTTGGGGCCTGGGGGGCAGAGAGGGTTTCAGGATGCTGTGCTACTGTTCTGGGAGCTTCTCTGTTTCTCTAGTGATTCCTGAGCAAGTGGGTCACGGCTGGGGGTCAGGGATGGCACAGGGGACTGGCTCGACATGGGGCCCAGGAGTCCTGAGGGTTCATTGCCAGGGCTGCCAGCCACTGAGTAGTGGTAGCCGTGGATGATAGGATTCTCACAGTGTAGGTGCCCAGGGTGGGAATTAGTATCAGCAGTGGCCACGCCCTTTGAACCCTCAGGGAGAGAGTCACCCCCTCTGGCTTCCGGCTCCCAGGGCTGCTGGGAACTCCTGGCCTCCCTTGGCTGCCAGTTACTTCCTAAACTTCCCCTGCATGGGCCTTTCCTCCAGCTGCCTGTGCCAAATCCCCCCTCTTTGTTACAAGACATCTGTCATTGGATTTAGGATCCACCCTAAATCCAGACTGATCTTGTCTTGAGATCATTAACCTCGTTACATCCTCTAAGACCCCATTTCCAAAGAAGGGCGCAGACCCGGGGCAAGGACTCAGATGGATTCTTTGGGGGAGACTCCCTGCTCAGTTCCCTAGCTATCCTCTTCACTCACTCACTTGTTCATCCATCCATCCATCCATCCATCCATCCATTCCCTTATTCATTCCCTCCATCTTTCCGCCCTGTCGCCCACCCTTCTATCTTCTCCTCTGTTCCAGGGGCAGTGGCAGCTGGAGGCCTCTGAAACAAGGGAGAAGGGGACCTGGGAGAGTGCGGCCGGACAAACGGATGGATGGATGGAAGGGATGGAGGCTGCTCTGGAGAGAAGACCTTCTGGAAGAGGGTGGCTCCTGACCCCCACCCTATGTGAACAGTATACCCTGCTCCTCCCCACACCCCCAGGCAGTGGAGTCCTGCCAGTCCCAGCAGTGCAGGACACTTGTCCAGGTGCAGCCTGAGAGACTTAGGCCAAATAATAGGAAGACTTCTCTGCTGTGTCCCCAGTAGAACTCCTTTAGGAGTGTGCTTGTCTATGCCTGGCCCTTAGCCTGGCTCAGCAGACAGGGCCCTGACACAAGTTTTCTTGGAAGCCCGGGAATGTGGGTAAACAAGGGACAGGTAGTGAAATGGACATTAAAAAAGCATACACTAGCTGTATCAACTTATGGTTGCATGTTGTTGCTTATAAGTAGGCCGTGGTGCATGCTGGGATTGCAATCAGGAGAGGATTGCTTTAAGGAAGCCAGGTGGCAGCTGGGGATCCTAGCTGCCCCTGGAAGTCATTGCACAAATTAGAGTTCATGGCCACCATTGAAAACTCAGCTGATGTGGCACAAGAAAGTTGGCTTGTCTGAAATACCAGGAAGATGTAGCTGTGCTCATGAAGATGGTCTGAGGATGATGGCACCTGCTGTTTTATCATGTCCACCTCCTTCCTTTAGTTAGGCTCTGAGACCTCCCCCCTGGGTATAAGGCAGTCTAGCAGAAGGGTTAAAGTGAGCAAAAGCCTTGAAAAAGTGAGCTAGGCCAGAGCCCAGAGTCCTGGACACAGAAGATGAAACCAGCAAGGCCAGGGCCTGTCTTCAGGGGACCAGGCTGTAGGCAAGGGGGAGTGCCTTCATGATGGGCACTTGGGGGCTGAGTAGCATAGAGGGCTGGCAGGGCAGTCAGTGCTGGAGATGGCCTCTACCCAGACTCCATTTAGAGAAGACAGAGAGCCTGGGAATCGGCTTTTTCCAGAAGCACTCAGCAGCCAGGGATTCTAATTGTGGGTCCCTTGAGAGATGCCTGGGGAGTGAGAGATCAGTGCTTCAGGGCACAGTGCAAGGAGACATGGAGCTGGCCCAGGGAAGTGGGGGTCAGGAGCCAGGCCTGCCAGAGGGGACAGCTAGGAGCCGGGGCTGGGGCTTGGCCAGGGAGCTGGGAATAGATTGTTGCCATTTCATGGCTGAGGACGGAATCCCTTTTGGGGAGGGACTGGCTTGGGATAGCCAGGAGTGCGGAGAATCAGACACCTTCAGTGTGCTGGCAGCTCCAGGGGCAACACAGCTGCTGCCCCGCAAGCCCTGCTGGGGCCTTGCCACAGGGACCAGGGGCAGAGCAGCTCAGGCCTGCCATTCCCTGTCCTGTCCTGGCCTGGCCAGGGAGCTGCACATCTCTGAGATGCTGCTCACTACATGGGACCTAAGGAGAAGATGTTAACCACCAGGAACACCAGCCCTGCTATCGAATGCTGCTGGTGCCATTAAGCCACCCCCAGGAAGCACTTAGCATTGGCTGGGGGTTGTGTACCAGGAAAATTGGCATCGGGAGTACTGGCTCCCTGGGTGGTTCCAGATGTGTGGCTCAGCTGGGTGAGCTAGCACCTAGGGCCCCATAATAGGAAGAGGACTAGTCTTGCTCTTCAGGGCTGCTGTGAAAGCCAACAAGCTCACTGTCGGCCTGGTTGATGCTTTGTATCGTGCTGTTCCCAGCTGAACAGGGATGTATGCGACCCCAGGGGTTTCTGGGAGCAGCGATGCTGCTCCAGTGCTGGATGGCGACAGGGAGTGGCACATGCAGTGTGTCCCACTTCTGGAATCAGGGGCACACTTGGAGGATCATTGCAGTGCAAAGCTCAGGAATATGTGTAGGGCCCAGAACCCATGCAATATGAGCTACTTTTGAGGGTACACATGGAGGCTTCCTTGCCGGGCAGGCAGTAGAACAGGGGTAACCCCTGGACCTGGAAGCTGGGAATCCTGTGCATGGCACATAGGAAATACCCCAGGAAAGAAGGCATTAACCTGTGCTTCAGTTAGCTCATCTGTAACATGAGCAGCAAAATATACAAGAGACAAAATAAAATGAGGAAAATAATTATTTGGTATACCTCACAAAGGTGAGGTGCATGGCCATCAATCACTTAGCATTGGACCTGGCACATAGTCACCGTTCAGTAACCCTCACTATTGTCACTGTAAGAAAAATTATGATTTAAAAAACTATTTATTGGGAAGGCAATCTGACAGAGAAGGAGGGACACAGAAGGACATGTGGCATCTATTGGTTCACTCCCAACATGGGCACAACTTCCACCCAAGCCAGGAGCCAGGATCACCACCCAGGTCCCCGATGTGGGTGGGAGAGACTGAAGTTCTTGGGTCATTTTCATAGTAGTAGGGAGGTGGATTAGAAAGAGGAGTAGCCGGGACTCAAACTGGCACTCTGATTGGATGCTGGTATTGCAAGTGGCAACACTGACCCCTATAATGATTATGCCACAATAACCTCTGAAGTGAGAGGGGAAGACCTAAGTCTAGCTTCCATTTACTGTCTGTTATTGATATGTACAACTTGTATTTTATGGTTCTGTGCTAAAAATTCAGTCTGTTATGAATTCTTGCTTGACTGGAGGGCTACCAAGACCCCTGGAGCTTGATGGAGCGGGGTACCTGCTTTCTGGGCAGTCTGCCCTATTCTCCCTGACACTTTCCTGGGGCTGAGCTGGGGCTCCTGGGAGACTCTTTGCCATTCCTGCCTCCCTCTACCACCAGGCTCACAGGCTTGTGGTTTTGTATTGTCAGGGGCAAGGGGAGAAATATGGAAAATCATAGACTCCTTCTGCAGGTGGGACCATCCCTATGAACAAGTGGAAGAAGGAACTTCTAGGCTCAGGAGTGGAGAGGGGAAGGATCCCCAGAAGCGAGTCCTGGGCTTTCAAGCATGCTGTCACCACGGAGGAAGCATCTGGAGCTCTGAAAGTGGGCAGGCTCTGCCTGCCTCTTTGGAGCAGGCCAGCTACTGGGCCCCTGTTGGTGACAGGTGGACTCTGGGTATTTGACACCACCTGTGGTGCTGAGCACACATCTCCAAGAAGGTTTTAGTGAGAGTCAAATGCGATCTGCAGTGACAAGGTTCTGGATTGGGAGGATCCGGGATGTGTATGTGGGTGGGGATTCTATCAGGAGGAGGCCAGGCAGATACTGAGGACTTCCCACATTGCTTGAGTGTCTGTCTGGCTGTTCATGGTCTCCCTACACTGGTGCCGTTTCCTTACTGCCTGGGCTAAGAGCTGACATACTTGCTGGTGACTGTCAAGGTTCTCCTGGACCACAGGGGTGCACGCTTTCCTGCCCCCCACATGCACCAATGGCTCTCCCCGCAGTCAGCATCCACCCTGGAGAACAAATGGAGCCTGACCTTGTCCTGGAAGAGGTTGACCCTCACTGGGAGAACACCCACCGGGATGGTGGTGGCAGCAGCCCATGGGAGACAGAGGAAGTACCGGCTTATGAAGAAGAGGACTATGCCATGGAGGAGGTGCCTAGGTAAGGAGCTGGAGAAGCCCTCCACTCCCAACAAATTGATTATTGCTTAAGAAGGTAACAGGTATGTGGTGCAGAATCCCAAATGCAGGGAAGGGTACAGAGCAGGAACCTCATCCCCTCCCCCATTACCCATGCCCCTCTCCCACTTGGGTTCTTATGTACCACCCCAGCGATGACCTGGGCGCAGCACAGTTGGCCTCTCTATGTTTTGCAAACTTCATGCCCCTGTCTGCACCTTGCAACAGTTGTTCACCCACACACCTGGAGGCCACCCTCATTTTCCATGCCTGCATAGTAGTTTGTGCTATGAATGCATCAAAGTCTATTTAACCTGTCCACTTTTGATGAACATTTAGGTTGATTTCAAAGCTGTATTTTTATGAACAAGGCTGCAACACACACTGTGGCAGAAGGAATCAGGTGGACCTTCAGGCACAATAATAAGGGTGGAAGAGGTGATAGTCTCTCCATGGGGACGCTGCCCTCCACATCTCTGCCTGTGGGGCTTGGTGATGGCTTTATCAGCCAAAAGGTTTCCAGTCCTCAAGTTCATAACTGACATTGCTGTGATGGGGGAAGTTGAGGCCCAAAGAGGCTCAGGGACTGACCTGGGGTCACCACCAGCCCCATGGAGGCTGGAGCAGACCCTCCAGTGGTGATGTGTCCTTGTCACTAAAGAGCCCTCAGCTGCTTGAGTGGGGCACCTGGGTGGAGCTTGGGGTCATGGGGAGACAGGTACAGTTTTAGGAGTCCTGGTAGAACCTCACCTCCCACCTCTGCCCCCAAAACAGGCAGCTGTCCCAGATTCAAGAGGAGAGAGAAGAGGAGGAGGAAGAGGAAGGAGAGCAGGAAGAGGAGGAAGAAGAGGAGGAAGCTGAGTAAGTTGCTTGTCCATCCCTGGGAGCTGTCCTAGGGATACAGGTTTATAGCCCTGACTGCTGGGATCCTGGGTTGGGGATTGGGGGACTCTCAAGGATTCCTGAGAGTTCCTTTGTGTTCTTCTGTGGAGGCTGGGGACCCCCAGTGTCCTCAGAATGAATGACAGGAATCATAGCCCCTACCACTCTGCAGCCTTCCACACCCATACTCTGGCATGGAGTTCCTTGAGAGATAGAACTTCTTCCTGTTTTCTCTGCCCATTCTCAGAGCCTAGAAAGTACCTGGTACACAGCAGGCACCATGCTTGGATGGAGACACAAATAGACTACCAAGCAGGCTCTCAGCTCTCTGCACTCCTTAACAATGCCACGACCGTCTCCTCACTTTGGCCACCCTGGCCACCTCCTAAGACTGTCCTGAATTCCGCTGACACCAGTAATGGTGAACTCTCTCACCTGCAAAGTTTCAGCATTTAAAAACTCATGGGAGTGCTCAGTTCAAATATAACTTTACCAAATGGAGACCAGTTAGCTTTAGAGAAGGCTGTTAGCACAAGTGGTAATGGAGGGGTGTGCATGGTGAATGTAATTAGGGAGGAAGAGGCAGTGGTAGGCACGCACGACTAAGCCTTGGATTAGGCATGGGTGGATGGGCCAGATCAGTTGGTGGCATTGGGAGCTGTGGGACTGCGGGTGAGCGGGGGTTGAGGAGAGACCCCAAGACCAGAGCAGAAGCTGGGGCAGTAAGGGGAAACCAGAAGGCCCAAGCAGTAGGTGTGGAGGGGTAAGAGGGAGAAGAAGAGTGCGGGACTGGGAGGCCACATGAAGTGTTTCAGGTAAGAGGGACGGCCTCCTAAGCAGGTTGTAAAGCCTTTGAACTTGACCTCCTAGTAGCACTGGGAGTCGCTAAAGATTTGGAAGCAAGAAGGAGGTATGAGCTGGCAGCTTTGCTTGGGAAAGCAGGAAGATGGCAAGGGGGTTGGGTTCATGGGACAGGGAACAGGAGTTAATCCAACCTCAAGCTCCAATCCCTGTCCTTGGCACCTGCCCACATCCACCTTCTACCCCTCACCAACCTGTCCCCATGGTCATGGCCTCAGGCAGGGCAGTGTCATGCTTTTGAGGAAAACAGCCACTTGGCTCCTTCCTGTTGGCATAATATCTTGGGCAAGTGGCACAGCCCAGAGCTGCTCTCATGGCTATAAGATGAGGGTGGGAGCAGTACCCTGCTCCTGGCTCCTCAGGGCCTGGTGGTGGTGATAGATGCCCATCCCTAGGCAGTGATGTTGCTGTCCCCAGGGAAGGTCACTTATAGTCCCAGTGAGGAGATAGTGAACTGTGAGACCAACACAGGTTTTCAGAGATGGCACCTATTTGGTATCATCTACTGAGTTTAGCTCAGTTCAAATGTCGTTTTTGCTCACACAGTAGGGGCCACAGTCTCTAGTAATAGGGAGCCCACACCCTCTCAAAAATTGTTGTTCTTTTCTTACAATTTATTTATTTGAAGGGCAGAGAGAGGGAGGAAGAGAGAAAGAAGAGAGAGAGAATGAGAGAGACTGATTTTTCCATCCATTGGTTCATTCTCCAAATAGCTGCCAACAGCCAGGGCTGGAGCAGACTGAAGCCAAGAGCCTAAAACTCCATTCTAGGCTCCCACGTGGGTGCAGGGTCCCAGAATTTGGGCCATCTCCCATTGCTTTCCCAGCTGCATTAGCAGGGAGCTAGATGGAAAGTGGAGAAGCTGGGACTTAAATTGATACTCAAATGGGATGTCAGTGTTTTTGGCCTAACCCACTGCACCACAGTGATGGTCCCTTACTCCTCCAGAATTTGAAATTCAGGAAATTTGTGGGCCACAGGCCCAGGGAGGTAATAGGACACTGAAGTGACTGAGCCAGTCATTCCAGAGCCAGGGCCAAAGGAGTGAGGACCAGGGCAGGTGGAGTTGGGAGCCCAGGGCTGAGGGAGGATGTGCTTGGCCAGCTTTGCAGAGGCGGCCCATGTTACTGATGATGCAAAGGTTCTGGTAATGCAGGCAGTTGCCTAGCAACCTGGTCTCTATAGGCTGCTGCCAGGTTTTGCCTAGCAACAGTGGCCTTTTGGTCCCCACCTGGCCTCCCGGGGGCTTTTCTGCAGAGTTCCCTGCACACCCACTTAGCCTGAGGAGAAGTGGGCAGGACAGGTGCTCACACACTGGCAGGGGCTGGGCCAGAGCTCTTCACGTCCACTCGCATGCTGTGGCCCCAGGCTTGGGGTGAAGGTCACAACCCCCAGCTGAAGTCTGGCACCATGGGCATCCTTGCTGGCCGAGACATAGAGACCCAAGTAGGTGGCTGCTTCTGCGTGCAGACTCCTCTTCGTCCTCCTCCTAGACTTGGGTTTTAGGGGGAGGAGTCCATTGAAGGTCATAGCCAGGATCTTGGTTTTAGGGGGTGCTGCTTGGGCCCTGGGGAAGGAGAAGTGTGCTGGTAAACTTCGAGGTTCTTGGGCCTTGAACTTGACAATCAGGGTCTCTGAGAAGGTCTCATGTGACTTGGGAGCTTTCTGGAAGTTGATGGCCAGATACTCTGGGCTGGACAAGAGGGAGCTGTTAAGCAGGAACAACATGGCTTTGGACCATGGGCTCTGAAACAGCTCACCAAGTACTCGGTGTCTTGAGAGCTGAGAATGTTTGTGCAAGATGTTCCTCAGTTCATGGGGTGATTTCATAGCCCCCTAGATTGCCACCTCTTGTGGGCTGAGTCATGATCATGGCAAGAGCAGTGTTAGCAGCAGCTGCCTTCAGGTGAACACCATTTCCCACACCAGACATGGTGCTAGGGCATCCCATTTCACAGATGAGAGAAACTGTGGCTCAGAGAGGGTGCTGTGCCAGAGAGCACAGGGCTGGGATTCTGTCCTAGGTCAGCTGACCTCAGAGCCAGCACTCAATTCTGCAGTTGAGGAGGGTGGCAGGGCAGTGCCTGGAGGGGGAGAAGCCTAGAGAATCTTTTCTGTCTGGCATCTGGCAATCCTTTGTCACTTACACCAAGTTCCAGTCGCCCCTGCTGACCTCACTCATAAGCCAGGATGGGACAGGCCTTGTTGCACAGCAGGTTCTGCTGCTGCTTGGTAAACCCACAGCTAGTAGAGGAGTGTGTTTGAGTTCTAACTGCTCTGCCTCTGATCCAGCTCCCTACTAATGCACCTGGGAGGCTTCGGGTGATAGCTTGAATGCGTTGGCCCCTGCCACCCACATGCCAGACTCTGATGGAATTCCTAGCTTCTGGCTGTGGTCTGGCCCAGTCTTGGGTGTTGCAGACATTTGAGGAGTGGCTCCCTGCTTGTGGCCTAGGAAAGCAGTGGAAGACGGCCCAAAGCCTTGGGACCCTGTACCTGCATGGGAGACCCAGAAGGAATGCCTGGCTTCTGGCTTTGGAATGGCTCAGGTCTGGCCATTGCAACCATTTGGGGAGTAAACCTAGTGCATGGAAGATCTTACTATCTCCCTTTCTCTCTGTAATTCTGCATTCCCAATAAAAGTTAAAAAAATTATTTTTAAAGAAAGAATTCCTGTCTTTTTTTTCTTTCTCAGTCTCTTTCTCTGCCTTTCAAGTAGCTGGAAATAAGTTAAAATTTAAAAAAGAAAATCTACAGTCAAGCTACCCTAACCTGTCCCAGTCTTGACTTTTTTTTTAAAGGCTTATTTTATTTGTGTTTGAAAGACAGGTTTACAGAGAGAAAGAGAGCCTCAATTGGCTGGTTCACTCTCCAAATGGCCACAATAGCTGGAGCTGGACCAATCCAAAGCCAGGAGCCAGGAGCTTCTTCCAGGTCTTCCATGCAGGTGCAGGGGCCCAAGGCCTTGGGCCATCCTCTGCTTCTTTTCCAGGCTGTTACAGGGAGCTGGGTCAGAAATGGAGCAGCTAAGACTCGAACCAGCGCCTGTATTGGATGCCAACATCGCAGGCAGAGGTTTAACATGCTATGCCATGGTGTTGCCCCTACCTCCCCCAACCTACCATTTGACAAGCAGGCCACTTCAAGGCTTCTGGGTGACTTACTTCAGGCCACACAAGGACTTCCTGACCCCAGGATGTTTATTTTCTGGGCCTTTGTGCTATGGGTGTTCATTTCCTGGGTCTTTGTGCTAGAGGCAGGGAGCCCAGGAGGACCCTGACCTCTGTTTCCTCCACACACCTGTACAGGACTGACTGCTTGGTGGAGTAGGCACAGCACCCAGAAGTCTTTTAGTGACTCATGTTTCCAGGTATTATGTTAATGTCTTAACCTTTTTCTTTAAAAGAAAAAAAAGGATTTGTTTATATATTTGAAAGGCAGAGACAGAGAATCTTGCATCAGCTTGTTCGTTCTCCAAATGGCCATAATGACTGAGGCTGGGGCTGGCCGTGGCCGAAGTCAGGAGCCTGAAACCCTATCCAGTTTTCCACATGGGTGGCAGGGGCCCCAGGACTTGGATCGTCTTCTGCAGTTTTTCCAGATGCATTAACAGGGAGATAGATTGGAAGTGGGGCAGCTGGGACTTGAACCATTGCTCATGGGATGCCAGCATCATAGGTGGCAACATAGCCTGTTGTACCACAAAGCCAGCCCCAACATATTATTCATCATACAAATACAGTCACTGAAAAATGTTTTCTAAATACATTTATAGGGAGGAAGGGGCCCATGAAAGTCATCGTGTGACTTTGCTCTTGTGACTTGAACCTCTACAAGGAAACCAGTCTCTCCCTGGGGAAGGGGGGAGTTTATTACTTTGACAAAGGACAGGTGCACATGATAAAAATGAAGAAAAATAAAGGGAGGTGAAAGCCTGGGTCATGTGAATCTGTCTTATTCCTCTATGTCACTGGGATGGGATAGACATGTGGAGTCAGGTCATAGAACAGAAGGGCAGCACACAGCCTCAGGTCCTGCTTGGCCTGTCCACACTGGGTAACTGTGGCTGACTGTGGGCCTCTCTGAATCTCTGCCTTTGGTTTTGGCTTTGGCCTCCCAAGCTTGGGTGCTGTGGGACAACTTGCTGTGTGACTGTGGCCACGTCTGTTTGCCTCTCTGGTCCTCTCTCTTCTCACACTTCCCTTGCTCTGCCTGCACCACAGAAACCCCCTAGGGGCAGTCAAGGTGGCCTGGGACTTGTGGCTCACTGTTACACGGTGCTCTTCGAGTGACACCTCAGGGGACTGCTCCTCCAACCATTCTCCATGTTGGTCTGTGTATATGCTGATCCCCCTTCTAGGACACCCTCTCTATCTGTTCTTTCTGTTAAAATCATTATCCTTGTGGCCCACTTTGCTGTCTACCTCCTTTGGAAAGCCTTCCTTCCCAGCAGAGTTGTAGCTTGTCTTTTGCAGGCTATTGCGGGTGTATTTCATTGGTACTAGGACACAGCCCTGGAAGCCCCAGGAGAGCAGGAGTGCCTCTGTTCCTAGCATCTCTGTGCCCCCAGCTCCCAGCACTCACAGGAGTCAGAAAGCACTGAACCCTCCTAACTACTCTCCTTTCTTTGCAGTGTCCTGCTGGATAGCTATCTGGGGGTGCAGGCAGACGTGGATCAGAGCGAAGGAGAAGCCCAGGACCTGCGGGACTCAGACCAGGTACGGAGAAGCACAGAGCCCCCGGGGGCCTTGAAGGACTGGGCTGGGGTCCTCTGGAAGCTGGGGCTGTACCCATAGGGCTGGTTTTTAGTGGGTGAAATGTCTGCGGGATATGGGATGGTGGGTCTTGCAAGTCCCTGCTCAGACTCGGGTCAGATGATGCAGAAATGTCCTTGACCATGGCTGGGGAATTGGGTGGCCCTCTTGTGAGAACCATGGTATGGAGTCAGGTGCATGTGGACTCAAGTCCACCTGCTCACACTGGGTCTTATGGCCACTGGTGTCCAAGGGGGCTAGGAATGCCTCACTGGGGGTTGTAGAAAGATCTGAAAGTAGTTGTACACTGTGGAATGCTGTCCTTGGGGGCAGCATCAAGCGATGGCTGCTGCTTTAGTTGCTTAGTCCCCAAGGCTGCAAAAGGGGACCATACAGAAAATTCTGGTGTCAGGGCTGGGGATTTCTGTGTGTTCTGCCTTCTGCAAGCTGTAGGCTACCCCCTACCCTAGTGGGCTGGCAGGGCAGGGAGAATCCCAAGACAGGGCTCCTGGCTGGGGGGTGTGGCGGGGAGGGTCACAGATTCCTTTTCTTCTGCAGGAGCTGTGGGAAGAGGAGGAAGAGGTAGCAACAGCCAAGAGCCCAGGAGGTAGGTGTGCGTGGTAGCCAGGGGTCTCCCTCCCTTCCTTCCTTCCTTCCTTCCTTCCTTCCTTCCTTCCTTCCTTCCTTCCTCTCTCCACTGCCTCCTCCCCCTCAGGCCAACTCCACCTCTTGGGGTCTGTGTTGGGGATGGAGTGTGAGGGCCCCAGGTCTTCCATGGGGCTGGGGAGTCCCACATTGGTCAACCACCCATCCTGTCATAGCCTCTGGCTGGGTAGGCAGCTCTGTGAACAGCTTCAGGAATACCTGTAAGGAAATAGCCTGCTGGTGGTGGGCCCTGAGCCCCATATCTCTGTGAGCTTTGGGGGGCTGCTCAGACCCCCAGGGTGGGCCCAGCACATAAACTATGACTACATGGTGGGGCAAGAGACCAAGGAAGCTGAGCCTGGGAAAATCATTCAGTGCTCTGGCTTGTGAGTGTTGCAAGCCTTACATTCCTCTGTGTCATTAAACCACCTCACTGTGGCAGCAAGACCATTACACAGATGAGAAAACTGAGGCTCATGTGCCAGATTGGTCCAAGCCGTCAAGGCACAAAGACCTGCATTTCACTCCTGGCTCCTTTCCTCTCCTTGCTCTGTGACATTGAATCAGTGCTGTGACCTCTCTGAGCCATTGCTCCCAAATCAAGACAACCGGGGCCACAAGTAGCAGCAGTGACCCGGCAGGGAGGCTGACTCTCAGCCTGGCCACCAGCATGGGGAGAGGAGTCAATTATGAGGGCTGTGATACATCTGTCCTAACCAGTGACCGCAATGGGCCTGGACTGTGGGGTAGTGATCCTGGGTGGCCTCAGCTTGGTTCCTACTTGGTCATTGAAAGTGTCTTCTGGTGGCTTCCACACACCAGAGAAAACCCATGTCCAAACCCAGTGCTGGCCCCCCCCCATTGTGGATAAGAGCAGGACCCAACAGGTACAGGCAGATTCTGCCAGTGGCTCTGGGTGCTTTGGAAGCAGGTGCTGTGGGACCTGTGCAAAGAAGCATGGGGGCATTTTCCCCATTCCTTCGCAAAAGCACGGGCCTGGGGAAAGGTGTTTAAGATGGCCACATCCTTCATGGCAGTGCCCGGGTTTGGTACCCAGCTCCAGCTCGTATCTCCAGCTTATGGCTCCAGCAATGGCTCCGGTAATTGAGTTCCTGCCTCCCCTGTGTTGCCTCCCAGCTCCAGGTCCTGGCCCTGTTTTTACTGGCACCTTGGGAGCCACCCTGCGAGTGGGAGCTCTCTCTGTCCATCTGTATGTCTTTAAGCCTCTTCAATAAATAAGTACAATTACAAAAAAAAAAAAAAAAAAAAAGTGTGGCCCTAGAGCTAGTAGCTTTGGCTTGAGCTGGTTAGAAATTCAGATTCCCGGGCCTCATTGCAGGCCTGTTGGGCAGGAGTCTGCATGGTGACACCACCTCCTGTGGATTTGTCTCCACACGCATTAAATATTTGCAAGACAGTGGCCTTGAACCTGCATGGTGCAGTCGCCTGGGGAGAGATATAGACATAACTGATGCCAGGCTTCCTCTTGGAGCAAGAAAGCATATTAGCTGGGAACACTCAGCCCTTCCCCGAGTGATCCCAGCACACAGCTCAAGCTGGGGAGCCAGGTCCTGGGAAAAGTGACTGCTTGGGACCGGAAGTAGAATTAATTGGCCTCCAGGGGGTTTCTCTGGACTTGAAAGCCTCCCCTGGGTTAAGGGTATTTAGTCTGGGGCTTCAGGAACCTGAATCTCTGGGTTCTGGGTTCTTCAATGCTGACTCTTTGGAGTGTGTAATGAGAAAAGCTGCTGGTAGCTGTGAGTGTGAGGAATGAGGGCGTGGGGCCCAGTGTGGCCCCTCAAAGCCAGATGGTGAGACAGGTGTGCCATGACTCAACAATGCCTTAGAAGCTGACTTTGGGGTCAGGAGGGATGGCTCAGACCCCAGGGGGCTGCCAGTAAGCTGTGGGCTGCCCTGTGCAGATGCTGGAGTGGAAACTGCCCCCCAGTTACCAGGTCTCCCACAACTCTGCCTCCCGATTGCAGCCCCTAGGTCCCATCTCCACCTGTGACTTTCTAGCCTCAGCCCCACAGCTGCACAAGGCTGGGACATGGAGCTCAATCGCCTGGTGCAGGACCAGCCACCCAGCCTCATGGGCTCTGGAGCTGTCCCCCAAAACCCGGCAGAACACCTCCCCAATGTGCCTACCTACCGGCCCCCCATCACCCGCATCCCAGTCCTCGTCTCCCGGAGAACCACCTTGTCCAACTCCAGCTTCGCCAGGGAGACGCGGAGCTCCATCCGCTGCCTAGGTAGTGTGAGCTGGCTGCCCGGTGTGCTCGTTCCTGTGGCATGTGCTTGTGCATGGCTTGGGCAGTCTCCCAGTACCGGGCCCATGGTCATGGTGTGGGGCTCTTGGCTATGCTTCTGGCAAACCAGTCCAGCCTGCCCTGCTGGTCAAAGGCTTCATCCTGCTTTGTGAGAGAGACTTGAGGGGTTTCATGTCTAAAATTCCATGATTCTCAGTTTGTATCTTTCGGATTAGATGTTACTTTCCGTGGGTGATTTTTCCTATACAAAGTAGTCATTTACAAGCTAGTCTAAAAAAGACCTTCAGCTCTCCAGGCCAGTAAGCTGAGACAGGGACTGGGAGTAGTGTGAAGGGCCAGAAAGATAGGAAGTTAGCTTGGGGAGCAGGGGGATTTTTTTTATTTTACTTCTTTTTTTATTATTATTATCATTTTATGATACAGTCCCATAGGCCCTGGTAATTCCCTTATCCCCTCCCCACTCACTGAGTTCCCCTATATCATTACTAAAGTATAGTTCTTCATACACAGTCATATATGCCCATCATTGTGGGCATAGACAATGGCAGAGTCCAGCATCCTATTGTCAAGATATAGTAAACAGTTTCATGGAGTCCATCTTTGTCCAGAAGTAGAGATGCATACTGCATTGAATCCTCACATCTAGATACAATAATCTTCATTACACAGTTACAATACATTGGAGCAGAGGGATTCTTTGCACACAGTCTACTGACTGAGCTTGCTGGGACCTGGATCATGTAGAGGCAGTCAATCCCTGCAGGGCAATACCACTTCAGGAAAAGTCACTCCCAGTTTCAGCAGGCAGACCAGGGAGGGAGGCGACTCAGGGGCCCCTGCGTGGGTGGATCCTCGTAATGGTCACAGGGTCTCCTCAGGACAGCGAAGTGCTAGGGACAGTCCCTTTTTTCCTTGGCTCAGGCCAGACCTGGCCATCTTGCTTTCAGACTTGTTGGTTTAGTTTTGGTTGATGCTGTGCAAAGATGCTCCAGATGTTAGTACCAGCAGGTGGAACTGAGCATGCCCAGCCATGGGGGAGGGCCCCTCTGGGTCTCTTGCCTCTTCCTGGCTGGGGTGGCCGCAGAGAAGGGATGAAGGTTGCAACCACAGCTCCTGCCTTCTGGAGTTCAGGGCTTAGATATATTGCCATGATCTCCCACTTCAGACCCCATGTGTCCCCTCCCCCATGGTTGCTTTTGTGCCAGCTCTAGTTCATTTGAGCACTAGTTTTTCTTTCACTTGATTCTCTTTTCTATGTATCAAAGAGCATGGATCACTATTCAAATGGAAAAGCAACACTGGTCTGTTGTAAATAGAAATCAGCCAGGTCTCCAGTAAGCCCTGGTGGGGAAGGCTGGTGTCTGTGGGCCAGCTGGTGGATGCCCTCTGCTAGGAGGGAAATGAGGCCATTGCATGAGGAGTACAGTGCAGCAGCAGGACCAGAGGCTGGGTCCTTTATGCAAAGAAAGGATTTATTTAGCTCATAGTTCTGAAGACTAAGGGGCACAGCGCCCAGCATTTCCATGGTCAGTTGAGAGCTTTCTGGCTACATCGCAGCATGACACATGGGCAAAGGTCACATTGCAAGACTGGAAGTCAGAGACTCAGAGTCACAGCATGTAGCACACTCCTCTGGGAGCCCACATGTCATCCCTGGGGACAGCGGAGTGGCCGGGTTGCAGAATGGTACATGATGACCTGGCTGCTGCTGAAGACAAAGGAGGCGAAGCAAGAGCAAGAATGTTACCCTTGTTTCGGGGATGCCATGTACGCCTTGCATGCTGGTGTTTCATTTCTGCAGAGGCCTCACTGAGCTGGATGCCCACAGCCAAGTCTGGCTCCTCTGCGGCTTCCTCCACCTCTCCATGTCTCAACTTTCTTTCCTGCAAAGTGGACACACTTAGAAGCCACACTCTAAGTACTCTAAGGTTGCAAGAGTGACCGTAGGGGTCAGCACTTATCAGTGGAGACTCTGGTTAAGATGGATGGGTCCTGGGCTGGTGTGGTGGCTCAACTGGTTAATCCTCTGCCTGCAAGCACCAGCATTCTGTATGGGCACCAGTTTGTGTCCCAGCTGCCCATCCAGCTCCCTGCTCATGGCCTGGGAAAGCAGTAGAAGATGACCCAAAGCCAGTACCTATGCGGAAGACCCAGAAGAAGCTTCTGGTTCTTGGCTTCAGATGGGCTTAGCTCTGGCCATTGTGGCCATTTTGGGAGTGAAACAACGGATAAAACGTCTTTCTCTGTTTCTCCTTTTCTTTATAAATCTGCCTTTTCAATAAACAAGCAAATCTTTTAAAAAGATAGAGAGGGATGCCCGGGTCTCACCCACCTTGGACTACCCGGGCCCATCTCCTGACCCCAACTTCCCACCAAGGCACACCCTAGGTGGCAGCAGGTGATGAGCCAACTGTCTGGGTTCCTGGGGAGGCCTGGCTTGAGTTCCTTGCTCCAGTTTTTGGCCTGGCTCAGCTCCAGCTATTGTGGGTGCTGGGGAAACGAGCCAGGAAATGGGACTCCTCTCTATAGCTCTGTCTCTCAAATAAGTAAGTAAAAACATATTAGAGTTTATATAAAGTACTTAGAGTTTATTAAAACAGATGCATGGCTGGCATGATGTAATTTACATGTTTAATATTTCTTTTTCACTTCAAGATCTTCCATCCACTGGGTCACTCCCCAGATGGCTACAACATCTGAAGCCAAGCCAGGCCAGAGCAGCAAGCTTTATCCAGGTCTCCCACTTAGGTGGCAAGGGCCCAGGGACTTGGACCATTTTCTCTTACTTCTCTCAAGCCATTAGTAGGCAGCTGGATCAGAAATGGGGCAGCCAAGACTCGAACCTGCACTCCTAGGAGATACTAGCATTGCAGGTGGCAGTTTTACCCACTTTACCACAATGTTGGCCCTAGCAATATGACTTCTATCTTGAGTTCCCACTCTGTAAAGCTGATGGGGAGTGGAATACCACTCTGAGGGGCTTTCCCTCCTTTACAGGGAGGACTAAGGTGGTAGCATCTTCCCAGTGTTGGGGGCAGGGGGATGGGGTATGCCCTCCCCAGCAGGCTTCCAGAGCACAGCCTCATGGATGCCAAGGCCAGGCCGCTTCCTGCTGCCTCAGAATATACCGGGGCCCTGAGCATTTTGGAGAGCTCAGAGGTCCCAGACTATACTCTGTAGTCTACTGGGGAATAGCTGGCAGCATTCTGCCTCTTGCTGTCTTTCCTCCTGGATCCCTGGGGTCTCTTGCTGGCTGGGCAAAACTTCTCATCAAACTCGAGAAAACATCTCCCTTCTTGCCCATCTTTTGCCCTCCAAAGTTTGGGGTTCAGTCAGACAGATGCTGGGATTTAGTCTCTGCCTAGGGTGTTGCTTCCCACATGGGAGTACCTGGGTTCACAGGAACATACCTACTGGGAGACACTAGTTTGGTTGGAGAATCACCACCAGTTTTGTTTCTGTTTTTTAAAAAAGATTTATTTTAATTGAAAAGGCAGATCTACAGAGAGAAAAATCTTTCATCCGTTGATTCACTCCCCCAAGTGGCCACAGTGACCAGAGCTGAGCCGATCTGAAGCCAGGAGCTTCTTTTGGGTCTCCCATGTGTTTGTAGGGTCCCAAAACTTTGTGCCATCCTCTGCTGCTTTCCCAAGCCACAAACAGGAAACTGGATGGAAAGTGAAGCAGCTGGGACTTATATGGGATGCTGGTGCTTGCCAATGGAGCCTTGCCCTGGGCCCACCACCCAGGTTTCTTGCTGGATCTGCCTCCCACATTTAACTCTTTCCAATCATTGCACTTGTCTTTCCTATATGCAAGACAAAGTCCTGACTACAGAACACCAGGATCATTTGCCAGGAAAGTAACAGATAAAACAACACCCCACCTGCACTGAGAGGAAATCCAATACAAATGGCACTAAAGGCACAAAGAAAAACTTGAGATCCCAAAACAGGTCCTGATGGGGAGAGGGGTAACACTTGCCACAGAAGCTGTCCTTGCCTTGGTCTAGGGGACATCTTGAGGTCACTGTCTGTACGTCCCAGCTCCTCCCCGTGCACCCGAGAAGGTGGTGTTGCCCTTCCTGAGCCCCAGAGAGGAGAAGCGGCTGGTCCAGGCTGTGTTAGGCCAGGCCCCAGGTCCCCATTCCCCATTCTCTATGCCCTCTGTGGTGCTGTAGTGCCCCCCACTGCCCAGGCTGAGAACAATCTGGCTGTGCTTTCTGGGGTGAGACTGCAGGCTGGGTTGGAGGTGCTGTGGCTTCCATCATGGCTGTTGTGCTGATAGCTGGGGTGCCTGAATTTTGCAGCACTGCCTTCTTTCACCCTCTTGCATGCAGCTTTGAGTGGGGCATGAAGCTGCTGGACAGGCTTGCGTGCTTGCCTGCCTCCTGTGGGGCCGTGGTAAGTATCCTGGGATCAGGCTTTTCTGCTTCTGACTCTCCTTTGCTTCCTCTTCTCAAGTGCCTGCCACGAGAGAGCATCCCGAGGTGCAGGTGGAAGACACAGATGCTGATGGCCAACTCCTTGTTGTGGAGGAAAAGCCCCCATCGCCCCCCAGGCTGCCACCACCATCGCCTGGGCTGCCACCACCGTCACCCACCAAGACTGACACCCTTGCGGTCCCACGCTCAGCCTCAGCGGCCCTCAGGTCACCTGGCACTGCTTTTGGGCTTTACTTAGCACTGTACCATCTATCCACTTGGCAGATGGGGATACTGAGGCTAAGGAGGGAAAACAAGTGGCCTAAAGTCACAGCATGAGCTGGTGTGGAGACTTGGGACCACAGGCCCCCTACTCCCCTACTTCTCCCCAGTTTTGGGGTTCCTTACAAGAGACCCCTGCAGTGCTCTCAGCTGTAGGGCTAATAGAATAATACACAGCAGAACCACATGGCATAAATGACACCACTCATTCGACCCCCTCGATTTATATGTTAGCAAGATAAGTTCACACTCATCTGTTTCTGAGAAGCAAAAAGACAGATCCCAGGTGCTGATTCATTCCCCTAAATGCCTGCAGCAGTCGAGGCTGAGCCGGCAGAGGACAGGAGCTCAGTGCTGCTCTCCCTCATGGGTGGCAGGATTCTAACTCCTTGCTTAGCCATTGCTCGCTGCCTCCCTGGATCTGTATTAGTAGGAAGCTCGAGTCAGGAACTGGAGCTGGGTACCAAACTCAGGTACTCCAACATGGGATGGGACAACTTAACAGCTAGGCTAAATACCCACCCAATGCCCACTCCTTAAGCTTTTAACAGAATGTTAAATATATACTATAGCATCACTAAGTATGCCTTTTGGCATGCCAAAAGTCTTTATAATTTCCATCTTGCATAACTGAAACACTTTATTCACCATACAACAGCAGCTCCCCACTGCTCTCACTCTTCCAATCCCTGGCACCCACGATTCAACTTCCCATTACTACGAGTTTAACTATTTCAGATAATTTGTGCAGAGAATCATGTAAGATTTATGTGATTGGATTATTGCTGGATGGGAAGTGGAGCAGCTGGGATGCATGCAAAGTGAGGATTTAGCCACTAGGCTATCGTGCCAGGCCCAGTTCTGTTCTGTCTTAAGCAGGATTCTTTCTCTAAAGTTGGAGTTGACTTTCTTGGTAGTAGTAAGGTATTTTTCCTTCTTGATCTCTTATCTTCTTTCCCAGGCTTTTTCTTTTCCAGGAAAGCAATGCATTGTCATCCAACAGAGGCTAGGAACATCCAGGCAGTTAACTCCCAAAGCCTAATAGGAAGTAGTTTCCATGAAGCCTCTCCTACCAAGCCATGCTTCTCTGGCTCCAACCCTAACCCTCAGGCCAAAGGCAGGCTGACCAAGAACTTCCTTGGCCCGGAAATCCAGGCGGATTTCAGACCAAGTGGAGGTCAAAGCCGAGAGAGGAGTGGCTCTTGAATCCACCTACCTGGATCTCCTGAGTGACAGCAGTGGCCCCAGGAATTGTCAGACATTATCCTCCAGAGAGGCAGCCTGGGACTCAGCAGGGGTGGGGTTTGCTCCAGACCACACACACAGGCTGCAAATGACTCCCCGGCCTTCTCTGGCAGCTGAATGGGTGGCATGAGGGGGAGGAGGGGAAGAAGTCGCAGTGGAGTCCTGCCTCAGTGATATAGACCTTGTGTACCTGAGTGGCCTTTTTTTTTTTAATGGAAGGGGAAACTGAGGCAGCTCTGAGCATCATGGAGTGATTATAAGTACTTTTCTAGGGTCGCTGAGTTATAAGAGGCAAGACCGTAATGCAAACTCAGGTTTGCCTGATTCTGGGTCGACCCTGCTGTCTCTATTCTGGCCCCTTGAGTGGATCCAGAGATCAGAGAGTGGGCAGGGCCCTGGGTTCTCCCTTTCTGACTCTTTCCAGACAAAAGAGGCTCCTTTTGGCAGTATCATTTTCTCCCCACTCCCCTGCACCCTCTAAGTGACCTTGGCAGGGGTCAATGTCATTTCGCTTTTCCTGGGCCCCTCTGCTGACACTGAAGTCCCCTTGCACCTCTGCAGGAGGAAGCTGCCCTCTCCAGACGATGAGGCTGAAGAGCTCAAGGCGCTGTCACCAGCTGAGTCCCCAGTGGTGGCTTGGTCGGAGCCCACCTCCCCGCAGGACCTTGAGTGAGTAGGGGTTACCTGTGGCATCCCGGAGAGGTGGGTTGGGAAGAGGGTAGACAGAACTGGGTGGTCTCAGAATGCCTCTCTGCCAGGCAGTACCTGCCAGTGGCTTCCATGTGAAACAGGGTAGCATTTCTTTCTTGCTGAGGCCACTAAGTCAGAGTGCCAGTGCCCAGCTGCACCTGTGCTAGTCATGTTCAGGAAGGGGACTAGGAGAACCCTCAGCAGGGGCTCCACACATGGGACCACTGAAGGACCAATGAGAGGAGGGAAAATAACAAGAATCACCCCGGGGGGGCGGGAGGTCCTGCCCCAGGGGACTTGTTAAAACTACAGGTTCCAGGGGCTGGCAGTGTGGTGTAGTGAGCTACTGTCCTCTATGGGTGCCAGCTTGAGGGCTTGAGACTCAGCTACTCCACTTGCCATCTGGCTCCCAGCTAGTGAGCCTAGGAGAGCTTCGGAGGATAGCCCGGGTGTTTGGGCCCCTGCTACCCATGTGGCATTGTGAGTGGCGCTTAACCTACTGTGCTGCAATGCCAGGTCCTACACACCCTCTTTCATTTCTCTCCCTGTGATGGCTGCCTCCAGCCTGGCTTCCTCTATTGGGAACAAGTTGACTTTGAGTTTCTGTGCCTTGCTGTATGCAATGCTGGACAGACTCCCTCTCATTCTCTGATTGTCTGACTCTCATTGCCATTAATTCCCAATGCAAGTACGATGTTATATTACATCCAAGTTGCTTTCTCCACCAGCAGCTTCCTAAGCCAGCTGAGTATCCCCGCCCCTCTCTGCTGCTCCTGGACCGCATCTCCTATCATCGGCTTCATACTGGGGGAACTGTAGCCTGACTCATATGGGCTCTAAGTTGAGCTGTCCCTACCTTACTTGTGTGGCCCCAGGGTGCTGTTTCTAGGTTGAGCTCCCTCCTAGGAGATGCCATGGTGGGTCTGAGGCTGTCAGAAGGAAGCAGGACAGCAACTCCTCCCTTCATGCTCTGTGAGGCTCCTGGCCCAAGGGAAGGGAAATGTGCAACCCTTAACCAGCTGAACCCACTCAGTGGTGGTGCTGCACCTACAGTGGCCAGGATCGAGCAGCCTCCACGGCCAGCCAGAACAGCGCCATCATCAACGACCGGCTCCAGGAGTTGGTGAAGCTCTTCAAGGAGCGCACGGAGAAGGTCAAGGAGAAGCTCATCGACCCCGATGTTACCTCTGAGGAGGACAGCCCCAAACCATGTGAGTCTGCAGCTGGGCGTGCGTGGGACCCCCACAGGCTCCTCATGACCTGCCAGTAAGGGTGGCCAAGAAACGCTTAGGGTGCAGGAGAGACACCTGGGTTCCTGCTCTGTGGATATTAAGTGCCATATGTCCAGGGCTGGGAAGATGGCCAGAGTCTCACTCAGCTCCTTCTGCATAGGGCAGATCCCTTTCCTGACCCTTCCACAAATTTCCCATCAACCAACAGGTGGTGCCGATCTGGGACATGTCTTGTAGCCTTGGCATCAGAAAACATCCCTGGCTGCCTCTAGAACCAGTTGTGTCTCAGAGCCCTCATGACCTCGAGGGCTCTAAGGTGCTACTACTCAGGCTTACAAGTGTTCTTCCTGGTGAAAGAAGTAAGGATCACACATTTGCCAGGGAGATTTTCTGGGTCTCAGCAGAGGAGGACTGTGCTTTGGAGCTCACAGGATGCTCAATTGATCCAGCCAAGCAGGCTATGCAATCCTAAAGCCAGATACATTGATATATTGAACCCATAAGTGCCAATCCCTAGGTCAGCAAGAGGATGTTACAGATGCAGGAGGCAGCTGTGGTCCCATCCAGTCTCTCTCTGTTAGAGATGAAGGAGCTCTGAGAAGCCAGGAGCCACAGTGCCCCGACTGTTAGGCCTGTAACCTGTTGACCTTACATAGGGGAACCCTGAGTACAAAATGTCCCCCAGCCCCTCGGGGGAACCAAGGAGACCCAAATACATACACACAAGCAGACCCTGGGCTGCAGCATCAAGGCTGCCCAGGAATGTCTTGTCCTGGGTAGCTCCTGAGAAGCAGTGACGGACAGGTAGCTAGTGGAACACATGGGTGAGTGCCCATGTTGCTGAAGAATGAGGAAGAAGTGGCGGGATTCATATGGGGCATGTTGCACAGGGGTCCCCTCAGCTTCTGTTGTGGGAACCCTTCTCTGTCTCTTCCACCTATGCCCGTGGACTGGGCCAGACAGTCACCCATGTCATCCCCACAGCCCCAGCCAAGAAAGCTCCAGAGCCAGCAGCGGAAGCAAAGCCAGCTGAGGCACAGCAGGCGGAGGAGGAGCACTACTGCGAGATGCTGTGCTGCAAGTTCAAGCGCCGCCCCTGGAAGAAGTACCAGTTCCCCGAGAGTATTGACCCCCTAACCAGTGAGTCCTGAGACTGTAGGCATCTCTGCTGTGTAGTAGGAGCGGGCAGGAACGTGGCTGGGATGGAAGGAGGCCAGGGCAATGCTGGCGGCAGCGTGGGCGGCCACCGACATCCCACATTCGCAACTACTTATACTTTCCTTTCTTTTTGATGTAAGATATATTCATTTATTTGAAAGACATAGTGACAGAGAGTGGGAAAGAAAGAAATCTTCCATTTCCTGGTTCACTGCCCAAATGGCTCTAACAGTCTGGGCTGAAGCCAGGAGTCTGGGGCTTTATCCGGGTCTCCCAAAAATGGGTACCAGAGCCCAAGTACTTGGGCCATCTTCTGCTGCCTTCCCAAGTGCATTAGCAGGGAACTAGATGAGAAATGGAGCAACTAGAACATAAGCTGGCACTCCAATGTGTTGCTGAAAGCAGGTGTGGCTAGCTTACTGCCCCATAGTACTGGCCCTGACCACTTATATGTTTCAAAAGGATTGCACACTTGCTTGCCCAATTCTGACACCACAGCAATAATAGGAAGCCCTGGAATGGAACCTAAAATCAGACCCATCTTACAGATGAGGGTACAAAGGCATACAGGAAATGTCAGCCTTAACATGCAGCTTGCTAGTTCACCCTCAGGACTCCTGATTCCTGGCCAAGCCTTCTCCCTGGTCAGGCTGGCTCTACCCTGGGCTTCCGGTTTGGAGCACAGAAGGATGGGAATTCTTCCAGGGTCTCCTGTGAGTCTCTCATACTTCCTCTTGAGCCTATCCCATGTTCTCAAGAATGACACACCCCTTCCTCCCTCCACCAAGGGACCCCCTGTTTGGGACTTCTCTGAGATGACATGGCAGGTGCCAGAGGTGGGTTCTGTCTCAAGCTCTTACAAAAAGTCACTGGGTGGCAGGGATGGAGTGGGCAGGACCCTGGTATCTGCTGTGCTTCTAAGATGACCAGGTGATCTACAGCATCCGCTGACCCAGCTGTCCATCACCTGGCCCTCTCCATACATTATGTCTGTGATCTGGGAGGTACTAAGATAGCACATGCATTGTGGCAGGAAAATGTCAACACAAATGAAAGCCCAGGGGCTTTTTGGGAAGCTGTGTATTACAACACTGCCCTGTGTTTGCCACAGAGCGCAGACCTCTTAGGGTCGAGCACAGACTTACTTTTAAAGTAAAGGCAGTTTTATATGTGCACGCATGCATTCACACATACACACACAAGTTCCAAAAACACTCTGTATAGATCTCAGACAAAAGCATAGCCAAAAGCAAGCGCCTCCCGCCCCTCGCCCCTGCAGACCTGATGTACATCCTGTGGCTTTTCTTCGTGGTGCTGGCCTGGAACTGGAACTGCTGGCTGATTCCCGTGCGCTGGGCCTTCCCCTACCAGACGCCAGGTAACATCCACCTGTGGCTGCTGATGGATTACCTGTGTGACCTCATCTACCTCCTGGACATCGTCGTGTTCCAGATGCGCCTGCAATTTGTCAAAGGCGGGGACATCATTGTGAGTCCCTGGCGGGTGTGAGGGTTGAGAGAGAGGGGGCCTGGCCCTTGACGTTGGGGTAGATAATAAAATAAGTGGACACAGCAGTCCTGGGAGCAGGGTCCATGTGTGTTCAATGGTATGGCTACTCACCGTGCCCTTCCTTTGTGTGGTCCGATCATGTATGTCAACTATTGTTCTGGACCACCTGGTGCAGTTAAAGATGGGCACATGGTTCAGAGAATGGTCTTTAGTGCAGGTGCACCTGGCTGAAACCCGAGCTTCCCCCACAACTACCCGAATCAGCCCCCCACTTCTCAGTGTTCTTGTCTGTAAGATGGCCATAGTAGTAACTCCCACCTGTAACATTGCTGTGGAGACTGAATTGAGGTGACAGGTGCACTGCACTCAGTACAAGCAGCTGCTGCTGATACCACTTCGTGTGGCTTCAGCTTTGAACCCGGGGATGCTCCCGGGACCAGTTGGAAACCTCCAGCTGTGATCCAGCCCACAGAGGAAACAGAGACCTTGACCATGGTGCCACAGCAGCAGCAGTTCCACTCCCAGTTTTCCTGTGCTGGTCACTTTCCACAGTGGCAGCACTGCAACCAAGCTAGACTCAGGCCTCTAAAACAACACGGAAGGAAGAGCGCTCTCTAACCACCTTCCTTCTGGGCACACTCCTCAGTAAACGAAGGTGTAAATGATGCAGTGAGGACCACCATCCTGAGAGCCAGATCCAGCTATGTGGGCCTGGGCTAGAGCCCTCTGCAGGCGGCAGGGGCAGATGTCCCACAGAGCTCACTTGGAGGGCAGGGTCCGCTACTGCCCCTGCAGGACTGGGGACTGAAGTATAAGGCCGCGGTCTCACCATCCTCATTTCCTTCTGCAGACAGACAAGAAGGAGATGAGGAACAACTACCTAAAGTCCCAACGCTTCAAGGTTTGCACCCAGAATGGCTGCGCGGTAACTACGGTATCTGGAAGGGAGGGCCCATGTGTTTCCTGAACAGTTGGAGGTTGGACTCAGCTCCCCTGGGGGAGTCCTCAAGGCCACAGGCTCCAGGTCCTTGGGGTCAGCTCCTTGTGTGCTGTTCCATGTTGGCGCCTGCTGTGCAGCCCAGTGGGTGCCACACATGGGGCTGTAGCTGCCCTTGGCTTTCTGCCCTCAGCCCTGAGCCCTCACAGTGTGTGTGAACCGCACTCCGCCAGGTTGAAGGGACACACCCGCCCTCACTCCCCTCTCCCACAGCCCAGGGTTCCCTGCTTTGCAAACCGCTGTGTCCCATTGAATTCCAGATGGACGTGTTCTGCCTCCTGCCCTTGGACTTCCTCTACTTGAAATTTGGCGTGAACCCCCTCTTTCGCTTGCCCCGCTGCTTAAAGGTAGGACTGGTGGATTCCTTGCCCATGGCCTTCAGCTTCCCCCTCTCATGCCCTGGCCAGCCCTGGCATCTTTATTACCCACCTGAACATCCTGGAGAAGGGGAGGTGACCACAGAGGGGGTGACCTTGGTGAGTGGAGGAATTCCCTGGCCTATCACTCCATACTGTGCTCTGAGGCTAAGGTGAGGGGTTTGTCCCCACAGTCCTGCATCCAATGATCACCTGGGGATGGGGGAAAGAATGGCAGGTGGCAGACCTCCCGGTGGCCATCTCATCCCTCTTCCCAAATATCAGAGCATCCACAGGCATGGAGATCCCAGCGTGGCATAGTGTAGGTAGAGAGCTTGCAATCTTGTGTTTGATCTGGGCTCAGGGGCCGACTCTGTCGTGTGCCTGCATGGGCTGTGGACAGGTTGCTGGCTTCCCTCCAGGATCCATGTGCTTGCTGGGCTAAGTGGTGATAACACAGATCTCCCTCACACAGAGACGATGCCCCTCGGAGGCACTGCCCCTGGGATGGGTGCACAGGGAGAACGATAGCTGTTGTTAATTTTAATTATGGTAAGAATGCCTGTGGTGGGTATGAGAGAGGGTGATCATTTGGGTGCTGTTTCTGCTGAAAGTTGGCTTTCTCTGGAGGCCAAAATTCTGAACAGGGTCCCTCATCTGGTATGTGTATTCCCCCAAACATTCGGTGGAAAAAAACACAAAAGGTCTCAGACTCTCCTGAAATTAAACACAAGTTGTGACAACAGGATTCTAGGATTTTTTAAAGATTTATTTTTATTGATTTCAAATGCAGAGTTCGAGAGCGATCTTCCATGTACTCATTCACTCCCTACACCAGGCCATAACAGCTAGGGTCTGACTCCAGGCTGAAGCCAGGAGCCCAGAGCTTCTTCTGGTCTCCCACATGGAAGCAGGGCCATCCTCTGTTGCTTTCTCAGGCCATTAGTAGGGTTCCAGATCAGAAATAGAGCAGCCAGGACTCGAACTGACGTCCATATGGTGTCTCGGCATTACAGGTGGCAGTTTTATCCACTGCACCGCAGTGCTGGGCACAGTGTCTGTAATTTCTGCAGGAAGATGGGCTCTGACTCTTGGCAGGTTCCTGGCCCCACCTAGAACTTGCTGTCTAGACCCCTTTCACACCATGGGGCCTGCACAGAGGGCCCTTGGTCCTCCCCCACCTGGGAGACAGGCTGAAGGAGGAGCAAGAGCCGCGGCTACCCTGATGCCTGTTCTCCCTCCCAGTACATGGCCTTCTTCGAGTTCAACAACCGCCTGGAAGCCGTCCTCAGCAAAGCCTACGTATACAGGTGAGATGCCCACACGTGCACAATGTGACACATGCATGACACACATGTGCCGGGACAGGACAGGCTTTCTCTAGCCGATTGTTCTCCCTTATAAGCATCCTGCCCTCAAGGTCCCATTGCGATGGCAACAGGCCCCTTTCCGACCCCACTTCCTTCCTATTAAGGAATGCCTATTTCCTCCCATTGTGATTAGAGCCATGAAGGTAGTGTGTGGCTCCCGTAGCTTTTCCAGCAGCTGGGCCTCACTTGGGTCCCAGCACTGGGACCTAGAATTGCCCTTTGCTCTCATGGAATGGGGCCAGTTCCAAGGACACAGTAGGCATTTCATGAGTGTCTGAGCAGCGGCATGCAAGACTGGCCAGGCCACACTTGGGGACTCCATGTCTCCCATGGGCGGCCTCATGGTCCGTTCTCTTCATCCACCTGTCCCCTCCTGCCCCTGTCCACAGATGTGTCTCCCCTCTGGCCCCTTTGCTCTCCCAGGTTTTCTCTGGAAAATTGCAGATCAGGTACCTCCACTAGAGGGCGTGCTGAGGTGAGCAGGGTTAAGGACTGGCTGATTCCTTGCAGTCCTAACCCTGGGCCAGCTGTCCCCACTGCCCCTTCCACACTGCCTTCCTGATATCCTCATCTGTAGGGTCATCAGGACCACAGCCTACCTGCTCTACAGCCTGCACTTGAACTCCTGCCTTTACTACTGGGCGTCTGACTACCAGGGCCTCGGCTCTACTCACTGGGTTTATGACGGCGTGGGGAACAGGTGAGCTCTTCTCAGCCCAGGCCTGGGTGACGTGCCTGAGTTTTGTGACAGCAGCGTTGTGGGGTCTGCTCGCTCCTGAAGAATCACTGACGTACTAAGACTCAAGGCCAAGTGTTCCTTTTCTTACAGAGTTAGGTTTCCTGAGCACCTGCTATGAGCCAGGTTGGGGTGGGGAAGATAGGGACCTGCTACAACGACACTGCAACACCCCAGGAACTCACAGGGTTGGCAAAAAAGGAGTGTTTCCCCAAAGGCCCGTGGGAAAATGGAATATGCAGATGAGTTGGTTGGGGGGCAAGAATTTTTTAATCTGTGCTTAGTTTTTTCACAATATGCTTTTTCATGAAATTTTTTGAAGCTCCCTCAATACATGGATTTCAAAACTACTTTTTTAAAAAAAGATTTATTTATTTTTATTGTAAAGTCAGATCTACAGAGAGAAGAGACAGAGAGGAAGATCTTCTGTCTGATGATTCACTCCCCAGGTGAGCACAATGGCCAGTGCTGTGCCGATCTGGAGCCAGGAGCCAGAAACTTCCTGCAGATCTCCTTCTGTGTGCAGGGTCCCAAGGCTTTGGGCCATCCTCGGCTGCTTTCCCAGGCCACAGGCAGGGAGCTGGATGGGAAGCAGAGCTGCTGGGATTAGAACTGGCGCCCATATGGGATCCCGGAGTGTTCAAAGCGAGGACTTTAGCCACTAGGCCACCTCGCTGGGCCCTCAGACCTATTTTGTACCAAAATAAACTTTGTGTAATTCCATTTTTCGCGAACCTTAACAATTTTATTTAGGATCTGGTGCAGTAGCCTGGTGGCTAAAGTCCTTGCCTTGCATGTGCCGGGATCCCATATGGGCACTGTTTCATGTCCCTGTGGCCCCACTTCCCATCCAACTCTCTGCTTGTGGCCTGGGAAATCAGTTCAGGATGAGCCAAAGCCTTGGGTCCCTGCACCTGCTTGGAAGACTCGAAAGAGGCTCTTGACTCCTGGCTTCAGATTGGCACAGTTTTGGCTATTGTGGCCGCTTAGGGAATGAATCATTGGACAGTAGATCTCCCTCTCTGTCTCTCTTCCTCTCTGTATATCTGACTTTCCAATGAAAAATAAAAATAAATCTTAAACAAATTTTATTTAATATGTTCGTTTTATTTGAAAGAGAAACAGGAAGAGGGAGAGAGAAAGAGAGAACATTCCAGGTCCCCATGTGGCTTGCAGGAACTCAGGTCCTTGACCCATCCATCACCTGCTATCTCCTGGGGTGCACATTAGCAGGAGATGGGAACTGGCAGCAGGACAGGGGCTTGAGCCAGGTCCTCTGATGGGGGGCTTTGGGCATCCCAACATCCTAAGAGGTGTCTTAACTACTGCACCAGGTTTCTGTCCCTGTAGACATCCGAGGTCTCTATTAACACCCCCTGTGTGCATCCGCTCCTCTGCCCCACAGGTGTGACTGGGGGCAGGAAAGAAGCCATTTCCTAGCACAGCTCCTAGGTGCAGCTGGACAGCCAGTGGCTGCCAGGGTGACATTGGTGTGTCAGCCTGGAGAGAGCTGCTGCCCCTTACGGGACATGCAAAAATAGTGATAATGACAATGGCCATGATAATATTGTCACTGACCTTGTAATACACTTGCTAAATACCAACCCCTTTCAAAACAACCCAAGGGGTCCATCATCATCCCCACATCACAGAGGGGACAGCAGAGGGGACTCCCCAGGCTGCACACATCACAAGTCCCAGGGCTCAGAGGAGGAGCAGCCGGTGTGGACGGCCACACAAGTGCCAAGAAAGTGCCAGTCCGAGGTCCAGAGGGCATGGGGGAGATGGATGTTGACATGGTCACTTCCCCTGGAAGTTTCTTTTTTTTAATTTAAATATTTTTAAAAAAATAATGATTACATGGTTTATCAGGGTGGGAAAGATTGAGATTTAGGGAAAATTGGGTGAACTTATTACTTCCAAATTTGCTATTTCTTCTGCTTTTCCCTGGGAGTTTCCAAAGCGAAGTTTGGGGGCCAACCTAGTGTTTGCCATGCCTGCATCATTTCACATCTGAATGCCAGGGCCAGCCCTCCTGTTGGTGGTCCAGGGACCTGCAGCCAAGGTCCTGGCTCCCAACTGTTGAAGCCGACTCTTTGCGCCCTCTGGTGGCCAGAACAGGTATGATGTGCTGGATCCAGGTCTGTCCTGAGACTTCAGTGACCTGTGATAAGGGGTGTGGAGATCCCAAGCGACACACCAGGCCAGCCAGGGCCGCTTGGGCTCCAAGTCCTCCTGAGCTTGCCTTTTGAAGGCTGGGAGGACTCGGCCTGCAGGCAGGCTCAGGTGTGGGAGGACTCTTGCTGCTCTGTGATATAGCATTAGACTAGTTTCGGGTTTTCATTTATAAAGTGCCCTTCAAAAGGCCTGTGGAAAGTGGATTTGAAAGAGAAGTTTAGGGAAAGGCATTTGGTGTGGACTGGTTCAGTGGCCACTTGGCATGTCCACCCCTATTTTCAGAGCTCCTGGTTTGTGTCCGGCCCCCTAGCTTCTGATCCAGATCCCTACTTAGGCGTGCCCTGGGAGACAACAGCTGGTGACTTGAGTGCTGGGGTCCCTGCCACCTGTGTGAGATGCCCAGACTGAGTTCCGAATTCCTTGCTTTGGTCTTGTTCAGCCTTGGCTGTTGGGGGCATTTGGAGGGGTGACCAAGATGACGCCTTGATCCTTGTATCCTCATAGTGGAGGAACCCTGGGTGTTCACATGAGGGGAGGTGGCAGGACAGGAGGGGGCGGTCCTTCCTGCCTCCAGCCATCTCACGATGGCTTCAATCTCCCCTTGCAGCCTACAGGGCTTCCCCAAGGCCCCGCCCCTCCCAACTTATTATTATTTTTTTAAGATTTTATTTTTATTATGTTTTCATTGGAAAGGTGGATATACAGAGAGGAGAGACAGAGAGGAAGATCTTCCGTCTGATGATTCACTCCCCAAGTGAGCGCAACGGCCAATGCTATGCCGATCCAAAGCCAGGAGCCTCTTCCGGGTCTCCCACACGTGGGTGCAGGGTCCCAAAGCTTTGGGCCGTCCTTGACTGCTTTCCCGGGCCACAGGCAGGGAGCTGGAAGGGAAGCGGGGCTGCCGGGATCAGAACCGGCGCCCATATGGGATCCCGGGCGTGCAAGGCGAGGACCTTAACCACTTGCGCCACTGCGCTGGGCCCAACCCTCCCAACTTATTACACTAAGTTGTGTATGAATCTGCAGTCCGTGAACGTGGGGAACACATTCAGACCGTGGTGCTAGGCTCTGTCCTCTGCCTTTTACTGCCCAGTGGGACTGTCTTCCTCTCCCTCACCTCTCTTCCAGATTGTAAGCCTGCAGCTGTGGGAGGATGGGGGGAAGCTCCTGATGATGGACCATGGCTCAGAGATATGCACAGGGCGCTGGGCTCTGGGTCCGGTCCTACCACTTACCAACTGTTGACCTCAAGTACTCCCTTTCCCCATTGGACTCAGTTTCTGTTTCTGGAAAATGGGTGCAGAAGCGGGTCCCAGAAGGGGGTGGTGCCCAAGGTCTGTTTAACCTCGCTGCTGCCCCAGTTTCATTTGAACCAACCAGAAGGACAGGGACAGTTTTGAGGAAGGACAAGAGTGTGGCAATGGAAGGGATGTTGGGGACACTGAGGGAGCATGTTAGCTGGAAGTCAGGGTACCCTGGTTCCTGCTCCTGCCAGCACTCCTGGTTCTCATGTCTGCATTTGGGCAGGTCACCTGTCCCTGAAGGATGGGGACAGAACGTGACTCACCCAGAAAGGTTTGTAGAAAGGGCTTGGCTCGTGGCAGGCTGTTGTTTCTTGTGCACGGGCTGGGAAGTGCATTGGCTGTTGGAGGCTACCTGGGGGCTGGCTGGCCACTGTGTCTCTCCTCTCTTCAGCTACATCCGCTGCTACTACTTTGCCGTGAAGACCCTCATCACCATCGGTGGGCTGCCCGACCCTCAGACGCTCTTTGAGATTGTCTTCCAGCTGCTCAACTACTTCACGGGGGTCTTTGCCTTCTCCGTGATGATTGGACAGGTCGCTGGGGTGCCTGGCCACCATCGCCACAGCAGTGCCCCCCTCCGTGCGGGTCCCTTTGGACTAACCCTGGAAGGGAGCATGGGAGCTGGAAGTTGGAGCTGTAATGCTAGGCCCTGTGGGCTGAACGGGGGCAGGGTTTCTGTGTAGAGTGTCAAGTCCCCAGCAATTGCAGAGAGCCCCACTGTGACCGGTGGCCCCGTGCCTGTTCCCTTCCCTCCTCCAGATGAGAGACGTGGTGGGGGCTGCTACAGCAGGGCAGACGTACTACCGCAGCTGCATGGACAGCACGGTCAAGTACATGAACTTCTACAAGATCCCCAGGTCCGTGCAGAAGCGCGTCAAGACCTGGTATGAGTACACCTGGCACTCGCAAGGCATGCTGGGTAAGTCCTGGGGCCAGCGCCCACCGTGTGTGTGTGTGTGTGTGTGTGTGTGTGTGGTGGGGGCCTGGCTTTGCCTCTGACCCTTGCCAGGTCTGGTTGGCAGATGAGTCAGAGCTGATGGTACAGCTCCCAGACAAGATGCGGCTGGACCTGGCCATCGACGTGAACTACAGCATTGTCAGCAAGGTGGCGCTCTTCCAGGTACACCCGCCTGTGTGCTTGTCCACAGCCCCCAGTTCTGGGGGTGCCGGGTCCTTGCCTTCCTCTCATGGGGACTCCTTTCTCCCGCTGGCCTTGGGCAGGGCTGTGACCGGCAGATGATCTTCGACATGCTGAAGAGGCTCCGCTCTGTTGTCTACCTGCCTAATGACTATGTGTGCAAGAAGGTGAGCTGGCATGGCTGCTGCCACACGCTGTCCACCACTGTCTGGGAACCCTGTGAGGTTTGTGGGCCCCAAGCTGGCAAGAGGGGTAGCTCCAGCTCTGCTGGCTTGCCAGAGAGCTTCCAGGCTGTTTAGAATCAGCTGCAGTGGCCACAGATATGCCTGAGCTTTACCTGGCGTGTGGAGCCAGGGCTGGGGGTTGGGAGCCCCACCTCACAGAGAAGGCAAGTGATGAGCCTGCACCCCACATGGCCTTCCCTGCACTGACACCACGGTTTCTAGCCTCACAACCTCATCAGCAAAGAGGGTAGGAGAAGAGAGGTGGGTCAGGGTCAGAAACTGCCCACCCATTCACTCATACATCCATCCTTCTACCCGTGCACACATCCACACACCCACACACCCACACACCCACCTGTCTACTCATCCACCTACCTACCTATCCATCTTCCCATCTATCCATCCACTCAGTCACCCAACTCATCCACCCTCAGGTATCTCCCCACCTGCCCACTCACCTATCCTTTCAAAATATCCTCCCACTTGCCCCCACCCCCTTCCTCCCCTGTTCTCCCATCCTCCCATCCTCCTGTCTATCTGGTTTAATTTGGGGTTGAGTCCCTTGCATTAGTTTGCTAGAGCTGCTGTGGCACAGTACAATTGTACCACAATTGAGCGGCCTCTGTCCTGGCTTGGAGGTAACCGTCTTCTCATTGTGTCAGCCATTAACATCTTCCTTTGTTTTCATTTGCAAGGCAGAGGGAGAGGGAGGAAGGGAGGTTAGCAGGGAGGAGAAAGATAAGAGGAAGGGAATGGATGGATAGATGGATAAGAGGGAGGGATAGTGGGAGGGAGTGAGGGAGATAGATCTTTTATCTGCTGATTCATTCTTCAAATGACTGCAGTAGCCAGGGTGAGGCCAGACTGAATTCTGAGGGCAGAAACTCCATCTGGGTCTTGCACAGGGACAGCATGGGCCTAAGAACTTAGGGCATCTTCTGCTGCCTTCCCAGATACATTAGTGGGGAGCTGAATCACAAATAGAGCAGCTAGGTCTCAAAAAAGATGCCAGTGTTTCAGGTGGCAGCTTAACGCACTGCATTACAACACTGGCCCCAGCAAGCTTCTCTTCTTGTTAGGACACCAATCCTGCTGGATTAGGGACTTACCCCACCTCAATATGACCTCATCTTCATTTAGACAATTAGGTTTGAAAGAACCTTTTACCACAAGGTCATGTTGGGAGGTCTTAGGGGCTTAGAATTTCAATACATATTTCAGCCAGCAACAACCATGAACTCCAGAGTCAGGCTGGGTTCAAATCTAGGGGACAGCTCGGTGGCACAGCAAGATAATCCTCCACCCTGTGATGCCAGCATCCCATAGGGGCTCCAGTTCAAGTCTTGGTTGCTCCATTTCTGATCCAGCTTTCTGTTTATGGCTGGGGAAAGCCACAGAGAGTGGTCCAAGCCCTTGGGGACCCTGCACATACTTGAGAGACCTGGAAGAAGCTCCTGGCTCCTGGCTTCAGATTAGCTCAGCTCTGGCCATTTGGGGATCGAACCAGTGGATGGAAGACCTATCTCTATTTCTCCTTCTCTGTCTGTAAAATCTGCCTCTCAAAAAAAAAAAAAAAAAAATCCCAGATCCGCCTGTTCTGGCTTTGGGACCATGGGCAGAGTAGTGCTGTGCCAGAAGCTGTTGAGGTAAACCTATGAGGTACAACTATGTCACAGGAAAATGTAATGCTGGACCCTGTAGTCGATGCCACTATTCCTGTTTTGGTAGTAAGTGCCTACCACGGTCTTGCTAAAAGGCTGGCACCATGATAGGTAGTTATGGTTGAACCCCTGTTCCATTTGCTGGGCTCTGCCCACGGTTACAGTTGAGAATTTGCAGAATACAGTTGCACCTGCACTTCCCTGGCTTGCTGGCATCTTGTTCTGTGGCCCCACAACTCCCTCACTGCTCTCCCACTGCACTGTGTCAGCCAGGCAGGGGGCTGGGCACTCTCCCCTGTCCAGTGATGAAAGTCCAGGGCCTCAGAGAGGAAGTCACAGCCCCACACTGCACACCAGGGCAGCAGCAGGGCTGCCCTGGGGCTGGCCTTCTCTCTGCGGGCCCAGCAGGTGCTGCCCAGCCCTTGTTGCATCTCTCCTCCTGCACGCCCTTCTGTGTTTCAGGGGGAGATTGGCCGTGAGATGTACATCATCCAGGCGGGGCAAGTGCAGGTGCTGGGCGGTCCGGATGGGAAGTCTGTCCTGGTGACACTCAAAGCTGGATCTGTGTTTGGAGAAATCAGGTCAGATGAGGGTCAAATGCAGAGCCCTGGGCCAGTGGGCGGGTGGACCCTGGGAAGTGACTCTGCCTGGGTGCAGCGCTGGCCCGTGCTGCCGGGGCTGTGGGCAGGGTGAGTGCTGGGAGATGCGAAGATGCACAGGGTGCAGCCTGCATGCCCGGGTCTCACCTGCTGTGTCTCTGTCGCAGCTTGCTGGCTGTCGGGGGTGGGAATCGGCGCACGGCCAACGTGGTGGCTCACGGGTTCACCAACCTCTTCATCCTGGATAAGAAGGACTTAAATGAGATCTTGGTGCATTACCCTGAGTCTCAGAAGTTACTCCGGAAGAAGGCCAGGTATGTGTGTTCTATTTGGAGGAGGGGAAGAAAAGAAAAAATTGGCGTGGACGGCACTGCCACTCATGAACCTCAGCACCTTTGTCGGAGGCAGGAGAGTGGGGTGGCCCCACTTCTGCTCTCCCGCCTGCAATCCCTACCCACATCTCACTGATGGTCCTTGTCGTACGTTTGGTAGGTTTTCTTCCTGTTTCTAGGCCAGGTCTAGGCCTGTATGTGGCATCCTAATATTCTAGACTCTTCTGCAACCATTTGGTATCTTTAAGAAGTTGGGTTCCTTTGAAGTGCCTAGGCCAGTGATTTTCTAGAATGTTCCTTGGTTTCAGTGTGTCTGATGTTGTCTCGAGATGACCTTCAGATTCAGCAGTTTTAGCTAGGATGGCTTGTGAGCAGCATTCATCCCTCCTACTGAGGTGGCAGAGGGGCCGCTGTCCGCTTGGCCTGCCCCTGGCTTTGGCTTCTGTGTGCTTGAGCCACAGTTTCCCTTTTTGATGGCGGTTAGTGAGGTGACCCTGTGGCCCTCTGTAAAGGTTCAGGTGTCTTGTTCCTACAGCGCTCTCACCCTCCGCTTCGAGCAGCCCCTGATGGTGCCCACCTACGCTGTGATGGGATGACGTTAGCAGAACAGAGATTTCCTAGCTCGTACTTAGCCAGCATTCCACAATGGGAAAGCGCGTTCTCTCCTCGCCCAGCATTTGTTTGGTCTTGTTGTTTGTGTCCATGTGGCTGTGACGCAGATTGTGACTGTCCTGTAACATGATAACTGACACCATTTTGTGTCTTCCTGCTTGGCCAGTGGCCTGAGTGCCTAGGAGTGTCTGTTGCATCCCTGCCGTAGTCAGCCTCTGTTCGCTCTCATAGGCAGCAGCAAAGCCTCAGGGTGTCTCGGTTCATCCTGTCTTCCAGGCCTGTCCCCGACACTGGCCGCTTCCCTTGGAGGATGCTTGGCTCTTACTAGCTATGGAAAGAGAGAAGTTTGCTTAATTCACAGTTTCTCACAGGTTTAAGGCCAAGATGAGGCAGCCCGGGTGGCTTGGTGCCTGCACAGGGCAGTAGGGAGCCTGATGGAGGAAGCAACATGTGCTGCAATAGGAAGGGGGTGGGGCTGGGCTCAGCACCAACTTCTCAGACTCTGCTGTGAGAACCACTTCAGCCAGTGACCCCAAAGCCTCCCACCCAGTGCCCGCCTGCACCTGCGACTCTGGGGTTTACACAGTGGGGGACTGGGTTTTAGGAACCAAGATCTGAGTTTTAGGTACATCCACTGCCACAGAGCTGAGAAACACACCCTGTGTGTCAAAGCAAGATGGTGTGATGTGTACCTGCTCAGACACGTAGCTCTGTCACCCCCACTTTCCTGCCTGTGTCTGTCCAGCAGTCCAGCAGTTTAAAAAGCCAATGCAATCAGCTCAAGATTTTTCCCTCCCACATTTGAAAATCCCCTCTCTGAAGCCAAGCCATCCGGCTTCCCTGCCCTCATTGTGTTTTTTTCCGTCTCCGGTCCCACAGGACGAAGCAGGTTTGGAATCACTAGCCCGTACCTGGGTGCCCAGCAGAGATGAGCGTCTGAGGCAGCTCTTGTCTTGAGTGTGAGCACACACGCTGGGTCTCACGTTCATAGGCGTTCGGCTTCATTCGCTATGTTCTCCCTGCTGTGTGACTGTGAACTTTTCATTCGCTATACAGGGAGGGGTGTCATTCACCCTTAGCTCCTGCCTCTGGCCCTGACCTTTGCTGTTTTTTGGGGGTCCCATGTGTGAGACTAACATGTTTCCAAGATGCAAGCTGGCCAGCATGGCACACTCAGAGAAACAGCCCCACTCTTCCCTGCCCCCACTGCTGCCCACTCTGTGGGTGACCAATCTCATGTCTTCCTCCGGTTTTATTCCACAAAGCCGAAAAGCGCCGGCAATGTGCTGTAGTTTTCCTTCTTTCTCACATAGAAAGGAACACGTGATAGATCAGTTTTTGCACTTTGATATCTGGCGCATGACAGCAGATTCTCAAAACACGTCTCTGGGCCTGCAGACAGCTTCCTGGTCCCCAGGCATCCCTGTGAACGGGCATTTAGAGAACTTCTGGCATTTTGCAGGCACAGTGGTATGTGCTGTGAGCAACCCTGTGCACTTGTATTTTGCATTATTGTGTGACAGGACTTTTTATTTTTAAAAAAAGTTTGGTTTTTTTTTTTAATTAGCAAAGCAGATCTTACAGAGATAAGTAGAGACAGAGAACGCTTGATCCGTTGGTTCACTCACTAAGTGGCTACAATGGCCAGAGTTGAGCTGATGCAAGGCCAGGAGCCTGGAGGTTCTTCTGTGTATCCCATATAAGTGCAGGGTCCCAAGGCCTTGAGCCACCCTCTGCTGTCTTCCTAGGCCATAAGCAGGGAACTAGATGGGAAGCGGAACAGCTGAGACATGAACTGTTACTCATATGGGATGCTGGTGCTTGAATGGAGGATTAGCCTGTGGAGCCACAGCACTGGCCCTGGGACTTTCTTTTCTAATAGAAGCTGTTTTTGCTTTCACATTCCTAAAAGCCAGGTTTCAACTCAAGCCCAGCATGGCAGAAAACCCATCAGAGGCTCAGGAGGCTGATGGCGGCTCACATCCCTCCCATGGGAGGCAGCATCAGCGAGGTGACCTGGGAGAAGTTCTAAAAGTTTCTGTTCTCAGTCTTTTCTGAGACAGTCAGAGTGATAGCCCCCTCCTGTGAACTGACAGTGCAGGAGACTTCCCTGTGGGGCCTGGTGAACAGGGCTCTCTGTGTGTGCTACAAAGGCCGGCTGCTCTGCATTGAGCATGTTCTCCCATAGCTTTTTGGCTGCATAAAAACCTGCTTCATCCACAAGTCTGTTTTTTGCGCATTTGCCTTTGATTCTTGCTCTTACTTCCCACCTTATCTGTGAAACTATAGTGAATCACATGGAAGGTGGCTGTTGGGAAGGCCAGGAACGCGGCATCAACCGAGAACCAGCTTTGGGCCCAGATACACAGCCAGGATCAACAGAGCTGACCTTGTAGCCAAGGAGAGGGAAGACCCACAGTGGAAGGATGGACTGTTTAGGGATTCCAGCAAGCAAACAGCATGGAGATGGCTGTGGCAGATGAGCTGGCCAGAGGAAGCTGCTCTGAGCCCCCTGTGGCATGAAGGAGCAAGCTGGGGTCCACCTGGAAGGGTGTTTTAGCACAGGGAACGGCATGTGGTGTACAAAAACCCAAGGAGGAGCAGACTTGTCGCTTGCCCTGCAGAACAGCAAGAAACTGTTGGCCTGGCTTGGGGTGGCTCAGAGAAGCACAGAGGAAGGGGCAGGGCTGGGCCTGGTGTGTTTTTGACCTTGACCTTGGGGGAGATGGCAACCTTGTAGGGTTTTTTTGCAGAGGAAAGACCTGATGCCATGTAGGGTTCCACAGGATCCCTTTGGTAGCTTCAAGGTGAAGTTTGTGGAGTTGATGTTCGAGCATCACACACCCCATATTCTGGGGTCCCCCCAGGATTGGAGGGGCCCTGTGACTCATTTCCCCTGGCTGTTCTCAGGGAGCTCATTGGGTCTGCCAAAGGCCAGCCCCCTGAATTGTCTCCATATCTGCCTACATCCCCCATACCCCATGTAAGGTGTGCATGAGGAGCAGGGAAGTAGATGGAACCTTAGGATTCGCAAGTTCCCCTCTGAAACCGCACCTGTAACCCCACATCAATACTCATGGACTTTAAAAGAAAAGGCCCATTTTATTTATTTGAAAGGCAGAGTGTTAGAAGCAGGTAGAGAGAGAGAATGAATTAGTGAAAATGGCCACAAGTGGCAGGGATGGAGCAGGCTGAAGCCAGGAGCTTCTAGGCAAGAGCCCAAGCGCTTGAGCCACATCCTCTGCTGCTTTCCTTGGGCACGCCAACAGGAAGCTGGAGGGGAAGCGAAGTAACCCCTTGTGGGCTTTTGAGGCCACGTGCAGTTATTCCCAGAGTAGTGGAAAAATTTGAACTGCTCAAGTGCAACTTCACAGCTTGGGCCCAGTAAGGTGGCTCTGCTGTCCCTCTTCAGCTCCCCCAATGCACACGGCTGAACAGCAGGCTGCCTTGCAGGTGCTTTGCTTGTGCACTTGCTGCTGGTGGCTGCTATATTTCGGATGGCCCCACACAGCATGCTGCCTCAGGTTCCCATACACACGTGGGCTGTGATGTGCCTGACATGAGGCATGGGCATGCTGGGTCTACTGGGTTTAGCAACAGCTTTGGTGGCCATGCATGCACTGTTGATAAACCAACAATGTGTGCTGAATCAGATGTGTGTAAACAGAAATGCATAGGACACAGCTATGTGTCCGTGTGCCTGTGAATGTTGCAGCAGGAAGCTCACCAGAACCGACACCTGCACTTGCCCTGGAAATCAAGCTTCATTATTTGTAGGTTCTGCATTTGCAGAGAGCTGATGGCATGTGATAGTACCTGCTTGTATCTGAAAACTGGCTCCGCACTCCCTGTCTTCTGTCTTTCTGACCCCTATGCAAAAAGAACAAAGAAGGGCATGGTTGTAGCTGCCATCCCATCCCTGTGGGTGGAGAGGTGTTTCCTACAGTCCCCTTACCCCCTGACAATGCCCAGTGCCACAGAGGGCCTGGGTACAGTGCATGGCAGCCCAAGGGAGGAGCAGAGCAACACACAGGGCCTGGAGCAGGGACTGTACCACGAACTCTGAGTGTGGGGGCTGTGGTCTCTGCACAGGGGATGCTCAGGGGAGGCAAGGGATCCTGTTTGAGCTTTGCCTGCCACAGGAGATGCTGACTGATACCCATAGGGTCTTGGGGCATCCAAGATGCTGTGTGCAATAGGCAGGATTCTCTGTTAGTTTCACGGGACTCCAAAGAGGGAACATGCGCAGGTCTCTGGCTCGGCCATTGTTAGGGAGGGGCCGCACAGGACTCTGGTCAGCCACTTTCTTCCAGGGGATGATGACCTATCCGGATCAAAGGGAGGCAGATCTCCTTAGTGGGGAAATGCCCCCCAGAGGTCAGCTCAAAGCAGGTGCAGCCCTGAGCCATCAGCCAGGGTCCTAGAGACAGTTCTTGTGTGTCATGTCAGCATCTCCCTGTGTCTCCTGTGGACTGTCATGCGATGAATTATGGACTCCAATAACCCAGGTGACAGTGCCTGGCTGTCGCACCACTCACTGAAGGCACCTCTGATGAATGATCACTGTCTCATTCTCCTGGAGGAGCCCCAGCCAGAAATGCAAATGTTAGGCTGAGAAATTGCCATCCACAAAGAGAAACCCATTGTCTCGATTAGTAGAGCAGCCTCTAATGGCCTCATTTTTAAACAAACAAGTTTTGCTGGCGCCATGATGAATGAATTTACCAATTAGTAGTCTAAGCCCAAGAGATTGGAGGCAGACCTCGTTTGTTCTGGAGCCAAGTCACTTCTCCTGTATTTGGAGTGTGGGAGGTTCTGGGTAAAAGGCTGAGGCCATTGCAAGGAAAATGCCATCCCAATTGAGAGAAACTGGCTGGCACCCTGCATCACCATTTCTTGGTGACGTTGGCCATCTCTCTCTCTCTCTCTTTCTCTCTCTCTCATACACACACACACGCACACACACACACGCACTCTCGGAGCCTCAGTTTTCCTTTCTGTCAGGGTTCCAATGATCCCAACCCTTCCCATCTCACACTATTGTCTGCATCCAGGAGGACAGTGGTGGCGCTGTCGCTCTGTCATCGCTCTGCATGCGGGGGCAGGGATGTGAGTTTGAATGCTTGCTCGCCACTCCTAGCTGTGAGGCCTTGGGAAGGTTGCTCACCCTCTCTGGACTTCTTGGATGTGCTCTGGTCTCCTACAAATGCCCATATTCAGTGTTGGCAGCAGTGATGGCCACAGCAGGTGCATGGCAGGGAAGTGGAATGGGAAGGATTTGGGGGGGGGGTTACTTTAATTGCATGTGCTACCTCAACTTCCATGTATTGCAGCATCCTTCAGCATCTCCCAACTGTGTGAGCCCAGGCAGAGTGCTCTGCCTCTCTGAGCTAGGGTCTTCCTCTGAAAGATGTGGACAGTGAGATTCTTGTTACAGCTGGGCTAACCATTTGGTGAGATGCCATGTGTAGACCATGGAGCCCTGGGAGTACCCAGAAGACACCCTCACTGTCCAGCCAGTCTGAATCCCCACCCTGCCTTTCCCGCCCCCCAGGCCTCGCCAACCCAGCAGGTGCTGCTCTCTTGCAGGCGCATGCTGAGGAACAACACCAAGCCCAAGGAGGAGAAGAGTGTGCTCATTCTGCCGCCTCGGGCAGGCACCCCCAAGCTCTTCAACGCCGCCCTGGCTGCAGCAGGAAAGATGGGCAAGGGTGGGAAGGGTGGCAAGCTTGCCCACCTCCGAGCCCGCCTCAAGGAGCTAGCCGCGCTGGAGGCGGCCGCCAGACAGCAGCAACTGCTGGAGCAGGTACTGGAGCTGGGAGCCCACTTGCCCAGGGGACACTGCAGGTGCATGCCAGGGACATGGCTGGGGGATCCCAAGAGAGAGCCACACCTAGTTAAGGGTCCTTTGCTAATAAGTAACAGAGGACAAGTTCAAATTGAAAAATACAAAGAGGTCAAATAACTGAAAACTTCAGGTGAGGATGTGTCCAAAACCCCAAGAGAGGCCAAAGGTACTGCTTTACCCATTCTGTTGTCTCTGCTTGCATAGACAATGGCTCTACTTCCAGGAAGTCTCTGAGATGTCTAGGTTTCTGAATTAGCAACTCCAGCAGAAACCCAGACCCTTTCCAGTGATTCTACCCAAAGTCTCAGGACTCACTGTCACTCGCAGGACAGGACTGGGTCAACTCCTGACCCTTCCACATAGCCAGGGGGATGGGGAGCTGCAGTGCCCTGGGGAGGCTGGGGCTGCACCTGAGAGCCCACCTGTGCTCCTGCAGTGGGAGCAAAGAGTCCTGGTGCAGGAGTGGAGGCCAGGGAGTGGGGAGGGATGGGGACTGTCCTTTCCCGATGGGCAGCGCTGATCTCATGGTTAGCATTGTGGTTGGCATCATGCAAAACCCCAGAAGGGCATGTGCCGACCACCCCGGCCCTATCAATCTACAGGGAAGCCTGAGATTAACTGCAGTTGTCACATCTGTGCACTGCTTTTCTTGTGGGGAGGCTGGGGTGGGGCAGGAGCTCATGGAGGGCTTCCTGGAGGAGGGGGCACTGGGAGGCCAAGAAACACAGCCTCCATCCCTGCTGGCATCAGAGTCCTGGAAGCCCATCCCGGCGGCATCTGACAGTGAGAGTCTGATGAGCAGATGACAAGATATTCCCCAGATACAGCCCCAAACTCTGAGTGCCTGGCTCCCGACCTGTCAAGGTGGGGTCTGGAATGTCAGCTGCTGTGAGGGGCTGAGTAGACATGAACTCTGACAGCACGGAGCAAGGCTGTCACTGGAATGTCTTTTTTGCTCCTTGGGATCAGCTTGGCACGCAGGTGGTTTTGAGCTCCACACTCAATGTGTGCATGCGTTTTAAGGAAGGGCCACTCCCCTGCCAGTCTGACCCACCAGGGCAGGATTTCAGAGCAAGGGACCTTTTCATGAGAAGGCCAGGGACATGGGTCCAAACTCCAGCTCTGTCACCTGCTGGCTTCAAGATCCCTGGCAAGACCCCTGCCCCAAACTTTGTTGAGACCCAGGTTACTCACAGCTGCCGCAAGGGGCTATAAAAACCCAGCAGGGGGAGCTTGGATGTTCTTCTGGAAAAGTATTTTCAACATGGCAAAGCACTTTACTAGCCTTCCCATAATTCTTGTGGTTCCACTCAGAGCTTGCTGCTTCCTTTAGAAGTGCCACTGTGGTCACCATGTGAGCGTCCTGCTCTGGAATTAGGTGGACAAAGGAGATGGAAGCAGGTGCAGTGGACCACTCAGGAACACTTAGATGGAAGGAGTGGCAGGTGCCTCATCGTGGTTCTGCCTCTCTGTCCTCTGCCTTCAGCATCCCTGTGACTTCAGCACACTTAAGGAGTCTTCCCTCACCTAGTCCAGCCCCACCACGGATCAGTTTCCCCTAAATAACTCCAATACACTACATTTTACCCTTTTGGGGGTGTGAGAAAGTGAGAAATGGGAGGTGTCCCAGACTCCTTGGCAGTCCACGCCTTACAAGGTTTCCTTTCCGGATTCCAGGCTAAGAGCTCGCAGGACACTGCTGCGGAAGAGACAGGCTCGGCCGCACCGGACCAGCCTGCGGCTCCCTCAGAAGCCGCCTCCGACCAGCCGGCACCTCCAGAACCACCAGAGAAGCCCGAGCCACCAGAGAAGCCCGAGGGAGGTGAAGAGGTGGCTGCCCGGCCAGAGGAACCGTCCGTGCAGATCCGCATGAGCCCCAGCCCAGAGTCCGGAGAGCAGATCCTGTCGGTGGAGGTGCCTGAGAAAAAGGAGGAGTGAGGCTGCGCGGGGCGTGGTGCACCTGCAGCGCTGGGGAGTCGTGCAGTAGCGCCCTCAGACGGAGACGCTAGTCAGTTCCATGCGGGGCTTTGCAATCAAGTGTTCACACCCCGGCTTGGGAATCCTGCCTCACTCTGACTGGTAGCATTTCTAAGAATAAAACTATCGTCCACCTGAAAGTTCCTAGGCAGTGCAAAAGATGGAGCTGACACCGCAAGAAGCTAGGCATGAGTGGGTCCCCTTCCCCAAAGAACGACTGCCACATTTCAAGAGCAACAAGCGTTTCAGCAGGAAGGAGGGTGGCTGCGCAGGTGGGCAGCCTGGGGACCAGGGCTGCTCTGACCTGGGCTGGGAGCCTGCCTACGTCACCTTCTGCGGGCAAGCTGGGTAAGGGTCGTGGTCGCCCTTAGCTTCCGTAGAGTCCACCCGATTCTCTCATACAGTAGACATGGCTTTCTGGGCAAGGGGTCCTGAGGGGAAGGGACAGCCTGCCCAGCGCTGCTTCCCAGCTGCTTCCCGGCCGCAGGGATGGCTTTCGACTGAAGAAAGGTGAAACCCCCACGGTTGATGACGGTATTGCAATTCCCTGAAGTGGCTCAGATGACGTCATGTGGTTGTTAGGCTTCAAAGGAAAAAAAAAGTGGAAAGGGACAAATTGAATCCATGAATATTTATGGCGAGAATTTTTTTTTATGATATTTTGGGGGAGCCAGTGATGAAAAACACAACATAGGGCTGAGTGGTGGGATTCCAGCAGCAGCAGGGAACGCAGGGGCCAGGGATCCTACTAGGCACTGCCCACCCCAAACCCAGTGACAGGAGCCATGGGAGACACTGAAGGGGCCTTTGAGGGTCTGCAGCTGCGGCTGGCTGTCCATCAGTTAAAATCATCCTTCACTTCCTCTGAGCTGGGCTTCCCTGAGTGGGGCCGAGCAGCTCGGAATTCCAGTGTGAGGCACAGATGGATCTCACTGATGGCACCTGGCATCAAACAGCACAGGGGGCCTCAGGATGATTGGCAGTGACATTTTACTTTGTAAGGATTACTCATGTATTTGAAAGAGAGAGAGAGAAAAAGAAAAAAATCTTCCATCTGTAGGTTCACTTCCCAAATGGCCACAAGAGCCAGGTCTGCACCAGGCAGAAGCCAGGAGCTCCATCCTGGTCTCCCAGAAGCACCTGGGTCATCATCTGCTGCCTTCCCAGCTGCTTGCGCAGGAAGTGTTGTTTCCAGTCTTACGCTGTTAAAAATAATGCTGCATCCAGCGTTATGATGCTCACGTCCCACACTCGAGTGCCTGGGCTCATGTCCCCACTCAGCTCCAGCTTCCTGCTTGTGTGCACCTGCGGCGGCAGCAGGTGATGGATTCAAGTACTTTGGTCCCAACCACCCGTGTGGAAGAGCTGGAGGCAATTCCAGGCTGTCATGAATTCAACCATGCCCACTGTGGCTGTGGGAGGTGACCAGCTGATGGGCATGCCGTCTCCCTCTCGCTCTCTTTTTCTAAGTGTTTCTCACATAAGTAGAGACTGTGAAAAAAATAATGCTGCAATCAAAAAATCTTTATACATCATTTCATTGGGAAACACTGTACATGAAGGAACTTGGTAGCTGAGGGAGATTTTTTTCTTTAACCTTCCCCAATCCCATATTCTGCACTGTTCTAGGATCCAAGCCCGGAGAAGCTTCTGCTTTGGCAAGCATCTCAGATGCACTACTAAACGTATTCTTACTCGGTAGATGCAGCTGCTTCCCACGGCACCTCCCCGGGAGATCCTAATCTACAAGGGACCTTTCTGCATGAGAATATGCAAATACACTCATTCTTTCAGATATCAGTGCTTAGACATGAGACGCTTGGAGGGCCCCAACAGGGGTCCTGGAAGGAAGATGGATTTGGAGGTGAGATTGGCAGTGTCTTCATCTTGCTGAGATAGCTCGGAGTGTGGCGGGGAGGCCACTTGAATTTGCAGCTGACCTTCTCCTGCAGGTTGAGTTGGCCGGCTTTGTGTACGTGAGGCCTGGCCCAGCTTGATGGTCCTGTAACTGCAGCAAAAGGACGGGGCTTCCAGTTGTGGGTGTTCAGTTTCCTCTGCCCTGTTAACAGGTCTCCACATTTCCTGTGTTTGGGTAGAAAAGGAACAGCAAGTTATTTTTGTAAACTACATAAATGTTTTAACAAAAAAAAAAAAGGAGCTTTGAAATTGTCATTATCAAAATGTGTTCAGCTAACCTAGAATATTTCAATCTGTTTTCTTAGCCAACATGAACATTTTGTCTACACACTGGCTTTCGTATTACAATGCATTTAAATTAAAGTATTTAGACAAGCATTCCTACCTCGGGGATTTATTTCAGAAACCTGGCCATGTGTGACAGCACCTCGGTGTGAAGAACTCAGTGACATTGCTTGTCGCAGGCTCCCTGGAGGTCTGTCATATTCTGGGGGTAGGAGGTGCGACCCAAGCCCTGTGTTCCCGTTGCTATAGTAACACCCTCATCTCTTTCTCTCTCTCTCACACACACGCACACACACACACACGCACACTCATTCACTCCAGGCTGTTGTGTTTTTTTTGTTTTGTTTTGTTTTTAAAGATTTACTTTAAAGACAGAGTGATGCAGGGGGAGAGATGAGCAGAAGCAATCTCCCATCTTCTGGTTTACTCCCCGAATGACCACAAGAACTGGGGCTGGGCCAGGCCAAAGCCTGGAGTGTGAAACTCAAACAAGTCTCACATGTAGGTTGCAGGGGCCCGAACTTGGGCCATCTCCCCACTGCTTTTCCCAGTCGCATCAGCGGAGAGCTGGAAGTGGTAGCATCTCGGACGTGACCTGTGCTCTGACACGAGATGCCAGCATCACAGCTGTGGCTTCACTCCCTGCACCACGACTCCAGCCTGCTTACTGGGAATTCTGAGCCTCTCAAACCAGGAGCCCCTTTGGTCTTCCCACATGTCTCTCATAACCCATTTCAGTGGTGCCTTCACCGTGAGGTTCTATTTCACAGAGGAACCTTTTTGTATGAAAGCCTTCACTCTCTCACATGTTGGTTCGTTCGTTCTTTTTTTTTCTTTCTTTTTTTTTTTTTTTAGATTTATTTTTATTGGAAAGGCAGATATGCAAAGAGGAGGAGAAACAGATAGGAAGATCTTCTGTCTGATGATTCACTCCCCAAGTGACCACAACGGCCAGAGCTGAGCTGATCCAAAGCCAGGAGCCAGGAGCCCCTTCTGTGTTTCCCACATGGGTGCAGGATACCAAGGCCTTGGGCTGTCCTTGACTACTTTCCCAGGCCACAAGCAGGAAGCTGGATGGAAAGCAGGGCCATGAACCAGCACGTGCAAAGCAAGGACTTTAGCTGCTGGGCTAATCACACCTGGACCCCATGTTGGTTCTTGGATTTGGTGTGATTTGGCGTACAAATGACATGTCCCCAAGTCCCAGGGAGTTTGTTCAATAACAGGGCGCTCAGGAACACGGGGTCTTGGGCTGCGGACAGATTGCTAATGACCTGAAAGTAAATGAGTTATACTTCATCCTCACTCCCACTCTCCTCCCAGGCCTTGTTCTGGCCAGAAAATTGTCCCTTGCAAGTGGCTGGATTCTCCACTGGGGAAGCTCAAGGGAAAAGTGTGTTTCTCGGCCTAGGAACACCCCCACCCTGCCAGAAAGGGTCTACTGGGGACACTTAACAGGCATAGGCAAACCCTGACCTCAGCCCTTTAAAATGTAAATCAGCTGTGCGGCTCACTCAAGGCCCAGGTGTCTCCCTGGGAATCTATAAGGGCTAGGACTCTATCCTTTGTGGGCCCGGAAATAAGGGGGAGGTGCCAACAGGTTCTTCCGGACACCTTGGAGTTCAACCTGGAGGCCCGGGTTGAGCGGGGAGCCATGGGGGCCACTAAGAAGTAAGGTAAGCCTTGCCATCTAGGCAAAGTTACAGAGCTAATTGTTCTGGGAGTGGAAGTGTGTGTTGGGGATAGGGGTGGGGGTGAGAGTGAAGAACAGGGTGGAATCTTTCCACACATCTAAGTTTCCGAGACCAAAAATGTTTTTCTTCTGAAAGAAAGAGGCAGGAGGCTTGGCCTATTTCCATATGAATCCAAATAATAATTGAAATGATGCTGGAAGCTTCCATGTGCAAGACTACAAAAAGTTTTCCAAACAAATTGACATCAACTCAGCAGAGGCTCGGTCGGTGGGGGAACTTTGGCCAGGTTAGTCACCTGGCCAGAATGCTGCCAGGAAGACCAGAAAGCCAGCCGCTGTGCTGGTCAGTAATCCTTTACTGGCTAGCAGAATTACATGGTCTTGAACTTCTGGGTAGCATTGAGGATGTGGGTCAATCCTTTGTTTCTGCTCACTCCCCAGGAACATTACGTGATGGAGTATGGGGAAGGAATTTTCAAGGGCTGGAGAAGGGAGATGAAAAACTGTGTGATTCATGTGTGAATTGGCCAGGGCAGTCTGGAGTTTTGCTCCCAGACCTGAGTCACGCTCTGAAACAGTAAGCTGAAACAAAGAGGAACAGAGGTTGAATCACAGAATTTCTCAAACTTGCCCAGAAGGGAATCAAAGGGTACCCACCCAAGCGTAATGAATAGGATTCTAAAAATATCTGTAGGGGATGCCTAATATATATGTAACTTAGGACGCTCCTCTTGTTAATGCGGCAGCAGGTGAAAACGCTGAGTTAATCCCACAGCTACCGCACTCGGTGGTAGGCAGTTCTGCAGAATTAGAGTGGCTTTGGTTAGTTGTCTTGCTTATGTTCCGACGAACATGCAGTGTCCAACTGAAGGATAATTAGAAGCAAACCCATAAGACAAAATGCCAAAGTGGGAAGCGGTCAACTTTGGAGATTGTGTACGTTTCATTATACGTGTTGGTCTCAGCTCAGTTTGTTTGAATTCAATCTGTGTATTAGCAAGCTACACCTTGGAGATCTGGGCTCAAGGGTTTTCTGATTGTATTCAGCTGAGTGAGGGTCTTACCA